AACATAATTGTTATGTTGATAGGTGTTTGTTTCCACTTTGTCGTCTACAGATATTGGCAAAGAGCGGCTTCAACAACCGGTCCTCGAACATGGGCGTGACAAAATTTGTGTTTCAAAATAACATTCTTTGCTTTTCTAATTGTGATGAAATATTAGCAACTGTTTGGTGAATATGTTCATAAAATACGTAAAATAGATTATCAATTATATTTTCTCATAAAGTTTGGGATAATTTAATTAATTGTGCTCTCATATTACATATTCTGCGATATCCCAATTATATTATCAAGAACACAATGATTCTTTTATATGATCTACTATTGATCATATCAAATAGTCCTTTGTGTTAAAATTAACATTAAAAAAACAAATATCACAATCCAGCCCTTCCAACTTTATAGTTTGGAATGAAATGCATGTGGACCCGGTTTTTTGGAAATATCTCTTCATCCAGTGACCCAATCGATCCCAAACTGTGCAAGTGGGTGTTTTGTCAGACAACCTAATCACATTGTAAATCACCGATGTTATGCATTTGTATTAAAGAATCTGTCTATGTAACTGTCAACAAAATAAACAGCAGAACGCAGACTGCTGGCAGAGGGAGGGAGCCAATGACCTATAACAGCGGCAGTGTTGGGTCATAAAGGTAAATGCAAGTGCAGTTCATGATAGTTACCTGTGCACTGCACAGTGATAGACCGTTTGGATCATTCACATTGACTACTTCTAGCTGTCATCATGAAAGCTTATTCAGATGATGCTAAACGTTTAATTAGAAATGTGTTGAATTTTTTTTAAAAAGAGAGCAAACGTAGCAAACCGATTTATAAGGTGTCGGATTACATGAAACGTACAACTTTTGCTCTTGGCATGAAAAAGAACATTGTGAAAAATAAACTAACAACCAATAAACAAAACCCTGTACAAAAAGGGAGGCATCCAAAGTTAGATTCTTTTGACATCAGGGTCATCAGAGCTGTCATTCGCCGGCTATTTGCTAGAAATGAACACCTGTCCACAAGAAAGTTAAAACACATCCTTGCAGAGGATCACGACATTAATGTTTCTAGGTTGATGCTAAGCAAACTACTGCTCAAATTTGGATACAAGTACAAGAAGGTAGCAAACCAGAAACTTGTAATGTGTGAGAGATCTGATATTGTGAAAATAAGGTGTAACTATCTGAGAGAAATTAAGCAGGCAAGAGAGGATGGGTTCAAACATATATATCTGGATGAGACCTGGGTCAATGCAAACCATACTGCTGCCAGACAGTGGCTACCCACTGATCCCAGTGATGGTAGGAAAATACCAACAGGCAAAGGTGAACATTTAATCGTTCTTCATGCTGGTTCCCACCGTGGATTCCTACCTGGGTGTGATCTGGTATTTCGGTCAAAGAGTACAGATGGTAGGGACTATCATACAGAAATGAACTCAACGGTTTTCACACAGTATGTTGAGGAACAATTGTTGCCAGCTCTGCCTTACAAAAGCCTTGTCATGGACAATGCTCCCTATCACAGTGTTCGAGATCCAAACAATAGCTGCCCAACTTCCAATACAAAGAAGTCAGATATGCAGCAATGGCTAACAAATAACAATATACAATTTTCAATTAAGGCCACTAAACCACAGTTGTACTCTTTGATTAAACCTAACAAACCTCCACCCACATATAACATTGACAACATGCTACGCCAACACGGCCATAAGGTCTTTAGATTACCACCGTACCTCTGTGATCTCAACTCAATCGAACTTATCTGGGGAGACCTTATATGTACAGTGGCCCGGAAAAATCAATCATTCAAGTTGAATGATGTCAAGCACATTGTCAACACTGCTATATGTGACATTGACATTGCACGCTGGCATGCATGTGTTGAACATGTCAAGAAGGTGGAGAAAGAGTTCTGGCTCAAAGATGGCTTGAAGGAGCAAACAGTTAATCCAGTTGTCATTCGTCTGGACACTGATGACTCCTCTGTGGAAGAATGGAGTGAACTTGATGAAGTTTAATTCTGTTATTATATTTACAGATAATAATAGTATCCAGCCAGATATGCTCACAGAAATATAACTTCTTTTAACAATGACAGCACTTACTAATTCCAACGACTTATAGTGTAACATGAAACACTCATTTCACATAAAATTATCATGAAAATATAAATATTAGCTATCTATATGCTTACCCCTATTAGAAATGCATTGCTTAATTTGGAATGTGAACGACATCAAAACATAACACTTTTGTCTTCATTCTATCTTTTCTTCAATGAGTGTTCATGATTGTGTGTGCTTGTGTCCGAGGGAACGGGGCTTTAACAGTTGTTGAGTTCTAACCATAGGTGGTCCGATTAATGATTTAGTGTAAATATACTTTCTGTGTTCTTTAAATGCATTTCCACTTAGGTACTGCATAAACAAATATGACATTAACATTACAAATTTAAAGATTTTAACCTACAGAATAATTCTCACTAATGGGTTTTGTGGTTAATGTTGAACAACTCAGTGAAACAAACTCCGTATGATGGTTAACAGTTGGCACCCACCTTACACTATTCACGACCTGTGACACCTCTTCATACCTGTCACGAGCATAGCTGACCTACATTGACGAACGTCGACCTTTATGACCCAACACTGCCGCTGTTACAGGTCATTGGCTCCCTCCCTCTGCCAGCAGTCTGCGTTCTGCTGTTTATTTTGTTGACAGTTACATAGACAGATTCTTTAATACAAATGCATAAAATCGGTGATTTACAATGTGATTAGGTTGTCTGACAAAACATCCACTTGCACAGTTTGGGATCGATTGGGTCATTGGATGAAGAGATATTTACAAAAAAAACGGGTCCACATGCATTTCATTCCAAACTATAGGTGTCAATTACCCGTGAAGATCAGGGTTAGAATTGATCTCCAGTAACTGATGCTTGTCGTAAGAAGCGACTAACGGGATCAGGTGGTCAGGCTCGCTGACTTGGTTGACACATGTCATCGTATCCCAACTGCGTAGATCGATGTTCATGCTGTTGATCACTGGATTGCCAGGTCCAGACTCGATTATTTACAGACCGCTGCCATATAGCTAGAAGTGCGGTGTTAAACTAAACTCACTAATTCAGTCACTGTATGTAACATCGTTTGGGACACAAGCAAGCATGCTTTTTCTGTTAAGGTTACAAAGCGGGTCAAAATGGTTTCATCAAGGTTTCAATATGCAATGCCTTATAGATAGTTTGTACAAACGTGTAATGGTAGACATGTTGAAGAACGTGTGACGTTAATATGACAGAAATGATGTCAGATGCAATTCCCTATTTTGATTTACCATGTTTTGTCTTGTGCTTCAGGTAAACACTTGACTGGCCCTTGCATGTGTTTGTAGCGAGTGTCAACACAGAGGCAGGACATGGCTTCGTGAGCACATGGTTTCACTGCCATTTGATAGCAGTCAGTAAACATATGATCACGATATAGACAGCAGCATATATGTTATTGTAAAGGGCTTCCAGTTATGGTGTTAAGTGTAAAATATATTTTGATTTGGGAAGTGTCAGAAGGTTTATCCTTGTAGGTCAATAAAGTGATACAAAGCGTAACTTTTGTAAGCTTATCATTGAACAAAGGAACATACTCCAAACCAAAGCCTGACTGCTACAAAATGCCCATTCAACATACCTCCTTTAAAGTAGAGAAGGCTAAGATGGAAAGAAGGCGCCTCAGTACGATGCAATCGTCTCACGACCGCCTTGATTTGATGTTCCACATTAACATGATAAGCCATGATATATCTGTAATAAGTATTCAGTGTTCAACCAAACTCTATCACTCCAACATGTGAGCATGTTTCTAACTGTATATCAAAACTCCATTCAAAACTGAAAAATTCCCCTGCAATAGTTACAAACATAATCAAGAACGCAGTTAACACATGTAAAAACATTGTAAGCTGTTGCCTCTCAAATAAACGTAAACATTATATATTGACATGTTTATTACGTCTTAGGGACAGTTATACACTCACATGTGTTAAATCCAAATTATGAACATCATTGTGTCAGTTTGTGGCTTAAACATTAATGATATTACAGTACATAAACTGTCCCAGGTGTGGATGATATGATTTTGGATGATGGACGACTCGCCTCATGTCATATAGTCAATACAGAACACTATGGAGAGAAGGGAGAACAAAAAGTGAAAAGCACTCCTGCAATTGTTAAAAAATCAACGAATGCGGTTAAACATGAAAACCTGTTACCTGGAACATGGTCTTGACGTGTTTATTATGCCTTAGGGACAGTTACATAGATCCCACTCTCAAATGTGTTTCGTTTAAATTGCAAACGTCAATGGTGACAGTTTGTGGTGTGTATAATATGGTTTTGGATGATGGACAACTCGACACATGACATATAGTCAATACAGAACACTCTCGAGAGTGAGAATGAGAACATTCTGATGAATGAACTAGACATTACAAGTTTCAACACCTGTTCCGACATTCCAAAACTTGGATTGTGTGTTGTTTAACGCTGCACTCAGCAATATTCCAGCTGTATGTTGGCAGTCTGTAAATAATCGAGTATGGACCAGACAATCCAGTGATCAACATCATGAGCATCGATCAACGCATTTGGAATACGATGACGTGTCTTTTCTTAATAGGGGGTGGGGGATTGTGATATCAATACTTTGATTTACCAAAAAATATTCTGTAAAAGAATTCTAGGGGGCTGCCCCACGCGGCCCTGGTTAGCGAGCCTGACCACCCGATCCCTTTGTTCACCTCTAACGACAAGCATGGGTTGCTGAAGACCAATTCTGGATTTGTACGGGTCGATATTGCTTACATATCCTAAACAATTTACTTATGGGCTTTCTTTTCCGAGATATCGACGTATATATGTAATGCATGAATGGTTAGTTTGCTGCCACAAGAATGTAATACCCTTGGCGCCGATTGTCTGATTGAAACAATCATCCTTACACCCCTCATCCTCAGTCTCTCATCAAGGTACCAATACCGGATAGGATGATGAACAGCACAAGCTGAAATATCGACTGAGACGAAAAGAAGTACATCAGAGCATTAACACCAAAGTGACCCATAAGTTGCCCTGCAACAAAAGGCAACATTGCGGACCCAAAAGAATCTGCAAAGGTACACAAACCTAATACAAACGGGCTAAAATATATATAACGTCTTGACCAACTGAACATGGCCGCAACAAGGGGACCTGCAAACAAAGCAATTAATATTGATGCTACCCAAAGACTAATCTCTCCTAGTGAAACAACACCTGAGACCATAATTCCTGGAATCAGTTCTCCACATAAACAAATGTAGATTAATTGTGTCTGAGAAATGTATGTACTTATCACAGTCCCCAGAATTCGCCCTATCAGATGGTGCAGCCAGTACACGGATGTCATAACTGCCATCCTTTGAACACTTAATTTGAGAGAACTGTCAACACCGTATGTTGTCAAGAAGTTGCCATAAGCGAACGACACTCCACAAAACAATACGAACGCTAAAAGTAGTGTTCCCAGAAATAACAGGAATTTAAGAGAATTCTCATTTCTATCCAATACTTCAAAGGCCATATCTGATTCATTGGCCTGTTCCTCTGTTCCGTTTTTATTTACCTTAAATAAAATAAGGAGTCCAATAATAGGTGGTATATTTAAGAAACCTATCATAACATAAAACGTGCGAACGTCCGCCTTGAAGTATGAAGATTGATGAGTATTAGGTGTATCCTTTCTTCCACCAGAGAACGATAAGTTTGGGCCAGTGGCTGCCACCTCGTTGGTTCTTAACGCTGAATATTGTCGGTTAGTGGCATTCACTGAAGGCTGAAAGGCAAGAGGGGGTTCAGAGCCGTTCAGTGTGAATGAATTGTTCATCTGTTGAGATGAACAAAAATGTCCAAGGAACGGTTCCGCCAAGAGTGGTGTCACGTAGGCTCCAACAGATACAGCTACCAGGAGGAGATGGAGAAGAGAAGAGGACTTTGGGAATACCATGTTGCACTGACGAACGACCGCTGAAAGAAAGATGAACGTTATTTAACTACAGCGTCCAGACATGAGTGAGTTCAGTTTTACGCCGCTGTTTAGCAATATCAGGGCGTGGGACACCAAAATTGGGCTTTACATATTGTACACATGTGAGGAATCGAACCCGTGTTTTCAGAGCGAGTAAACTGTTCTTACAGCTCTATATCGTAATTGGTATCGTCGTTGAATTTAGCATTTATGGGGACAGTATATATATATATTTGAGCAGCTATCAGTATATATATGCGGAATGCTGGCATGTCATTGGACTGCTGCTTGTCATCCATCAACTATGAGCTAATTGGCCAGATTACGGACAAACATACGGACTGTAAGCGTACAGTTCAATCAAAAGTTGCAACTCCTTGGGAGGACACAGCCCTTCTCAGAATCACACGATTTCATCCATCCAGGTCATGTGGCGTGTTTAAAAAATTTGCTTCCACATCATCGTTTGGCCAACAGAACGGTCCGAAATTCCCTAAACGGACCCGTGAAGATCCGGGTTAGAATATTGACTTGGTTGACACATGTCATCGGTTCCTAATTGCGTAGATCGATGCTCATGCTGTTGATGACTGGAGTGTCTGGTCCAGGCTCGATTATTTACAGACCGCCGCCATATAGTTGGAATATTGTTGAGTGCGGCGTAAAACTAAACTCACTCACACCTAAAATCGTGTTGAGCCAGAAGACCTATCAGACATCCGTTATTATCCCCAGAGCACAAAACAACACAACTACCTTGGTGTCAAGCTCAACGTCAATGGAATGTGAGGTCATGGGGAAGAGTTCACTTGTACAAAAGTCGATATCTTTTGTTCATGACTGATGGCCAAGCTCGTCTTTGGCGCCACAGAAACTGTGCACAACGGAATATCTTTGAGCACGTTCCGTTTGGTGGGGATCCATGGGTGGTGTGGAGATGCCTCTCACATGACTGGAAACATGAACTTGTGACGATCAGACACAATCTTGATGGACAGCGATACATCACTGACATACTAGACGTTGTTGTACCCCATTCCGATTACCATTCTCTGAACACAAGGGCAGTCTTCATGGACGACAATGCTCGGCCACATCGTGCACGTGCTGCTTTCTCACGTTAGTAGCAACTCAACATAGGCCCTCTAGGAGTCCAGATCTCAATACAACAGAGCACGTCTTGAACATTATGGGTGGCAAAAATATATCCTCAGGTTCAAAATCTTCATGTATTGGAAAGAGCCCTCCATCAAAAATGGAACGCAATACTCCAACGACAAAAATTCAACGTCTTATAGGGGCGGTGGGGTAGCCTAGTGGTTATGGCGTTCGCTCGTCACGCTGAAAGCCCGGGTTCGATTCCCCAGATGGGCACAATGTGTGAAGCTCATTTCTGGTGTCCCCCGCAGTGAAATTGCTGGAGTATTGCTAAAAGCGGCGTAAAACATACCAAATATTGACGTTGTGACTGATACTTATGTAATTTCTGGAGGATTCTATAAAAGAATCTTGAAAATGACAGCACTTGTTAACGTCATACGACCATAGTTTTCAGTTTGTCCCTCTGATATCTAGGAGATTACGAAGACAATGTTCCTTAGATAAAATTAGATTAAGGTTCTTATGACGAGTACCTTCTTGAGAAACTGGCAAGGAGGCTGGAATGTTTAAAATTCTAAATAACGGAGAGATGTCCGTAACACAACAAACGTAACACAATTTAGACAAATAGAACATATGTGCGTGTGTGGGGTTGCACTGCAGAGGTACAGATAAGCTGCGTATCTGCGTAAATTACGCAAATATTTATGTGAAAACTCAATTTCTATTAAGTCTATTGCGTACAAGTACGCTTGAATTTTTGTAAATACTCAATAAATGTGATCTTACATGCATACACTAAAAACTGTCAAATCGTAGCTTGCGTACCGGTGGATAGATAAAATAACTGAGGTATACTGAGAGGTTCTATTTCAGGACATGAACTTGACAACTTGCAGTCTTTCTTATCGTGTTTGATATTTATCAAATATAAATAACAAACACTAACATTGAAATTTTATTATATTTTCAAAACTAATGGAAAATGGCAAATACCCATTTGAGTTTGAGTGAGGTGAGTGCAATTTATTTGGCTACTCAAAGGAAAATTAGGATACCCAAATGAGATGAACACAAGTGAGTACATAACTCAATGACCCAAAAAGTTATCTGTAGCTCTGCATTGCACTCTGCATTTGTAAAATCTTGATTTACAAAACATAGAAATTTAAATCTAAATATCATCGTACTGGAATCGGCATAATATTTTGTAATCCATTTGCAACTTTTGACATTTTGTCTGTTTATGGTGTCATCTACGGTAGTAAAGAGTTGACTTTACCAGGAGGTCATGATAAAATGTGGAGCTGCGCAACCTGTGCTTCTTCATGACGCACGAGACTCATATATTTTAATGTACTTTTGCGGCGTAAAACCAAACTCAGTCAGTCAGTCAGTATCATCATTTACAGCGTACTGGTGTGTTTAATAAAACCAACTGCACTGACGTCGTTCTATGTAGAAACAGTGTTAGATTTCCCCGCTTCTGTGCAGATGCAGATCTATTTGGTGGACAGTGCGTCAATCAACACTTTCATATATACTAGCCACATAAAGAAACTGTGCATTGTCAAAATATTATCCCAGTTGATAAGTACGATAACAATGTCAAAGGTACATATAAACTTTAATGGAGGGATCATGAGACCATAACATGTCTGGAGAATTTCAATTGAAAAGTCAATCACAATGACGTCACGAGTCCACAAGCGGGACAGGGGTCAAACGACCATGTCACAACGGGTATGTCCACCATCGGCATTGAGAACAGCAGTGTATCGACGACGCATAGAGCCTATGAAACGTGCAAGTAAGGCTTGTGGGATGTCACGCCAGATTCTCTCAAGTTCTGTTGCAAGGTCAAGGACGTTATCTGGCGGATGAGGAAGACGGCGTAGACGTCGATCCATCTCGTCCCAAACATGCTCTATCGGGGAGAGATCCGGTGAATATTGCAGGCCAAGGCAGTAAGTCAACGTTGTGGTGTTGCAAGAAATTCATAGCAACCCTTGCCGTATGAGGGCGGGCATTGTCCTGTTGGAATGTTAACCCAGGGCCATGACGTTGCAGAAAAGGAATTGCCACAAGTCGAAGAATCTGATCCCTGTAGCCCACACCAGTTAAGTTGCCCTGAACAATCACCAAAGGAGTTCTTTGGCGTGCTGTTATTCCTCCCCAAATCATCACGGAACCACCACCAAAGCGATTCCTCTCCAAGACACAGGCCTGTGCATAACGTTCTCCCACGCGTCTATAGGCACGTTGACGTCCATCACTATGGGAAATGTTAAACCTGGACTCATCTGTAAAAACAACGTTTCTCCACCAAAACAAGGGTCTGCGGACATGATTTCGGCACCACATTCGGCGAGCTTTTCGATGATGTTGTGTCAGGATAAGCCGTATGGCGGGACGTCGTGGTCTGATCCCGTGATGACGTAAACGTTGTCGAACTGTGTCGGGTTGGATACGGCAAAGTCCTAGGGTGGTTCGGGCAGTCATCACTGCAGTCTGAAACCTGTGGCGAAGATGGGTCACCCTTATCCATATGCCCTGCCTTAGCGTTGTTACACGTGGACGTCCAGAACGTGGCCGATCGATGACGTCATTTGTGTTCTGGTAGCGTCTCACCAGTGCAGAAATTGTGTTCCGGTGGCCTCATGACCTTGTGCAGACGTGAGCCTTGGCATGCTATGCGTTTTAATAGCCGTTTAATTTTTTGAACGATCGCAAGGGCAGGGGTTGAGCTTTCCAAAGTGACAGTATTGTGTGGCATTCATTTGCTCTGTTTCTCTTTCCCGGACTGCACGTGCAACAACGTATTGCACGTCTCAAGGACGAACCCACTGACGTCACGGAACGTGGCACGTGCATGCATGTTAGATACATGTCACTAATCTCTAAGTCTACACAAGTTTGATAAATTTAGATTTTAAATTTTTGTATGCACAGTTTCTTTATGTGCCTAGTATACGTCCGAGTTTACGTTTGGGGTGTTAGTTTAAAGCATGGGCATATATTGTGGTCTGTTGTACATTATATCACTTTACAACAGCGACATCCATATAACACTGTTGTTGACACTTGCCTCTGCTTGAGGTTACCGCTTTGCGTCTCAATTTTAAATTCATTTGTTCTGACAAAGGATGAAATAACTGTCACGATGTCGAATTGTTTTGTCTACATCTTGAGAAATAATGTCTTTTTCCTTACATATTAAATTTGCCTTTTGCATATATGAACGCAGGAATACACGATATTTAGACAGTACTTCGAATAAAAATTAACTGTGCCTAAAGATGAAACTAATACCTTGGGATTTTCAATTAGTATTACTGATACATAAACCTTGATTTAATAATTAATACATTGTGTTTTTGTAGCTCGGACATGTTTTAATTATTCGACTTGTGATGAAATCTGTTTTGCTATAATGATATTCTCTATTCAAGTTCGAACAACAATAGCAACGAATAAATACTTACTGTTAAAAACGCATCCAATGAATAGCCCTGATCCAGCAGTTGCCAGACACGCTATAAACAGGTACTGGGTGATGGCGATTGTGCTTGTACACACACCCTCCAGCAGAAGGCTGAGTGCAAGCACCATGGTCGGTTCCAAATACTTCATAAGAACTACAGACACCAAGCATCCAAAGCTAAGTGACAGACCCATTATGAGGAACAGACTTGATATGCCATTCAGGCTGGCTCCATAAAGATCCTGGAGGTCTGGCAACGTTGGTCCAAACACGGTAGTAATGACACCCTGCAGAAAACGTTTAAGAAACAATAACATAAATTTAGCATGAAGTGTTTCACATGTACGTTGATGTATGTCTATGAAATATTTTACACAATGGGGTCAGTGTGTTAAAGTCATCTCAACATATATACGTCACACCCGCCGCGATATTGCTGGAATATTGCTAAAAGCGGTGTAAAACCAAACTCAGTCAGTCAGTATACGTCACACAGAAATGTAGATATGTCAAAAATAATACTGACAAAACACGGCAGCAGATATTCCATTTCAGATTCAATGTGAGTGATATGTTATAGGTCTTGCCATATAATTACTACAGAAATACTATTAAACAAAATAACTAGTTTACATGGCGGTATGTGGGATTATTTTCGATATAAATACTTAGCCACAAGGACAGACATTGTAAGATCTATGTCGTGTTGATTTGGTAAATGGTATTCATAACCAACAACTAAATCAGCATCATAAACATAGCAACGGTGGCATTCCAGTGTTACCCGGTATAACACCAATACCAGAAGAGATGCACCTACCACCAGTAGAAGAGAAAACCACCACAGTGACACTTGTAGGACTGTCAGCTTGTTTGGCATGACGATCAAGGTAAGGGTCTTCAGCTTGTGCCAGGTGTCCAGTGGAGTAGATTAAAAATGCAAGACCTAAAGACAGTTAATACTTCCCGAGTTTTACAGGCAGAGTTCACAGTGGAATTAGCTTCCTGTTCTACGAGGTACTCTGGGATATTGTCGCGTGGGCATAGTTAATATACAGCAGCGTGATGTATCCAAACCCAGTACCACTGAAAGTAATTTATGTCTGGCAACATCGGTCGGTAGACAAAATAAGGCATATTACGAATATACATTCTCATACTTTACCGCTGTGTGGGTTGATGAAACAAAACACCCAACCAAATCACTGCTTCTGACGTCACTCTTTGAAACCAACAAGGCGGGAGATAATTAATAGTTCACGTGTTGGAGATTACGACAGGTGTTTGCAGTTTCAATAATGGTATTGGCATTAAGACGAAACAGAGCAGGACAAAGATAGCAAAACAGGCAGATGTGGGAAGGTATAATCTGGTAAGTAGTTGTACAGATCAGTGTCCATAGACTGAGACATAGTCAACGATTGCTCAAATTTGGGTATCGTATGTCGTTACAAATGTCGGCCGAGAATAGATTTGGTCTCTGTTGCAGCTATACAATACAATACAATACAATAGTGGTTTTTGCATTAAGACAAAGCAAAGCAGGACAATGATGGCGAAACAGACAGATGTGTGAAGAAATTGATTTACATAAATGTTTCCATAGACAAAAACACTGTCAACGTCAGCTGAAAACATAATCTGGGTATTGTATGTCGTTACAAAGAGAATAGATTTGGTCTCCATTCTTGGTCGACAGTTGCTAGGAGGTAAAACCAAGTCGTAAAGGGTGCCCCACAGGGCAGCTTACGTCGCATTTAACAACTGATAGACAGAAGTTTACTTGAATGTAGTAAATATAAACAAATGCGACTTTTTAATATTGTTTGAGAGCTTGCGTCAATGATGAGGCCTGGGTACATTATTTTACAGTATCGAATTAAGGAGGACATCGTATTGTGAATTAAACGTCACATTTGGAAATATCGTGTTCATGTCAAGCATATTACCTTTTGTAAGTCTTTATTACGGACGGGTCTTGGATATTGCACGAATAACAAATAACAATGAAGCAAGATTCGCTTAACGCTTTCAGAAAATTCTGGGGATAGGGCATGATTAGTTAAACGTCACATTTGGTAATATCGTGTTCATGTCAACCACAAAGCCTTTTGTGAGTCTTTATTACGGTCTTGAAAACTGCAGGAACAACAATTGAGCGAGATTCGTTTAACACTTTTAGAGAATTCCGGAGATAGGGCATGATGAATTGTGCAATGTGGACACCAAAGCCTGATCCAGGTTGATAAATCAGTGTACGAGAATCGGCAATTTGCCAGCTGTTAATATTGTACGATATCACATCATCGATATTCGTAAAGTTTAGGCGTGTCTGTTGGTCATAGGTTTCTGACGTACCCAAATGGCATCTCTTGACACCTAAATGCTCCCTTGTGAATAAGTCCTGCATTTCACGTTTCGGTTTCTCAGTTTACTTCAGACGACATTAGGTCTGATATTTGACATGGTCCTGGACCTTTCAAGAGAGAGTTGTAACTATGTCTATGATCACTGTGTTCAGTGAAATTTTAACCGACTCTAAACAGGAAAGCTCTTGGACCTGTTATACCAAGAAGCGCTCGTTGTTTAAGCGATTGTCACATCCGTCTTGCTTTCAACCTGTATTGCTTTTTACACGAGGTTGTTACTGAAAGCAAAACTGTCCATGGTCACACATCTTGGCCATTTGCATGTGTCAATGAACATCACAACCAAACAGTTCACTGATCGGGTACAATTGAGGAATATCCCTCCAAACGTATGCATTGAAAAAGGCGCATGATAGGCATGAACGAAGATTTCAAGATATTGAATGCAGTGGCCTGACACAAGGTGAAGGATACTAGAAAAGACAGCTCCAAAGCATCTGTACATAAAACTGCATGAGGAACAGATCTATTTCTGCATTAGAAGTAGCCCTGGACAACAACCCTGGCAGCTACAGAAATCCGACATCAACGAAAGAAGCTTGACAGAAAGGTGATAAAATATTGCCCTTGCCAGCCAAATATCAAGACATGTCTCGGCTGAACAACTCTGTGATGTTCAGTGCCTTAGAAGTTGGCAAGAGACCTCAGAATTTCCAGAAGTTGGCAGGCCTCACAGATCATGCCATGTCCAGAAGACAATATCTCCTCAACCCTGTACTCTGTGCACGCTGGGATAATGACACTTCAAGTTTTCATTTGCGCTCAGCAATATTCCAGCTATATGGCGGCGTCTGTAAATAATCGAAGTCTAGACAAGCCAATCCAGTGATCAACAACATGAACATCGATCTTTGAGATTGGAATACATGTGTCAACCAAGTCAGCGAGTCTGACCACCCAATCCCGTTAGTCGCCTCTTGGGTTACTGAAGACCAATTCTTACCCAGATCTTCATGGGTCACCTTAAGATTAGCCTTATGGGGCTTTGCTTTGCAGACTGATGTTGCTCCAACCTGTTCAAATTCCTGCACTAACATTCATGAAACATTTTCCCCATTTCCTAAGAGAAACTTCATCCCATGCTATTTTTAGACATGTCTGGTGGTGCAGGATATACTCCTTTGGGTGAGTTCATGTTGTCATTTCCTGAGCTATAGATCTGTTGAACAAGGATACTCTCAACAAAACAAAAAAGAACTGATATTAGTGAATTTTTTATCTCATTAAAACAATCTGCAGAAATTTACTGACAATATAACAATTGATGTCTTTCAGCGGCATTTAGAAGTTGTACATTGATGTCAAAGATATTTTTATGGATTAAACTTCTTTTTAATTTCTCTCATAACGTTTCGAGACCATTCCAGGTCCCTTCATCAAGTAATGATACAGTCCAACTGACCAGTGGAACTCCTGCGGGTATTGATACTGAGCTGGCCTCAAGTTTAGTTGACACTGTGCTACAAGGGGGGACAATGATGAAGGGACCTGGAATGGTCTCGAAACGTCGTGAGAGAAATTAAAAAGAAGTTTAATCCATAAAAATATCTTGAATATAACAATTTTCTTAATCATTCATCAATACATATACAAACAGCAATAAAACTAGACATTTCCAAATAAACTCTACAGTAAAAGTTAAGGACCACCAAAATATTTAATATTTAAATATTACATGTATATGGATCATGATATGAACTATTAAATACTTAAATATTGAAAATTGGGGTGGCCCTTAACTTTTTCTGTAGAGTTTATTTTTAACTCCAGCCAAAGTGACATTAACTAACTGTCCAACTTCAACTGGAATAGCTATCACCATCACTAGTGCTTTTTGGTAAATGAATCGTGCTCTGTTAACATCCTTACAATGAATGAGGACCTGCAGTTGTCACTTTTAATGTGGTCCTTGGCAATTCTGGAGCAGAATAGGACCCCTGCATTCCACATTTGATGTAAAGCCCACACATAAATGAGACTATTTGTTGCTGTCAGCATTACATAAGTAACAAAGTGGCATTTGATAAACTCGGTAATAAAAAGCAGGAACCCTATCCACAAAGCGTTGGTAGCATTACATGATTTGTAAGCCCACGATAAAGTATCCTGCTACGATAGGTCTTGACCCTATGAACGATTTGTAGATTGGGAGCCAGGTCCTTAATGTCACAAGCAACAGATTTAGCCTAAATCTACCAAGATGCCTCCACTATAATGAGGATCTGTAGTTAGTGTGTGATTAGTTTGACAAACACAGAAACATAATCTGGATGAACTGATAGGATTGTGTGAATTTTGCATCAAAACAATGCTTGCTCAACCTGTAATGCTCACAAGAACCTCATTTGCAGACATCCTAGCATTCTATAACATTGCACCACATTAAAGGGTTGAAAAAAACACATTGCTGAACACTCATAAGATGACATCAGGCATACATGCAAAATCCAATCAGTTTCATATCAGACATATCTAATATCAAATGTGGGAATACATGTAATCAAAGACAAAGGTAACTTGACTCATTTTCATATGTATCATAAAGGCAAGCATATTATTAAAAATCCCTACTATGAGTCTGTAAAATGTACTGGTGTTTAGATCGTATGAAACGAGCCAAACACAGCAAAGGCTATAAGTATAAAACTATAAACATTCAGATAATTTGATTCTAATTATGCCTAATGACATTTTTTATTCAGTACACATGTCAATGTATGGTGTAATATCTTGTCATTTTCATCACCTTCAACTTGCTTGTTGTACCTTGACAAGATGGCGGCTTTAAGTAAGTTAACAGCACTTTGAACAGTAAATATTTGGTCATGTCATCTTTACCTAGGAGTAATGCAGATCAGGTAAACCAACATGGCGAAACCCTTGAGCATAAGTAAGTGATGATAAACATGGAAATTCATCAGGAAGCTGTGATTCAAACCAGTGATCACAGGTCTCCGATATGCTTTATGGATGCATCTTTGAACAGCTGTTGTGGCTTGTGATCGATTCCAGTGCTGTAGGCAATTTGCTCCCAATCTGTCAAGCCATTATTGAAACAGGCTACATCATCATAAATCCATTATTCAGTTATCAGCAAATATACGAGCACTTACATTTGTCTTTGAAACACCACATATCATGATTGTGTCGAAATAATACTGATCATATTGTCCCCTCTATTGGAACATCTGAATACAACATGATTAACATATGATGTGCACCAACTGTTTTTGTACGTATCATTAATTGAAAAAACACTTTCTTACTGACAATGAGTGATTGAGTAAAGTTTTATGCCGCTTTTAGCAATATTGCAGCAATATCACGACAGGAGATACCAGAAATGGGCTTCACACATTGTACCCGTGTGGGGAATCGAACTCGGGTCTTCGTTGTGACGAGCGAACGCTTTAACGACAGGGCTACCCCACCGCCCCTACTAACAATGAGAACAGACATTACTGGTGTACAGCTGCTGGTTATGCCACAAAACATAATGACAGTGTTTCTTCCTCCATTCGTTGCCATTACCAGTATAATGCTTGACTGACTGAGTTTGGTTTTTACGCCGCTTTTAGCAATATTCCAGCAACATCACGGCGGGGGACAACAGAAATGGGCTTCACACATTGTACCCATGTGGGGATTCGAACCCGGGTCTTCGGCGTGACGAGCCAACGCTTTAACCACTAGGCTACCCCACCGCCCCAGTATAATGCTTGACCATTATAGAGAAAGAATATCAAATTATTTGATGAACCATGTGACCAAAACTTGTATTCAAGCACCTGAGGTGGACGAAGCAAGTAATATGAATATATAAGTAAAAAAAACAAACAACACTTAAACTTCAACAATTGCCTTCTCGTGATTCGTCAAATTCAACACAAACATTACAAATACACTGATGAAAAGATGAAACACTGGTAAAATAAATTATGCCATTGGCTACGACACATTTAAATATTACAGAATTACTAAGTTTCTGTGGCAGACATAGTTAAAATTTATAAATCACAAAATTTGATCCAATAATGTAAAACTAAACAAGTCACTTTCAAATTAATCACATTGGTTATAACTATACAGTATATATGTATAAACAGGAAAAGGAACCTCTTGGTTTTTAATTTAGGACTTTAATTACATTTGATGCAAACTTGGAGCCGAATAGCAGGTTCTAGTCACTTAATACATGTCATCGTTCACAACCAGACGAATCCTTTCTGAAGTTGGATCCAGAATAGGACCCTATGTTTGAAGTAAGAAATGACCAAAAAAGTATAAGGTGATACCAATTTCTGACTTGGCTCATTGTGTCACGTACTTTGAAGGATTCGATTGATGTTTATGTGCTCAAATACTTGAATACATGACATGTTTTAATGGATAGCAAGTTCTTTATTCTTTATACAATGCTTCAAAGCTAATTCTTGCTCCTTCATCAAATTCTCATCCATAAAATCGTGCCATGTATTCATGTTCGTCCCACTTCTAAATGCCTTTCAAAAACTTTGCTCAAATACTGTACAAATGAAATTAGTAATGTTCAGTTTTTTTCAAGTTGATTAAAAATATGTATACTAATGTATATGTATACTAAAGGCCACTGTAAGTATGGTAAGAAATTAACTGAATATTTTGATAGCGCCTGTGGGGTTCGGCAAGGCTGTGTCCTTAGTCCGGTATTATTTTCTTTATATATTAATGAGCTTGTACTGACCTTAGAAAATAAGTTTGATGATGGTATATTTATCTCCAAAAATATGTTGAATATTATTGCTCTGTTGTTTGAAGATGATTTGGTTTTGATAGCTGATACTGTTATTAGATTACAGCGCTGCCTTGACGCCCTACATATGTATTCCCATAAATGGGGCATGGATATTAATACTGATAAAAGTAAAATAATTGTTTTTAAAATGGGTGGACCCTTGTCCAAACATGAAAAATGGTTTTATAATGGCATTCGAATGGAAACTGTCAATATTTATAAATATCTAGGACTTATGATAACTCCTAAATTGATTTGGACTAGGGCATGTAAAACATTATCTGATCAAGCTAATAAGGCACTGTGGCCGATCAAGTCATTTATAAGACGATATGATATTTCACTCTCAGAAGGATTTTATATTATTGATAAAAAAGATTGTCCCAATTCTAACATATGGTGTTTTGAGATATGGGGTTTAGCAATTTTCCAGCAAAAGAGAAAGCATTGAAATTGTCCATCGAAAAATTTTGCAAATTTTACTTCAGATTAGTTACAGATCATCTAATGCTGTTGCATATGGGGAATGTGGGAGGGCACCCTTAAGCAATGTTTATTATGTCAAATGTATTAAATACTGGCTAAGATTATTAAGAATGCATCAAAGTAGATATCCATATCAATGTTATCAATTTTTATTACCTGTTGAATTCAGGAAACATCCCACATGGGCTCGGCATGTCAGTGATTTGTTATTTTATGTTGGCTTTGGTACTGCTTGGATTTCACAAGATGTCGGTGATACAAAAATGTTTCTATATGTTTAATGAAAGAATTAACAACTGCTCCCTAGATGCAAGAGTGGCATCTGTCCCTAGATGTTCCTGTGAAAAATATTTATCATTGAACATAAGTCTTTCTTTGTAATGCTAAGTCCCATAAATCTCTGTTGACCTGTGAAAATATTAAAATCATTGAATGTATATATGTATGCATAAGTAATAAGTGCAGTTTCTGTTCACATTATTTAGATCAGGGTGTAATGCACTAGGTATCAAATATATTAGAAGACGTACTGCCTCCTGCAATGATAATATTGTGTTATGTAAACACTGTAAAAGTATTGAGGATGAAATCCATATTGTTTATATTTGTAAATGCTATGAGGATATGCGTCGGCATACATTCCGAAAATGGTCCATGGATATTATTATTTACTCCACAGCATATGTACATCATCCGACATTACCATCATAAATAATTTAGTCAAGTTCTTAGAACATGTTTATTCTGCTCCTGTTAGCCTTGTTGTATGAAAATGGTAACCAAAATCACTATTGTACCACCTTATACGATGTGTCGTATGGCCTTTATACAAAATAAACCCTTCTTCTTCCTGTTTTGGGATCAGATGATGTCATAGCACACTAAACATATAGTCTGGGAGGTGGGGGAGAGCAAATTGCTGTCAACTTTAACAATATCTGTAAATACTGTTAACCAGTAGCATCAAACTTCATAAATTTGAGCACTCCTGTTTTTTAAGAAACTGCCATTCTTGAGTTTGCATTAGGAAGATAACCTTTCGACTGATAACGGTGGTACTTCAAATGAACAGAAGTAATATACTGTTATCTTTTTAGAAAAAACTCATTTTTTGGTGTACATATTTTTATAGACTAACATCTAGAATCTGAAATGAACATATTTTACAGAAAAAACTGTTCATAAAAAATTATCATAAGATGTAATGAAAAGGAACCCAGAGACTTTCTTCATTTTCAGAAATCTAGACTTGCCACATATTCTAGACTTGCAAGGGCTTTCTTGGATATATTTGTTTCAGGGTCTGTATGACAGACTAATATTTTTTCAAAATTATGTCTCAAGATAGTGAAGAGAATGCATGAACACAACAACCAAAACAACCACAACAATGATAATAACAATAATATGTCATGGTCATGTGTGAGACCCATGTAAGCAATACATGTGCCATAATATGAAAGAACAACAAACCACAATTGTCAAGTCAGTTTGATATAAATATATATATCTGTAATATTATGTACAAACAATTATCAATGTTTTATCCATAAATAGATGAATACGTTGGTACTTTGGACTTGATTATTGGTAGAACCTCCTGGAAAATACAAAAAGAAATATGCATGTTAAAGCTTATATAAAACATTGTCAAAATCATAAATACATGATTCATGTATGATTTCACATCACAATCAATATTCAAAATGGACTATAGTAGCTATAAAAAGATTTCCATTGTTGATGAAGCAATATGGATGATGAAATCAAGACGTCAATGGTTGAATTTACAGCGGCAACGAAACCAGTATGAGACAAATATGATACATATCGCAAATATTGGGTAATGAATAATGAATGTTGGGTAGCGATTACCATAACAAGTCAGCAGTGGATGTATTTTTCCTTATCTGTAGTGAAACTATCAAAATAATTTTTTACCTGCTTCAACCATGTAGATCAACTGTCAATGAGCGTGAGTGAGTGAGTGAGTGAGTGAGTTAGTTTTATGCCAATTTTAGCAATGTTCCATCAATATCACAGCAGGGGACACCAGAAATGGGCTTTACACACTGCACTCATGTGGGGAATCGAACCCAGGTCTTCGGCATGACGAGCGTTTGCTTTAACCACAAGGCTACCCCAATGCACTGAATAAGTGAGTTAACATGAAAACAACTGTCCTGTAACCATAGTAACATGAAGGTTCTCAAGTGAAAGTGTGTCTCACCCTCCCTCCATTCTGCTCCAGTTGTTGTAAGATGTCTGTACACTTTTCTTTGTATTTTTTGTCCATCATCTTTTTGGATACCTAAGCATGACAGAAGTTTATGTTAATCAAATATGTAATTTTCTGAATAAAATTGATATTTTATACTTATCCTGACTCATGCTCTTTTGCTTGTCTTCTTCTTCTTGCGAACATAGTGGAACACTTGTATCTCCCTAATTGAAGCTCCCTTCAATGTAAAATCACTAATTAGTACTCACCAAGAGTTGCCTCCCTCTTCCAAATGTGCGGGAAAGGAGGCGCCACCTCTTCCCTCATGCCTCACTCTCTCCTGTTTAACGAGCCCAACACTTGAATTTACAGGGAAATCCAAAGTGTTATGTGGGGAGGATGGGAGGGCTTACCTCATGAGTCAGGATAAGTATAAAATATCAATTTTATTCAGAAAAATTACATATTTTTCCTTATCCTGACTCATGCTCTTCTTGTAGAATCCTCTGAGGAAACGGAGGTGGGAACAGAATACTTTGGATTTAAATAATTAGTGATTTATATATATAAGTAATAACCCCCTACGGGAACTTCATAATGGCACTGTAATTAGGATAATTCCTGCTGTTATAAAACATAAGTTCTACCAGCTGCCATAGATGGGGGTACTACAATAATTAGATACTATGATAATAGTAATAATGGTATAAAAAGCGACTCCAAAGTGGAGAAGCGACCCAATGTACATTAAACATCAGTACTGGGCTTAAGACTAATGTAGACTTAAGATATGTATATAATTAGCACAAAACTCCGTAGAGTTATAAGCTATATGATACTGGTATGATATATACAGAATAATCTCGTGAGACTATGTCTCATCGTCTACGAGGGACTGTCAACTGCTGTGCGAGGACCATGGGACCGAAATGGTGAATACCTGAGACGTCCTCGGTGGTGATATCTCTCAGATAGTGGTTAGCAAACACCATGTCGGATTTCCAAAAGCAGCCCTCCATAATGGTATTCAACGAGCAATTTCCGTGTAGAGCGAGTGTGGAAGCCAGTGCTCTGATTTCCTGGGGATTAGATGCTCTTGGAGGGTCGAGTCCTGCAGCCTTGTAGGCACGAAGTATGACAGTTCTGATCCATATCGATATGGTGAATACGAGACTTCGGTCTGAGTCGCTGTCGATAGAGGGATGAATAACCACTTGAGTTGTCGTCGCCTCGTTTTGGATCGTTGTAGATAGATTTTGAGTGCTCTGACTGGACATAGAGATAGGTCAAGCGTATCTTGAGGTCCGAGAATTGAGAAGAGTGCAGGAACATGGAATAATCTGTCTGGTTGACCTGGCAATAGATTCTTGGCGATAAAATCCCATCGCAGTCCCATATGCACTATGTTTAGATTGTCGTCAAAACGTATTCTCTCATAATCTAGAGCGTGAATTTCTGACATCCTGGCTGCCGTTGCTAGGGATAACAGGAACAATGTTTTCTGTGACAGAAATTCAAAGGTTGTTGATTCCAGTGGTTCATAGGCCTCACTTGTGAGGTGTTGGAGCACTATACCGGGATTTTCCGGAAAGCCGCCCAGGGCTGTAAAACGGAAATTTGGGGAAAATTTGGGGACAAAAATGGACCATATAACCGCCCGGGCGATAATTCAGAAATAAAATAATTCAATAGTCGGGAACTAAAATCGACTCACTGTCGAGTTTCATCCTGATTAGATATCGTGTAGATGCACGCAAAATGTTGCCAAAATGAAATCTTCGCAATTCAACATGTAGTAGTCATAACATTATTTATTTATCTGAAAAATGTGTTGCCAATATACCCTGGGCTTATCTTGTGACAGTTAAAACATACCTAATAATTCACGAAATCAAGGCAGTCATCTTGCCTCTTCGTAAACCGAAACTTGATCATCAGCCATTTTGTAAGCATGTGACTATCATCCAATCAGAAAGCTGCTGTCAAATTTGTCAGCCAATCAAATTTAACCTTACAATGTTACGGTACCAATATTGTAATGTAGAGGGTTATAGGTCATGCAGTTGTTTACATACGCTACAAGACGGGACAGACAGAACATGTGACATACATTATGTACTTTTTAATGATAACAACATTTCCTTGAATAAAGATTTATTTATTTATTTTAAGATTTATTTAGACAATTACAAATTGTGATTGTTTATCACAGAAGTTGCCGTTTGCTGGAGCCCTGATTTGTCTGATCAGTTCCTTAAAATTAAATGTCAGTGTCTTCAAAACCTTCAAAGACGTCCAGCTCATCATCACTATCGAAGATGGCTTGGATTTCTTCATTGGTTGCCATGTCAAAATCTACCTCCGGAATTTCATTTTCGACCGCTTGGTCTTCTTCGTCTTCTACGGGTACTTCAAGGCCAGACAAGACATCACGTAGTCGAAAGTGTTCAGCCGGTCAAGGGCCACTGTCCGACCACGGGCACAATTCCACAACATTCAAAACTTCTGACTATTGTGTCCTTGTTCAGTGTGGCCACAGCACTGGCTTAACGAAATCCACTATTCGCTGGTAGGATGGTTTCCCGCGATAACCTTTGTTTGTATACTCCTTTTCGCCATTTGCAAACCAATCCGTCCATTGGACACGAAGTGCTTTCTTAAACGGTCCATTGACTGAGACATCCAGTGGCTGCAGGTAAGATGTTGTTTTAGGAGGGATCAATTTTACAACAGTTTTTCGTCGCTTGAATGCATCAAGAAGTTCGGCCTTCTTGTGAGCTGAGCATTCATCCATAAACAGCACAGCAGGTTGGATATGAAACAACTGAGCAGATCGTTGTCCAAACACTGTGTTAATCCACAATTTCATCAGTTCATAATTAATTGATCCCTTAGTAGCTACTGTCAAATAAACATTCTTTGGTAAGTTCACCTTTGGCACATTTTCAATCCTTTAAGGATAATCATTGTCTTCAATAACCGACCAGCAGCATTCACACACAGCACGGCAGTAAAACGCCAGAAAGCACCACAGTGACTTGCATCAACATTTTGTTTCCAACAAAATCTATAGTTGTTGAACTCAACATATCAACATACACGGGTGTTTCATCCATATTGTATATCTGGTCAGCGTCCATATCTGAAGTTACTGCAGGGATGCTGTCTAAATAATCGCTGGCAATTTGTGCCTTCTCTCCCATGAGATTTATTGTCTGCTTGACCAGCGTGTGTTATCTTCCTCACTGACAGTTTGTTACGCTTCATGAAGTTGTAGATCCACTTGTCAGAACACTTGAATTCCACAGCTTTGATGCCAAGTTCTTTAGCCATTGTTAATGCCTTCTCTCTTAAACGGCGATAATTAACGATCAGTTTGTTAGCACGTTGATCTACAACCCATTGATAAAGGTCAGTCTCCAAATCCCTGTGTTTCGGTCCTCGACCACCACCAACAAATCTGCGTCTCTTTTTATCTGGTGTGTTTGTTAGTTCAGATTCTTTTGAACACCATTACCGTAAACGTTTCCTATCGATCGCCAACTCTCTTGAAGCAGCAGATAAATTACCAGAAAGTTCTTTCACTCGCTTAACGGCATCTAATTTGTCACTAATGGTGTATGACCGCTGGATACGTTTCGCTGAACCAGTATTCTTCTGTCGCCATTGTCAGGAATGAAAATGTGTAGGTTTTGCCCGACATATATTCCAAGTGTAAGCTACGTGTTTATAACAATTAAGTACCGGTACATTTGATCACTAATCAACTCTTCTCCAACTGTTTACATAACGTGTACACACCTGTGGGGGACGATAACAATAAATTCGTTTTTGAGACTGCAACTGCAATTAATTATACAGACACTGATGATTACCGGTACAGTGATAATTTATTTGTAAAAACAATTGGTAAAAACAAGAGATGCACGTGTGTGTTTGCTTTTCATTCAAGCAGTACTAGAAGTGGGTTGGACAATATGCCCTTATTTGGAATTACGCCAATGCTTTTGTGTCAGCTAATCTGATTGGCTTATTGAAAGCCACCATCTTTCTAGGTCATCAAAACATCACACCGTAAGTTTTTTATGTCGCTTTGAAAGCGGTGTGCCTCTAAATGCATGAACATAAAATGACGGTTCGACTCTACATAGCAATAACGTTAGGTAATGTAATGTAAATGAAGATTTTTCAATTAAATCAAGCTATTTTAACCATTAGTGTAAAATGAAGATGTGTCAAACGGACACGTAATATCCTGTGTCAAAGACGGAATACCTATATAGGTGTTGTTAAATTTATTTTCCTACACGTTTATATCCATCTACAATGAACAATGACCTCTGACACATAAATAACGAAGTTTACTGTGAATTATATTTCTAAATAGCAGTAATGAAAAAATAAGTTTTAACCCCATATAATCGCCCACCTAAAATAAGAGCCCATGGGCGAATTATTGAGTGGGCGGCTTTCCGGAAAATCCCGGTATTTAGATCCCATGCTGGAGCGCGAAATCTCTGTTTCTGATCCTCCAATCGGAATGAACGTAGTAAGGCCAGTAACTCCGGCGTTTTCGTTAACTTGACACCCGTTCTCATAGTTATCACAGAACTTAGAGCTGCGTGATATGTTGACAATGTCGAGCCTTTTAGACGTTTAGTTTGTCGTAGGTAACACAGGTAGTCCGCCACTTGTGGATGTGTAGCATTTCTAGCTGTAAATCCCTTTTTAGCATGTCTCAAAACTGTGCCACTTGTCGTCATACAAGTTGGCGTAAAGAATTGGCGTAAAAGCAAGCTGACTGCTTTCGCGCTCTGGCTGAATAACCCTCTTGTTTAGACACACTTTTAATACAGTCAATACATTGAAGTTGGAATGCTTCTGGGTTTCGTCGCGCTTGTTTGGTGTGAGGATGTACTAGTAGATTCAAAGCGCTTTGGTAGTTGTAGTGTTGGTTGTCCGATTTCTTGAATTAGAATGGGAAACCACGTTCTCGCTGGCCAGTAGGGTAGCGACCAAAATCAGTTGGAGGCTCTGAGTTTGTCTGATTTTCTGTAACACCTTGGAATAAGCGCTGGAAACGCCGCGACGCGTTGAGGCCTTCCCAGGATATGCTTAGTGCGGCCCGCTGCCACGCTTGTGGATCTGGGACTGGTGATACTAATGTTGTTAGCTGATTGTTGAAGCGAAAGTGGCGAATAATAGGTCTTCTAGCCGAGCTCCTATTTCCTTTGATAATCTGTGCAAAGATTTCTGTATGGAGCATCCATTCTGTCGGTGACGGTAGATGTGGGCGAGAGAGCGTCTGCTAGTACATTCTTGGTTCCAGGAATGTGACATGCTCTGACATGTATGTTGAGATCGCCGATTAGATCGAACAGTTGAAAGCATAGAGTCAATAGGTTCAATGATCTCGTTGAGCCTTGTTTGTTTATATAAAACGCCACTGTTGAGTTGTCAGTGTGAATCATTAGATGCGCATTCTGTAGAATGGTGCTCCAATGTAGTAGGGCTGATTACTGCTTTCATTTCTAGCATGTTTATGTGCAGCTTGCCCTCTTGCTGGTTCCATAACCCTGATGCCGTCTGGTTGGGGAGATGAGCTCCCCAACCTTGAGCGACACGCGCCTACATAGAGATGGGTTTTGAACTCCGCTCTGTTAAATAGATGCCTTCGCAAACATTCGACCTCCTGGTCCACCAAAGTAGATGAGGTCTGAGGTAATAATCTGTCCGGATCGTCCGGTTGTACATTCATGAAAACCATTAGTGGGCGTAGTTGTAATTCTCTTTGCATGTCATGTCTTGTGCTGACGTGAGAAAAACCAACAGATTTCGCCACTTCATAGTAAAAACGGAGAGAGTAGTGCTTGAGATACAAGAACTTGTATCTATATCCTACGATCTTGACATCCTTACCGTGTCTGTAAGGAAATGAAGTGATGGCCGACTCTGTGACTGTCATCGTTGAAACTATGTAAAAATCGCCTGGCTGCCGCGCCCTCGTCTTCAATGATGACAGGGGAGGTCTCTAACCCCATGAAGGCAGCCAAATCACGAAGGTCGAGTCTAACTGGACTGTAATGGAGGCGTTGCTCGCTCGCTGACATGTTATTGTCACTTGTAACCCATGTCTTGATCTGTGAACTACGTTCGATCTCTGCGCAGGGCGTTGTCCTTCGTGGTCCAATCAAAACAAAGCATTTTGATTCTGTAGGGTAGCCGCGCTGTGATGTCGCCGGTGTAGCAGGAAAAAGATCCTTGTAGAATCTAGTGCCGTCGTTGATATCTGATCAATCGTCGGTCTTGTCCGTAGCTTTCCGAGGTTACACGAGTGACCACATGTGTCGAGGGTTAAATGGTAAACGCGTGAATATCGATGCTGGGGAGGCTGTCTACTTCAGTCTTGAAGATAATGCCGTCGTCCTTATACATAGGCTCAATTGAACTTTCACTTTGTCAGCTTGTACACTGCATACATCAATGAAGCGTCGTAATTGTAGAATTAATGCTGAACTTGTTGTAAATTTTTTCTCAGGGAATCATTGACGATTATGTATTTATCTCGATGTAGCAAGGCTGCTGTTGAATCCCGTCATTGAGAATGTCTGCAGATCTGTACGAAGGTGAAGATCTGTATAAGGCCATGAATCTTCTAATGTAGATATATCAATCTATGTGAATCCCGTTCTGGATTCCGTCTGAAGATCCGGAAGCTAGTGATGAATTCTGACAAAAGTACTCTCTTTGTACTGTATTACCTATCTTCAGTGTGTAACGCTGAAGATTTTTCCCTTCTAGGATGACGCTTACTGCCGGTCCTAGTTGAATAACCTTGATGATCTGGCGAAGTGATCTGCATGGTGGTCGGCTTGGTGTGACTGTATGGCTTTGCATGTAGATAATTGTCTCAGTAGTCCGGAATTGCCTACCTGGCAAATATATAATGAAATGGTGATTTCGTGATGATCCGCGAGGCCGTTGATGCCCTTTGATGTAGGTAGTCTGTCTGAAGATCCTTTATTAGGCTCTTCATCTGTTGACAGTCTCTGAAGATATAGCGGCCCTCCTTCGCAGCTTGTAGACTATAAGTAGCGTTCTGTTAAGAAGTTAAGTACTGCGACGTCTCTGCCTTGTGGATGGCCTGTGCGAATACCTTCGCGCAGGCTCGGTGATGACATATAGCGTTCTGTTGAGAATGTAAGTACTGCGGCGTTTCTGCGTTGTAGATGGCATGCGGCGTACAGTTGAGAGACGAAGTACTGCGATGTCTCTGCTTCGCTGGAGACCTGTGTGACAACCTGCGTGAAGACCTTCATGGAGACCTGCGCGTAGACCTGCGCGGAGACCTGTGTGGGGATCTGCGTGAAAATCGGCGAGGAGATCGACGTGGTGAATAGTCCAACGAACTGTGCCTGTAGCTGACGTCCTTCGCAAAGGCCTTCGCGAAGGCTCATCTGCATCCGCACTTGGGGAGTGGTGACCGGTCCTTTGCGAACACCTTAGCGAACGCTGGTCGTCCAATTCTGTATCCGGGGATGGAAGAATTCTCCTTCGCGAATGCCTTCGCGAACGCTGATTCCATTTCTTGGGGATGGCGACTGGTCCTTCGCGAACGCCTTCGCGAACGCTGGTCGTCCAATTCTGTATCCGGGATGGAAGATTTCCTTCCTTAATGCCTTCGCTAACGCTGATTCCATTTCTTGGGCGCCTTCCACGAGCGAACGCCATAACGCTGGTCGTCCGATTCTGTATCCGGGATGGCGATTCCTCCTTCGGATGGTTGAGTGCTGATCGTCTGTGTCCGCCGCAGGATGGCTGGCCTGTAGTGTAGATCTGCTGCCAGATGTCACGTTGATGAAGGGTCCCTCAGAGACGACGTCTGCGTTGGAACCTTCAGCGAAGGCTCGGGACCTCGTTGTGGGCTGTGACTTCTTCTCCAGGCCGTAACGCTGATCATCTCCTGCATAAAGTCCCCGGTTTGAAGGTCTCGCGGTGGTAGTAGTAGCTGTCCTTTCTGGCGCTGATAGCGGCGCCGTCCACAGGACGCTCATCTGTTGTCATCGTAGATACCTCGGTACCGTGGAGATGCGCTTCACCAAGGTGACTGGTGTACATGTGATGAACCTCTGGGAAGATGATCGGTTGATCATCGGAGAGTCCCTGTACCGTCAACGGAACAATCTCGGCAGAGAAAGTTCTTGTAGTCTCGCGCCAGACATCCCCGTAGAGTTGTCGTCATCTAAGGGTGTGTAGCCTTCTCTGGGTAGAGGATGGTGTCTATACATCATCTGCGCGGTTGTAGACGCGCTGCCCCTATCTGCGTTGGTGGCGACGGGACCCATGGGAAGCTCATCAGTCATCATTGTTGATACATCGAGCTGATTGTGGATCTGCGCTGACATCACTGTAGCTGATACCGGTCGTTTCTTGTGATGAACCTCGGGAATGATGAGCGGCTGCTCATCATACAGGCCCTGTTCTGCGACGGGAACAATCTCGGCCGAGAAAGTTCGTGCGGTCTGCGCTGGCTTCCCCTTGGTGGTAGATGCTGCCCTGGGGGTGCGGAGTCTGCACTGAGATGTAGATGCCCTCTTAGTCTAGACTGCGACGACTGGATGTCTGGTGATGCAGGTCGCTTCTTGGAGACGGCGGACTGCATCCCATGCCTCTCCTCCAAGAGAACTCCAGCGGAACACCAGACGGGAGGGGATCATCCGACAGCAGTTGACTTGAGAGGGATTCAGCCGCATATCCATGCCTGGATACAGCTTACGTGACTCTATCTGCTAAAGCGCCACAAGATGCAAAAGTAAATATTTGTTAAATGCAGAATTATATAAATTATTGCAAAAACTGCAACCTGAACTGAAAGAACATGGTACAGAACAGCTAGGGCATATTAAATGCGGATCAGCAGCAGAAAAACGTAGCTTGCAAACAGTACAGATTTTTCATCAACGTAATCTACTGAACAATCACGGCGTCCCATGAATAAACAGTAGTAAATATGAGTAAATATGAATAAATATTAAACCATATTGTTAAAAGGATACTAGCTAAACCTCTATAAGACACTTGTAAAGGTAACTAAGTAAGAATAATCAAAGGATATAGTGCCGTAGGGAGACACAGGCGCTCTCACATCCTGCTCACTGGGCGAAGAAGGAGAGAGTGAGGCATGAGGGAAGAGGTGGCGCCTCCTTTCCCGCGCATTTTGGAAGAGGGAGGCAACTCTTGGTGAGTACTAATTAGTGATTTAACATTGAAGGGAGCTTCAGTTAGGGAGAAACAAGTGTTCCACTATGTTCGCAAGAAGAAGAAGACAAGCAAAAGAGCATGAGTCAGGATAAGGAAAAATATAAAAAAGTGCAAAGGTTCTGCACATCTGCGCATGAGTTTTACCCATAACTGCCCAATGCTTATTGTAAGAGGTGAATAACAGGGTCGGGTTGTCAGGCTGGCTAACTTGGTTGACACATGTCATCGTATCCCAACTGCATAGATCGATGCTGATGCTGTTGATCAGTGGATTGTCTGTCCCAGACTATTATTTACAGACTGACGCCATATAGCTGGAATATTGCTGAGTGCGGCATTAAACAACAAACCAACCAACCAGCATAGAATTCCTCCCAGGCAAGAAGATGAGACCCCAAATCAGGATAAGATCCCAAGTCAGGCCTTCCAGAACTGTCACAACAGCCCAACACGACCCATTACTACTGGTATTATGTTATCATAGAGAGAGCTCCTTTAGTGTTATACAAGATCCACTCACTGGCATCAGCAAGTTTTTGAGGTGTGGATTCAGTGCTGGTCCCACAGAGTTACTGAGCTGCTGAAGGGCATCAAGTGACCTCTCAAATACACCTGCATCACTGTGAGCCTGAAACAAGACGACATCGTACACATCAAGTGTGCTGTGTAATCACCTTAAGGTTGTTTGTTTTTATGTAAAGTTTTTACCAGACCATCGGGCTTGCTAGATGCAAATTTAGACTGTCCGTCAGAAATCTATTAGCTTATACTCCAGCAATATCACAGCAAGGGACACCAGAAATGGGCTTCAAACATTATACCCATGTGGGGAATCAAACCCAGGTCTTCGACGTGACAAGTGAACGCTTTAACCACTAGGCTACCCCACCGCCCCAACTGAGCAAAAGACCATTTCAGTTGAATGTTCATGTCTAATTTTGTTCACAGAAAAGAGGAGAGGGGAGGGGAGGGGTTGTCTAGATTGGTCTCTACATATAGTCTGAGCACTATCCTATCCATATATAGTATGAGCCAAACCTTACATTGTTTAATAACAAGGAAAAAAATAACCACAATCTTTATTATTCTGAATTAACAAACTGTCATTTTATGACTAGATAGAATTGACAGTACAAAAACGAAAATACTGAATTTTGGAATGGCATTACGGTATACTGAACCGAAGGTAAAATGCTGCGGATCTTCTAATACTATGGTATACCATTTCACCCCTAAGTATGATCTGATGTTTCAGTATAGAGCCTTATACCATTGCATATGGAACATTTTCGTATTGGTCCCAGATGTAACTACAAATTCAAATTGTATAAATCATCATATTTGCTATACTGTTTACCAGTGCTGCTCTTAGTGACGGCGCCAACTTTGGTAAGAGAGGAGCTGCCTTATCACCCGAGTCTTGGACTTCTAACAACTCCTTAAATCCAGCACATGAGACAAATGTGTATGGGTGAACAGTTTCTCTTAAACCCTGAAATAGAAAATAAAGGAGGGCTTTCAACAAGTGTTTGGCTCAATTACAGTTTGATCAGAAACATAGCATTTCAGTTCGAGCCAGAAGCACGAGACACAGATCTCCAAACATAGGTATGGTGCTGACAAAGGACAATGTTCCAGGCGATATTGGACCTAAAGCGAGTGCGTGAGTTTAGTTTTACGCCGCACTACGCAATATTCCAGCTATATGGCGGTGGTCTGTAAATAATCGAGTCCCGACCAGACAATCCAGTGATCAAAAGCATGATCATCGGTCTTCGAAATTGAAACAGATGACATGTGTCAACCAAGTCAGCAAGCCTGACCACCCGATCCCGTTGGTCGCCTCTTACGACAAGCATGAGTTACTGAAGATCAATTCTAACCCGGATCTTCACAGGTTGGACCTAAAGCCACAATCAGTGGATATTTGCAAGACTGAGGAATATAAACTCTCTAAACTCTGTTTAGGTGATACAAAACCCTTATAACACTGAGCCAACTGTGACTACCTCCATAAACTGAAACCATGCAATCAAATCAATGATTACTCCAAAAGAAGAAAAAAACCCTCAATTTTTCATTCCAACAATGTATATTATAATTCATGTTCATCAATGCTTCAACGATGAACACACATGATATATATTGTGATCAGCTCGCTTGAAACCAGTTGAGCATGACTGTAGTGTTATACATCACTGTGGATGAGATGCATGTGAAATGTCCCTACTACTGTACTCTGGCATTCCAATGTTTCAGACAACAGTAATCAGCTGGGTTTTTGTTGTTGTTTAATGCCACACTCAGCAATATTCCAGCTATATGGTGGTAAATAATCGTGTCTGGACTAGACAATCCAGTGATCAACAGCATAAGCATCCATCTATGCAAATGGAATGTAACATGTAAACCAAGTCAGAGAGCCTGACCATCCATCGATCCTGTTAGTCGCCTCTGGCGACAAGCATGGGTTGCTGAAGACCAATTCTAACCCGGATCTTTACTGGTGGCAATTAACTGTCCTAACGTGAGTTAAACAGAACCTTTTAACTGTTCTACCCAGGCATCCCAATGTTTCAGATCACTGATAATCACCTCTGCTAACGCGAGTAACTGAGCCTTTAATATGTCCATACTCTACTTTACCAAGGCATTCCAATGTTTCAGATCACTGATAATCACCTCTGCTAACGTGAGTAATATGGAACGCCCCTACTACTCTACCAAGGCATTCCAATGTTTCAGATCACTGATAATCACCTCTGCTAATGTGAGTAATATGGAACGCCCCTACTACTCTACCAAGGCATTCCAATGTTTCAGATCACAGATAATCACCTCTGCTAATGTGAGTAATATGGAACGCCCCTACTACTCTACCAAAGAATCCCAATGTTTCAGATCAGTGATAATCACCTCTGATAACGGTGAGTAATATGGAACACCCTACTACTTTACCAAGGCATCCCAATGTTTCAGACCACAGATCACTGATAATCACCTCTACCAAGGCTAATGTGAGTAATATGTAATATACTACTACCAAGGCATCCCAATGTTTCAGATCACAGATAATCACCTCTTCTAACATGAGTAATATGGAACGCCCTACTACTCTACCAAAGAATCCCAATGTTTCACCATGATAATCACCTCTGCAGATCAAAGTCCATAATATGCAGTAATATGGAACCCCTACTACTTTACCAAGGCATTCCAATGTTTCAGATCACTGATAATCACCTCTGCTAACGTAATTAAGTATGGAACGCCCCTACTACTTTACCGAGGCATCCCAGTGTTTCAGATCACTGATAATCACCTCTGCTAACGTAAGTAACACAGAGCTACCCTATAACTCTACCAAGGCATCCCAATGTTTCAGATCACTGATAATCACCTCTGCTAACGTGAGTAATATGGAACGCCCCTACTACTTTACCAAGGCATCCCAATGTTTCAGATCACTGATAATCATCTCTACTAACATAAGTAACACAGAGCTACCCTATAACTCTACCAAGGCATCCCAATGTTTCAGATCACTGATAATCACCTCTGCTAACGTGAGAAATATGGAACGCCCCTTCTACTCTACCAAGGCATCCCAATGTTTCAGATCACTGATAATCACCTCTGCTAATGTGAGTAATATGGAACGCCCCTACTACTCTACCAAGGCATTCCAATGTTTCAGATCACTGATAATCACCTCTGCTAACGTGAGTAATATGGAACGCCCCTACTACTCTACCAAGGCATTCCAATGTTTCAGATCACTGATAATCACCTCTGCTAACGTGAGAAATATGGAACGCCCCTACTACTCTACCAAGGCATCCCAATGTTTCAGACCACAGATAATCACCTCTGCTAACGTGAGTAATATGGAACGCCCCTACTACTCTACCAAGGCATCCCAATGTTTCAGACCACAGATAATCACCTCTGCTAACATGAGTAATATGGAACGCCCCTACTACTGTACAAAGGTATCCCAATGTTTCAGATCACTGATAATCACCTCTGCTAATGTGAGTAATATGGAACGCCCCATCTACTCTACCAAGGCATCCCAATGTTTCAGATCACTGATAATCACCTCTGCTAACGTGAGTAATATGGAACGCCCCTACTACTCTACCAAGGCATTCCAATGTTTCAGATCACTGATAATCACCTCTGCTAACGTGAGTAATATGGGCAGCCCTACCAAGGAATCCACTGCTCAGGTGAGTTACGCCCTACTACTCTACCAAGGCATTCCAATGTTTCAGATCACTGATAATCACCTCTATGGAACAGGCATGACTACCTAATATGGAACAGATAATCACCTCCTGCCTCTACTACTCTACCAAGGCATCCCAATGTTTCAGACCACAGATAATCACCTCTGCTAACGTGGAGCAATATGGAACAGCCCTACTACTCTACCAAGGCATCCCAATGTTTCAGACCACTGATAAGATAATCAGCGCCCTACTGCTAAAGGCATCCCAATGTTTCGGACCACAGATAATATGGAGTAATATGGCGCCCTACTACTCTACCAAGGCATCCCAATGTTTCAGACCACAGATAATCACCTCTGCTAACATGAGTAATATGGAACGCCCCTACTACTGTACAAAGGCATCCCAATGTTTCAGATCACTGATAATCACCTCTGCTAATGTGAGTAATATGGAACGTCCCATCTACTCTACCAAGGCATCCCAATGTTTCAGATCACTGATAATCACCTCTGCTAATGTGAGTAATATGGAACGCCCCTACTACTCTAACAAGACATTCCAATGTTTCAGACCACAGATAATCACCTCTGCTAATGTGACTAGGACAGGATCAAACTGTACATTATCTGGTGGACTGTCCCAGGCTATCTTGTGCTTCACACTGCCATGGACCAGTCTGAAACAAAGTACATTACCAGAATGACCAACTTAATATCAGTTCTCCTACAGGCACAGCAAGTGTCCTGCAGCACAAGGATCCCTGACCCAAACATTATGACATGGGTTAAGTATGACTGAAAAAGACATTAAAGCAACATAGAGGAGTGAGTGGGTTTAGTTTTACCCTGCTTTTAGCAATATTACAGCAATATCACAGCCGGGGGACACTGGGCGTCACACATTGTACCTATGTGGGGAATTGAACCCGGGTGTTTGGCGTGACGAGCGAACGCTTTAACCACTAGGCTACCCTGCCATCCGCAACAAAGATGAACCAGGTATCACATTGTCAAATTCATCTTAGTGCTTCAACATTGCATTTATCTGATGTGGAACTAGTTCATGTCTACATAAACTTTTGAAGAAGAGTAATGGTGGAAGAACCAAAGTTGATACTTAATGATATTTTCATATATTACACAAGTGATTCAAATTTCTGTAATGAATTAATTTGACAAACTCTTCAAAACAACATGGTTAAAGAAGTAGAAAATGGCAGTCAGATGACACATCAAGGTAAACAACAGTGATCTTCTCACCTGCATGGAAGGCCTCCACTGGAATACACTGACGCAAAGGCTGACATATTCTTCTTTGAATTGGCAAACTGCAAGAACATCATGTACCGGTATATGTCATAGAAATTATATTTAAGTATGCCCATAACTTCATAATACAGATTACCACACAACATGCTAGAAGGGTGTATCCTCATAATTTTAGTAAATGAATGTACCCATGAATAAGCAAGGCTATATCTATTTACTGGAGTTAAACATTCCTGTGAAAGTTGAAACTTAGGTTAAGGATTAACATAATTAATCTTCAGCAACCTGTCACACGATGCAGTTAACAGTAATGGGCTATTACAAATTGGTCTTTAGCAAACCATGTTGTCACAAGAGGTAACTGAAAGGACTGGGTGGTCAGGCTAACTGACTGTATACTGACTGTATGCCAATTGCACATATCATAACTGATATCCAATGTTTTCTTTGATATGAACAATTTTAACAATGACCACCATAAAAGTCCACATCAGAGAAAAGTGAACTGTTACAAGACATTATGTTTTAGTTCCTTTATTGAAAATGCTAAGAAAGGAAGCCACCCAATCACATGCAAAAACAACCTCATTCCATCACCCTTCAAATCTGCCATTGTCTACATAGTGTAACACTGTAAGTGGTAAAAACAGTTCTGGTAGAGTGTGGGGAACTGTCATTGTATTGGTGGGAATATGATCCAAATATTTCATGGGGATTTGCCTGAATGGGGAATTTTCTAAACCATATTAAAATTACTAATGGTGTCTCAGGGCTCCAGATACTTTTTCAACATCAGGAGTACATACTCCTTATGTTTTCAATATAGGAGTACTGGAAAAAATTTTAAGAGTACATTTAGAGTACTGAATGCAATTTAAAGGCGTATCAGTAGTCTTGTGTTTCGTTTCATAAGCACCACAACATTTCTACTCTTGTGTAAACAGGTCAATAAACAATAAAACAATACCTTTTCAGATGAATACGTCTGTAAATGATTTTAAGACCGTACACCATTGCTGTGGTGCATTTCTGCTACGTTTTCTAAATTATTTCCTACCGTATCGTGCATATTTTATATCCGTACATACGCCGATACGGCCCTTATCTGGAGCCCTGGTGTATCATATGTGAATTGGTGTGGGTGAAATATATTTTTCTTCGGGATAGATCCAGATCAAGGGTGTATAATAGTTCATATAAATAAACTCATATTCCAGCCAAGGCCTACAGGCAGTGCACACCTTGGTATAGTGCTAAGTCATCTAGTTATATCTGCTGGACGGGACTAGGGTGTATCAGTCACATTGAGTGAGTTTAGTTTTACGCCGCACTCAGCAATATTCCTGCTACATGGCAGCGGTCTGTAAATAATCAAGTCTGGACCGGACAATCCAGTGATCAACAGCATGAGCATCGATCTGGCCAATTGGGAACCGATGACATGTGTCAACCAAGTCAGCGAGCCTGACCACCCAGTCCTGTTAGTCTCCTCTTATGACAAGCATGGATTACTTAAGATCAATATTCTAACCCGGACCTTCACGGCAAGCATGGGTTACTGAAGATCAATATTCTAACCCGGACCTTCACGGGTTGTATAAGTAACAACTCAATAAAAGCATTATACTTAATACAACACAATTGAACTTAAAATGTCAAAAATGCCTGACAATCCTTCCAGCTTACAGGATCAACGGTTTTCGGGTTTAGTCGATCCGATGGACGAGACGGTTTCAATGGTTTTCTTGCTGCATCAGCGTTGCTGGCACTGGCTGATTTTTTAACTGGGACCTTTCCAGCACTTGTTGGAGGAGTGCGTGAACCCCTGGGACCCTGCCGATCCATGTGAGCTAGTCCGGCCCTTCGCACTACCAGAACTAGCCATTTCAACTTCTGAAGATACTGTGCACAAAACAAACGCTTAGAATCAATGTCTCAGCAACTTATCGTTGAATGTCTTGCAGTATCAGCATGACAGCACATGCAGCAGGGTATTCTTTATAATCAACACAGATTAATGATAACAAAATGTGGCAATGACACCTTGGCTAAAATGCATTAATCCGGGGGGTATACACCAGTAAGGGAGCCCACTTTCAAGTTTCAAAACATTGTGTGGAGGCCGCCATTTTGACAGCTGTCACATTGCATCATGGGAAGGCGTACCTGCTTGTTGCCATGACGCGACTTGTCACTTTAGTGCGTAGAAATACATTATGAACATTTTCATACACATGCTGAATATCTGAGAAATTAAGGGGAAATATTTATTTCCCATTTCCTATCAAATACTCTATATATATGGTTTACTTTTGTCTTTCGTTTTAAGATTTAGATATTCTGCATACACCATTTATCTTTTGGACTATATATTTTGCGAACGCATTTCCTGTTTGCCTTCGCGTCTAACAACATGGCGTTCGAATTGAAGTAGAAAGAACGATGCAAGTGTTTAATGTGATATGATGATACAGTAATTAGTGACAACACTAATCAAGCAGTGAAAATGGACACAAGCATAAGAACACTTCTCGTTTCTGCCCAGAAGCACGCAGGTAAACTTTAATCTCAGCCAATATTACCTTTGACAGCAGTCAGACGACACGAGCACCTGCAAACTTATGAAGTTGTGTTTGGATACATTATGTGTATCAACGCTCGACCTCAAATGACACTTTGACAGACAAACGAATGTCTATGCAATGAATTAAAAACGTACCCTTTCTACAGATGATCTACAATATAACATGACATCCTTTCCATAGATTGACAAATCTTTGAAATATATTATCTCTATTTATCTAGTAGATCTATCTTACCGTCACATGTTTTCGCTCAACAACTGTTCGCTTTGAGTCGAGATTTTCTTCTGATAGTTTATGAGCTGTGAGATGTGCAACTTGTTTGTCAGCAAACATTGTCTCGTTACCGCACGAGTGACAAAATGCTCACAATCAAGCAGTAAAACAAGGGGTTTTTTTTTATCTGAATGTTATGGCTTATGTAAAATTGTAAAGCATTTCTCTGACTTATTAAGGACAACGTTTTTATGGAATAGACCACCATCCGAGTATTTACAATATGTGTGACGCAACCAAAATTATTATTGTGCGAGTAAACACTGGCATCCAAAATGAAGTGACATTTGAATACCAATGGTCAAAACGTAATTAATCAAGTTTTGAGAAATATATCAGTTTGAAATAGAGATCACTAAGATATAAGTCACCACTGCAAGAAATAGTATAAGGAAGTTTTAGTGCGGTCAAAAACCTGAGTGATAGATGACTCGCTTGTGTTGATATTGGCTGTAAGAAAATCACATGGCCTGTGCTAGGTTCAGTGGACATAAATAGCAAGACAAGGTGAGCGAAAACACATGATGTCATTGCAAAATGTTATGGTCATGCTTGGAACTTCAGAAGCGAATGATGCAGTTTTTCATAGACTTTCATATTTGATATTTTGATAAATATTATTAACCATATCAACATGTAGGTACCATATTAATTATTACTGTTCTAATATTTGTTTCTCTGTGGTTCAGACCAATAGCCAGCCCTGCAATTCATGGGGGTACCTAAAGAAATTAGTATGATTAGAACACTTTTATACAAATATTTTTAGTCTGTCAAGATGTTCAGTTGTTATTTGACTATTGCGGACATAAGTTCCACAATTTGTCTCTTGTGCCACAATTCAGAATACCAACTAATGCACTTTCAGCATTGGTCAATAAAAGATCAGGGGTTCCATGAATGTATTTTCTAGTTTATGCCATGATCAATGCCATCATGATAAAGAAAAGACAATGAGTTTTTAATAGCACTAATGTTTTTATTTTCAAAATAGGAACAGGGAGGAACCCTTCTCTTACACAAGCTTATAGCCTCTTGCGGAATGTTGCTGAAACAAGACCAGCTGTGGATGCCCCAGAAGCATTTGGTTGTGACCTGTATGTTCTCTGCGCTGAGATCGCCTTCCAAAATGGCTCGCCAGACATGGCCAAAGAATGTCTGAAGATGTTCTTCATGAAGCCTCCACCACCAAACCAGTTCCTCTGTCGAGCATACTTATGTCAGGCTCAACTCCTTGCACCACAGAATGCAAACAATCCAGTGAGTGCTTCAAACATGTTAAACATAAGACCCAGAGGGGAGTCCTGGCAACAGTTCAATTAAAATATGCATACCCAAGCTTGTCAAGAAAGCTGACTAATCAGAAATTGCATTGCTTACTATAATTATCAACCCTTTTAGTGGGTTTTATGACAATACTGCTGCAATAATTGACAATAATTGCAATAATTTCACAATGCTATTGCAGTGGTGATATTTACTCCAGCTATACTATCGCAATTAAGTTGTTAAATGTATCTTATCTCAATATTAGTGAAAATTTCATGATGGACGTATGTAGTTTACCATTGGACCTAAACAGTTTATGTGGTTTGCATGCATCATAATGTGTTTGTAAATCCACTAAATCTCCCCAACCACCTGACAACCTCATTTGTCAGACAAGCTATCTGTTTCTTAAGGAAACTGTCTGTATTTTGTCTCACATATTGCTCTTAATATGTTTGTTTATGATACATGAATTTGAATTAATCTGTGTCTTTATGTTTCAGGAAAAATTAGAGAAAGCTGTCGTGTACCTACTGAAAGCAATTTCCTTTGCCAAGAAGACATCAAGGTAGACAACACCTGCCTGTCCTGTCTTGTGTAATATGAAACACTATTAGTACTGAGTCTGTTATTAGAAAGGGTATTTATTCCAAGGTTTATTACTTAGTACATATAATTTGTTTCCCTGCACTATCTCAGTGTATTGCTGTGGATCCGGGGTAGAATAGGTCTTCAGCAACCCATGCTTGCCACAAAAGGCAACTATGCTTGACACATGTCATCAGTTCCCAATTGCGCAGATCAATGCTCATGCCGTTGATCACTGGATTGTTTTGTCTAGACTCGATTATTTACAGACCGCCGCCATATAGCTGGAATATTGCTGAGAGCGGCGTAAAACTAAACTCACTAACTCACTCACTCTATTGCTGTGATTGATAGGCTTTGCTGGACACTCTGCTGTGCTAGTTATTAGAAGTCCTTAGGAATCTTCAAAAGTATTTGAATCTCAGCACCCACTAAAACTTTATATTAGGGTTATGCTTAAGTCCCCTGTCTTCTTAATTTTGAATCATATTTAAGTATTCTTTTCTTTGGGAAAAGAGATGATTGACACAACTCAGATAATATACAAAGATCCATAATAATGTGATTTATGTGAACATTGACTTTTGAGTGTTTCCCAAGTTTGATTAACTTTGTTAAAATGCAGATGACATTTTTCTGCAGATGCTCATCTTCAATTCATGTAGACATTCTTGTTTATTTGTTCAAAAAAGAGTCAAACAGTGGCATCTCGATGATATTTGCAGATACCATTTCCTGGTGTACAATGCCTCGGTATTGTACTGGCAGTTTTGTCGTCCATTCCTTAAGCCCAACTTTCGCCAGTACCTAGCTCGCAGTCTACATCAGGTGGTCAAAGCTCTGGATGATATTGAAGACAAGGACTATGAATGGAGGGCTCAGTTGATGATGTGAGGACAGTTTTACCATTGATTCTAGCTGAATCAGCATATATTTTTATGATTCTGATTGATCTCTCTCTTATGATATTGGAGCTTGGGGAAATGGGAGTTAAGGTCATGGGAATATAAACTTTTGCTTCTGTTAGGTCAAGGTGTGTGACTCAAGTGCTTGTTCAGTGCTTCTGTGCTATGTTCGATGAGACCTATTTAGCAGGAAATCTTTTTAAAAAATGAAAAATCATTTTAAGACAAAAAAAATACAGAGCAAAAGTGGAGTGACCATAGTTGAGGGTAGGTGGTGGAATCGGGGCATGAAAAATTAATACCATTTTGTTTTGATTTTAATTCATTTTTTATTAAGGTTTGTATTACTGATTGGTTGTATATTAAGCAAGAGTGGTCACGCCTGTAACATGTATTGGGGTTGGTGGGGGAAATGTTGCTATATGTGATACTATCCTGAGATCAATTCCTATCCTCCATATTATGTGTGAGCAGTCCCTAAAGAGCACTATTTTCCATTCGGCAAGTTGACAATTCAGAATCCACACTGGCGACAAAATGTACTTAATATGTCACGCAAATGCAAGGTTATCGTTCAAAGTAATGGTATTTAATGCTTGGTGTAGTGCCTTGATCGAGTGCCACCTGGATGCAGGAAGGAGAGGGGATGCCTCCCACATAGCTACAGCAGCAGCCAGTTTCATCAAACAGAATGTCCCATCACTCTACAAGCAGGTGTTTGGGCTCATGGTGAGTAGAAGTTTAAGCTTAAGAAGAACTGACTTTAACGCAACAAATCATACCATACTAAATTGTGAAATCAGTAAATGATCATGCAGGATCAATGAATAATCCACAAATAATACTGAAACACAGTTTGTGGTTTGTATTCACCAAGGGCTACATGATGATTCCCCAAAGTCACAGTAATAAGTAACAGGCCATATAACATATGTCCATGTACTCACAATATATGATCATATATTTGTAGGTTTTAAAATTAAGCATGCACATTGTGATTCTAATGTCAAGACCCTCGTGTCAAAAGTCAGGTGAAAATTTGATACTATTTGGATACACTATCTGAATACCTGAAACAAGGGAACTCCTTAGTGGATGTTGATTGCAGTATTCCCCTGCATGTGTTTGTTGATATTACGGTCCACAACACATATTACGGTAAGCCAAGTAGAGCTGTGAAAAGAGTTTCTTATAGCCATTTAGCAGCTATTTTCATCAGGATAATGGAAAATGAAGGCCATTCTTGTTGCCCTAAACTTTCATCCTGGAGATTGAATATTACTCTGGGAGCTATTGGGGTTATAAGAACACAAGAACAATAATATTTAATGCTCACAACAGGGTTCAAAATCATTCCTAACTATACAGATAATCTGGATGAAACAAATATTTCTGCATGGAGATTTTGTTACATGGCAGTGCAGACTGGCAAAAGTTTGTCTGTCGTAGCTGTCAGTGGCAGCAACTGACTGAAACGTTTGTAAAATATTCAGTGTTGAAGTGGCCAACAGGAACTGTGGTATAGAGTTACCTCCCTTAGTTTTTTACACCAGAGATAGTTTGATTGTCAAGAAGTTTTGCTATCATGTTTATGTGACAGTTCTGGAAGGCCTTTTACATCCTGACTTTGGGTATTATCATCTCACCAAGGGCAGTAATCTATCTGAAAATACTGAATTCCATACAGCTTTCAACACAATTCCAGGTGTAAGGATGGAGTACATGCTTCTTTCAAGATATCCAACAGTGACAAATACCAGTCTATTGGAATGTATAAAAGCAAACTAAAAAACTAAACAGATTCCAGATTCTAAACTTCACAGATATTTTACATGATAGTCTTGCCATATTAGCGGCAGCAAAGACTTAAGAATCTGGGCCCTTATTCTCGAAACATTCGTAGCTCTAAGAATTCTTAAGTTTGATCATAGCCTGTGTGTTAAGAATGGGCTTAAGAAGTTCGTAGGGCTACAAATGTTTCGAGAATAGCTAGCCAGGTTCTCTGCACATCTGTCATCATCGGAACATTTGACATGTCTTATTCTAGCATCTGTGCTTAATGGCCAAAACAGAATTTGTTTGTTGCATTCATGTTTATACAAGAACCAATACACATTTAAGTTCTCCAGGATAAGATTAGAGCTGTCATAATGTCTTCTTGTCAACTGGTATATGTATTTCATGTCTACTGCTTTCAGGTTCGTCATCAGCTTGTTGAATCTGCAAAGATTCATAAAGATGTGAAGAATTCACCAGAGCTTTCCATCTACTACAAGATTTGCAAGATTAAAGTGTGAGTATAATTTGATTGTATCATCCCTTCAAACAAACTCAGTGTCATAGGGTGGTCCTTTGCCAGCGTTGATAAACAGGTTCGCTTTCACAAACAGTCGTATCTCCTTTACTTTGACTTGAGCCAGGGATGGAAATAACTTTAAAATTGATAGTGTACTCCCGGTACAGTGGCACATGTAATGTCACTTGCCCTGATAATTTTTCCACTATACTGACAGTTTTCTTGCTGATTTTTTAAATAAACAACATAATTAACATTGGAATGTCAACTGGACACCGGTACAGTGTGATATACAAATTTGCTTGCCCAACAGAAAAAAACACTGGACTCGGACGTCGGGCAATTGGTTATTTCCACCATGAGGCAATGAGCTTATGATTATCATGGTACTGAGACTGCTTTCTGTGGTCAGGCTCTGAGACTTGTAGGATAGTGTGACTTTGTCTGGTGGTACATGTATATGGATTAGTGCTGTGACGATTCATCGATACGCATCGATGCATCGATCCATGGCCCGCCGATACAGTGAATCGATACAAAGTTTTACATTGTCGTATATCCCGATACGATACTTCAAATGGGCCACGATACATTGATATTCAGCTTTGACTATTGCCGAATCGCGATATCTGTTAAGAAAAAAATACTTACTTCTGTTTGATGATTAAAATATGCACATACTTATTTTCCTTTCATAGGTAAACGTTTTCTCGGAAATTCATCCGTCAAGAACTGTATCAGACATAGTGCCCGCATGTTATTAACATTCACAAAGTCCGTGTACAAACATAATTATCTCGTTTCCGAATGAACATTGAAAAACGCTACGGAATTTGATGAAATACTTTAAAATGGTTTTGTTTTGATCTCAGGGTGTTTTATAGTTTGCCGGGTCAACCTGATCGCTCTTTTACAATCCCGCTTTGTCTACCATATTGGGTCCAGCAGATGTTGAAGATCTGTCTCTTTGTCCAGTCAGAGCACTTCGCATTTACCTTAAAGCATATCGTAAAGAGCCGCCGCCCGGGCGAAGAGGCTATTTATACCCTTGTCACGGCTTCCACATGAAGTTTTCGCGACAACACTCATAATGGCTACTGAGCTACAATACCATCGCGAGCCTGACACTTTGCGGTTTACCCACCACCTACGGCAGTCAACCCTCATGAAACCAGGGCTTTGGCTTCTACTATGGCGCTGCATAGCAACTGCTCGCTAACCGCCATAATGGAGGGGTGTTTTACGATCTGACACGGCATTTTCGCCTCATTACCTCAGAGATGTGTCGGTGACGGATATTCAAGGCTCATCAGTTTGGACCACTCGCCCTGCTCCAGCAGTTATCAGCTGCACAACATCGCAGATAATGAACTTTCTTGTGTCTCGATGCTATATATGGATCCCACTGTGCAGTTGATCCCAAGTCGCCGATCGTTTCTGCTTGTGTACAATCTGAATAAATCTGAAAAACTGTTTCTGATTTCCACGCCTTTATTTCTTCCTCGGGATTTAGATTTTCCTCTCATTTGTTTGAGACTACAGAGAGTCAGCCACCCCTCACTTACTGTCCTCTGCTCCACGGAGTAATGAAATTCATCCGTACAAGAACTGTATCAGACATAGTGCCCGATACTAGTCGCTTTGACTTTTTATTACGGGGTTATTAACATTCACAAAGTCCGTGAAGGTACAAACATAATTATCTGCGTTGCTTCCTCACGAATGAACATTGTTATCGCTTGAAAACGCTGGTGGAATTTATCGAAATACTTTAAAATGGTTTTGTTTTGATCTCAGGGTGTTTTATAGTTGGTGTTAGAATTAAAGATTTTAGTATCATGATACATATTGTATCGCCACCCATATATCAGGATTTGTATTGTATCGCAGCTTCAGTGCACAATATTTTGGCAATATATCGTCGTGACTAAAATGTTAGTATCGTATCGCAGGTTGTATGCCAATACCAGCTCTAATATGAATCATTGCCCATTTCTATAATCAACCACAGGGATCTCCTTTTCCTTGAATGATGCAGTTATTTGTTTGAAAAACACTATATGGGATTCATAGCTTGGAAATCTTAAATCATACTTCTCCATTGGATTCTGTCTGAAATTACAAACATTTTCCATATTGACATGAATATAACATCAACTATCTACAGTGTTTAGTGAAATTTTATCACAAAAAAAATTCTTTTTATGTGTTTTTTTCTTTGCAATATTTTTACTTTGCTGCAATTGAAACATATTGTTTCTATCATGGATTAATTGGGTTTTTGAATTACATCTGGTTTGATCCCATGTTTTAGGACAATTACTTTTGTTTTCCTGTGGGTGTTATTTAGTATTTGATGTGTGGACATTTTAACATTTGAAATCTTTGGCTCATATCTTGGATTACAAAGTCGAGATCCAGGCATGCATACTCAGTATACCCAGATGCTTGATGGGCATTTAGAAGTTGGAAGGTGATGTAAATATTAAAGAAGTTCTAAATCCATACCATACATTGTCATGTCAGTATACGCAGATCTAAAACACAACGTAATGTACTTTGTTCCTACAGTTCTCTGGACCAGGGGGAGCAGAAAGAGTACTACAGTGAGATCCAGAGCATCTTGAACCAGCTAGGTGTTCCTCACTCCACCACTACTGGGCGACTGGCCAGGTATGACTCAAAGATAAGTGTGTCCGGTCGTCCACGGTCACCAAGCACATCGCCCACTGGTAAAGAGGAAGATGTTCCTAAGGATAGGTAAGATACAGAAATATTAGTTCTCATTTCTGTTTAATTCACTTTGCATTTTCATTATTTCCTTTATTGCTTTGTTCTCAAGATCATATTTCTTTCAGTTTTTCTGTTGATTGAATCGAGTATTATGCTTGTTGCCACAAGCAGTGTTGGCACAGATGATACAAAAGAAACAGATTTACTTTTTATTTAGTTAGATTTAGTTTATAGTTAAAGGTAGTCATCTGTGTTTTGTTTGGACATTTTTTGTTGATGTGCTAGAAGTTAGTATTTTAGTAACTTTGGAATATCTGAGTTCATAATGTATTTAAAATGATACCTATTTGTCTCACCTTTAATAAATCAGTACACTTGTGTCATAATACAGTGAAAATATTTCTTAATTTTTAAGTCTGTTTAAGATTTTTTTTTAGAAGTTGTACGTGGTATAAGGTTTGATGTTAATAACAATTTTAGATGTTTGTGTTCTAATGTTACATCAAGTCAGTTGCTTTAATCTGTTTCTTTAGTGTTATGATTAACATATTTTGCTTCTGATATAGAATTGGTTGTTTCTCAAGCACATTTGAAAATAACGCAGACATAAATAAAAAAATTACTTTCATTTCGTGTACAAAATAGTCCTTTTTTCTATTTTCTGAAACATGCATCAGAAACTGTTTTCACTTATGTCTTTGTATTTTATTTGAGGCTAAGCAATAATTTAATACTGATAGTCTGAGGAATTTGTTCATTTCAAATCATTAGGAGAGAAATAGACCGTTTTTATAAAAACTAAGTTATAAACTAATGTCCACCATATGGCAAGCCCAGGACTGATTAACAAAGACTTTACTTTTGATGTTTGAGAAACAAGCAAGTTGTTTGGCTTCAATTAAGTTTATTTTCAAGCTGTTAGTTTCTGACTGCTTGCCTGATTTATAGGAAAAGCCCTGGTAAGGGAGGTCGTCGAACCCCCACTCCCACTACCTCCAAGAAAATAGCTGTTGATAGTGCTGAAAAGTGAGTAGTCGCTAGTAGACTGTCAGTGTAGACACCTTTACCTCAGTGCTAATAGCTCTCTGATGAGTCATCACTAGTGTGTTATCATGCTTTGAACCATGATACCTGTAAGTGTGTCATGTTCTAAAATCTTCATACAAAGTTGTATGCTTTGCAATACTGGAGATACTCTTCTATTTCATAATGCTCACGTCAAATCACCTAGGAAATGCGACCATAAACATTTCAGAACAGGTTCAAAAAGAAAAGCTGGGTCAAGACGCATATTTGACGAAGCTGATTTTAGTAGTTATCTTGAAAGGCTTTCGTCATATGAAATGATTTACTTATCATGGTAGTTCTAAAGTGACAAAAACTTACCGTTAGTAAACTATGTAGCATAGCTAGGTCATGTTCAAAACCATCTCTAATTTCATCAATCATTATAACATATTAGGGCAGTGCCTGGGATAGCCTAGTGTTTAAAGCGTTTGCTTGTCATGCCGAAGACCCAGGTTCGCTTCCCCACATGGGTACAAAGTGTGAAGCCAAGTTCTGGTGTCCCTCGCTGTGATATTGCTGGAATATTGCTAAAAGTGGCATAAAACTAAACTCACTCACTCATAATGCAAACACATGGGGGAAGACAATACCTTTTGATTGTATAGAGGAAGGAATAGTCAAGGCAGATTTATGTGCCAAGCACAGCTCATTTACATCTATCAATTGACAGTCTGCCATTGGTCTGCCAGTTCAGCTGTTTTGAGGATTCACAGTAAATGATATTGCACAGAGACTGCCGAAGTTTCATGATGTGACTAGACCCAGGTGAATTCAGTGCCACCTCGAAACCTGTAAAATGAATTAAATGTTTTTTAACCAACAAATAACCATTGATAACCTGAGCTCTTATTAAATCAAAACACACGAAGTCTGGAATGTAGTTGCAGGCAACACTGACATGCAATCTTCCTTGTCTTGAAATTATTTTGTGCAAGTCAGGCCTGCTTTATGACGATTCTGTTTCCTGAGTGGAATATGAATTGTGTGTGTCACTTGTAGACAGAGACATCTGTAAGAGTTTCGTAACACAGGTTTATTTGGTATAACACTTTCTTAGTAAAGTACAGATTCTAGTAACTTTTGGGTTGAGTCCCATCTGGGATTTGAACCCACACTCTTATAGTCAGACACTTTATCACCACACACAATGTCAGCAGTCTAACCCACTCAGCCGACGTTCTTCCAGGGAAAAGGTTGTAGCTCTGACGAAGGACGCATGACATAGCAAATCAGTACACTGCACTTCATAGAGTATGCAACCAGTTTAGTGTGCACATGGAGCCTGATAACAGTCTAGTATACTGTGTCAGAATAAGAAATAACGATTATCTTATTTTTTTATAACTGATCATAAGAGCAAGACTTAAACATTACTAGGCATAGGATATTTCACCAATTCAAAGAATGTTCGTTTCAAGGGAGATAATCCCTGATTCAATGTTATCTGATTGTGATCTTCCAGCTTGTCATCCCATTCTTTCTCACCTGCTGATTATATGGACTTGTGAAACTCATTACCACTGTGTTCTGTGTGTATTTCAGGTACCTGGTTTGATGTCGTCATTTATTGCTTGGACTTTATTACATTCTCTCCATGCTTAGCTGATATATTCTTAATGCTTTGTTTCCTGATCTTCTTCTAAACATTGCATGCTGAGTGAAACGTCTCCATATATTGTTATTGGTGGATCTGTATATACTTATTAATATTGTATACATATGTATGTGACCAGTTACTAGTTGTGATTCAGCCTATTTATACATATTCTTTGGGTTACATTGTATAGGGTGTGTGCAGTATTTTATAGTGGTGGTCCGATTAATTGAAATAATGGAAGATTGGTCGCAGTCACTAAACGACCAAGCAGTCGATCATGTTTTCTCATAATCGAACACCAACAAATCTGGAACACTTGTTTGCATTAACAATATTTTTCGCAAGGTTGGTTTTGTCTGTTACATTTCATGACCACTACAAGCTCGTTCCAAGTCATGATAGAATTTATCTTAAAGACTCCAAGAAATTTATGTTCCTAACCTACTAGTCATCCTTTAAAGATGTGAAATTTGCAAATGCATTTGTGCAACTTGCAAAAGACACCAAACATGTTTTTTTCTTTATTTTTTGGTCCATTAACAAAAATAATCAGGAATATTTCATAAATGACGCTAAGCAATTATTTTCAGTGATTGATTGGTTGTAATGAACCAATCATCAATTATGAGATTTTACCAATTCCCAGCACTAGTATTTTATATTGTGTTGAATTTTATATTAAAATTCATTTGAATGTAACCATGGTAATGTACAGGCACACAGACAAATAAAGTCTATTACTGATTGGTTCAACCCTGAATCTCCAGCTGAACTGGATCTGTGTTCAAGTTGAACATCTACGCTCAACTTTGACATTAATTATGATAAACAATGTAGTAGTGCAATCGTGTATGATTTAATGTTTTTGTTGTTTCAACAGTTAAAAATTAATTATAATTTTGTATGCAATGAAGGATAAACATTAGCATAGCACCAGAACAAGCTATCTGCGCTAAAACCTGTTGAAGCCTGAAAGTGGCTCTTATCATAATTTTTAGTAGAACATTGTTTTGCTAGACTTGGGGTTCAGACAAATGGCTAAAGTTTCAGATTTGATAATAGCCATGTACAATATCTCTTTAGGCCTCATCTTCTCCTGGAGCTGGGAAGAATGTGTCTGGATCTAGACTTTGGTGAACTGGGTGAAGCTTGTGTGGAACATACCAAGACGTGTGTAGTGAAGGTAAGTTCATAGAATCCTCTTAGTTGCTTTTGTGATACAGGGCTCCAGATAATTTTTCATGATCAGAAGTACGTACTCCCTTATGTTTTCTATATAGGAGTACTGGAAAACAATAAGAGTACATTCAGAGTACTGAATGGAATTTAATGAAGTATCAGTAATCTTGTGTTTCGTTTCATATATGCACCACAACATTACTACTCTTGTGTAAACAGGTCAATAAACAATAAAACAATACGTTTTCAGGTAAATACATCTGTAAATGATTCTAAGACCGTACACCATTGCTGTGGTGCGTATCTGCTACGTTTTCAAAATTATTTCCTACCATATCGTGCTTATTTTATATCCGTACATACGCCGATACGGCCCTTATCTGGAGCCCTGTGATATCTTGCTTGTGTTGTTACAAAAGGGATTGGTGATTGAGTGTCAGACTGCTAGAGGGCTCTGCATTCACTAAAGTGTCACCTAATGTATCAGGTAAAAATGATAATGAAGAAATAAGGTCTTTTAGCACAGGTCTTGAAAGGCTATTTGATATGTTATTTGATATATATTGTGTTCAAATTAGACACCGAAGTAGCATATATATGTGGAGTTGAAGAGTAGGTGGATCGTCACATTGAAATGTTATAGAGACAGATCTGAAGCATCAAAGTGACTCTGCTTACATTCACACTCCCTGTTATAATATCATTAAACTGATTTCTCTGATAAGATGTTGAATGTATGGCTTCTCAAACAATAGAAACATCCAAATTCTGAAAAGTAGCATTCACTTATTTTGAATAAGAATCTCAATAAAGTAAATCTGTTGGTTTCAACAGTGGACAGTGCTCCAATGTGAGTAATGTTTGAGAACTGAAAAGTAGTTGAATTAATATTCATAAACATGTAGATGAGTTTATCAAGTTTGACATCCCTTTGTGAAAATAAAACAGCAAATATGTTACTGGGGAAGTAATGAACAAAATGAACAAACTGAAATAACACTGTATCCGTGTGTATTTGGAAGAAAGCACAAGGCAATGGTGACTAGAGTCAATGCTGACACAATATCCAGCTATTGTTGTGTCTACAGGAGCAGGGTTTCTACCTGGAGCTGGAGTTCCTGCAGTGTGATCTGATGGTCAAGTGTCTGGGAGAGAAACAGGAATCTTACCACAAGTCTGCTGTGGAGGTATGTAGAGCATGAGATCACACACAGTCAGTATATGTTCAAAAGATTATTTGGCCACAAGCAGTTTTTGACACATATAATTTTCAAGGTTTGGAGTTAAACTATCGAGTGGTTGTTCAGTAAAGTCTGCGAATCATTATCACACGGACTGAGTGCATGGGTAAAAGGTTCAGTTGGAAGTACATTACGATTGTACTGAAGTTTTTTTTAATACTTTATGGCTACCTGTATGTTATGGTGGTCAATTAGGTATCAGAGTACACAAATGGAGTGGAATGCCCTTTGCGACAAGTATGCTGATGATCAGGTCTTATTCGGCTCTTTCACTGGTGACCGATGTTATGATAATTCATAGACAAAGTGCCAAATGTCTGGAAGCCAAAGGGTACAATGTTTGAAGGCCATTTCTGTTGTCACCTGTTGTGATATTGCAGGAATGTTGCTAAAAGTGGCGTAAAACTTAAACAAACCTGTAGAGGTTTTCAATTCTTTGAAGAGAGTCGCCCTTGGGGTAGGGCGGCCCACCTCCCCGCAATTCTGTTCACTGATTTATTCAGCAGAAGGAATGATGATAGGGGCCTAGGTGCTTACCTGGTTGGCTGCGCATGCGTAGCAGGGAGGTAACTCCACGGGTTGGGGGGGCCGTATAATAGATAATTTTTTTTTATTTATTGTACAATATTTTTATTAAAACATTGATACAACTGTCACAGGACATTTTCAGCCGCAGAAAATGCATATATGTACCCCAAGGACGATCTCTATGAAAAAGATTCACTCACACTGGAAATCTCAAACCTACAAACCTTGCCTTTATTCTTCCAGGTTCGTCAACAAGCCATCAAGCGTTGTGAGGAGGCCATTATGAATGCTATCCGACAGGGGGACCCCAACATCCTCCAGGCTGGATGTGTGACTCAGTGGAACCTATGTCTGCCGCTACTCCAGCCAAACCTCAGACAGACTGTGAGGAAACCCCTGACTCTCGTGGCTGAAGCACTGGAAGACATACAGAGGTATGTTCACATACAGACATGGCAGGGAGGTGGGGGAGGGTTGGTTCTGCAATGCGGTTTGATGTGGTTGTGTACCTATAATCATGCATTTGGTTACTAGATATTGTTAAAGGTAGCATTAACACAAACTCACGTTTTCACTATAACACAGCTGCAAAGCCAATGGTTGAAAGCATGAGCGATGGTGCAGCACTTGATTCCTGTGTAAAATTGTTTTCCACCTCCACCAAGTACTCCTGGTGTTGGTGTCATCTGTGTTGTGGATGTTTCAGTCTGCTGATCCTGCTGCGGTGTCAAGTGCACACGGAGCTGGCCAAGTGTGAGGAGGATCGGGAACAGATCCAGGTGGCCATGGAGCACCTCAGGAAGGTGTGTATCGTCTCACTCTCCGTACAGTTGAGGCCGCCTCCCGTGGTGTAGTGGTTAGAGCGTCCGCCCCGAGAGCGGAAGGTCGCGGGTTCGATCCCCGACCGCGTCATACCAAAAGACGTTAAAATATGGTACTTGTTGGTCCCTGCCTGGCGCTTGGCATTAATGGGTACAACAAGGACTGGTCAGCTCGGAGTCAGTGTAATGTGCCTGAGTGGAGTATTCATGCTTCACTGCGGCATGGTATCTCAGTGAGCTAGCACTATAAAACCAGCTTAAGTCTGGGCTAGTACAAGCAGCCGCACATACACATACGCACGACGTTAAACCCAATTTCACCTCACCTCACCATACAGTTGATGTCAGTACCGTAAACTACCTTAGTAATGAACATGCGTGCAACAAACTGACGGATATCAGGAACTGCTCTATTTAATCCCAGACACTTGCTGTATATTTCAGTTGAAATGTAATGAACTACAGTAATGATGTACCCGCAAAATAAGACTGAACACTGTTAGACTGATAACTCTTTACTTCGAGATGAACCGCAAGCGAGGACACACACGTGTGTCTCCCAACCTCGCTACATTAACAGTGACCCGGATGAACTGCGAGCACCCAGATTATTCCGATTGGTGTCCGGGCCACACCACAGTAATAACAAGCTTACACTTGTAGTCCCTTTGAGTTTGTTGTAACTGCAGTTTACTGTATATTATGGCTACCCCAATACACAGCAATGGATTTTTCAACATGAAATTCAATTCTGAAGAATTGCTTTAAGATGGAAAATCTTTACTCACTGACTTCTGTTGTCAATCCATGTTGAAATGAATATAAAATACTTTACACGTAGGGAGAGCTAATCTCTCATTTTCACATATGTACGATAGTAGAGGCCATAAGGACAGGGTCAGTAGTTCCTTGCCTCCACACATTTGACGATTGAGCCACATTCTGAGCAGACGGTTCATGTAAAGATTTGGATTATTCCATACAGGTTCATAAGTTTCACAAGTTTGATCATTGTAAAGTGGTTTTGACATTCATTAACAGAAAACAGCATCACAAATGATTTCATGTGTTTCTTTTCAACTGAACTGATGAACAACATTCCAACATTTTGTTAATTTTCTTGAAACGTTTTGCATATAGAAAAATAATTCACAAAGGACAGGTAATCCACAACTTCTCATAGCTTTTATATTGTTTTAAATCTACCAATATATGCACTGAACCCTGTCAGGCCCTGGAGCTGGATGATGGTGGTGTGTACCGGGAGAGGCTGGAGGTGGCGCTCCACAGACTGGAGCTGAGGTCGGAGCTGTACAAGGCTCCAGAGAGACCAGAGGACCAGGCTGCCATGATCATAGAACAGGTAGGCTAAGTAGAGGAGCAACATTGATGATAAACCTGACTATAATGTTTAGTAGCATTTGAATTCAAATTAAATCATTGATGTTTTTTTTTATACAATTATTAGAAAAGCACATGGTTTTAAAGTCATTGGTATGAAAGTCAAGGTGTGTAATACTTTTTCTTGTAACATATTGAAAACAAGCAATATACTTAAATTCTGCAATCTTGTCTCAGGCACGCATAGCAGATTCGGAACTATTAAGTATGAAGCGGTCACTGTTGGTCAAGGCTGGTGAAGCTCTGGCACCTGATGCTTTCCTCTTAGTTCTGGACAGTGAGAGTGATACAAAAGGTATCTATATGGACTTGATTATTCCTGTAAATGTCTACAGTGACTATTTACACCAAAATATTTGTTTGTGTTTTGTTAAGTAAAGCACTCAGAAGTATTTCAGCCATTTATATGAAAGAAGGCCAGAACACAACCAGGTTTTAGCTAGACTAACCAGTGATTGATAATATCAGCATATAATGACATGCAGTCAACCTTATCACCTGATCTATGTTGTCGGGCTTATTACAATCATGGGTTGATGGCAGTCATTTTATAACATAGAATCTCCATGGGACCACATCCGTGCAATATTTCTTCACCAAATTCCATAGATGTTCCAGAGATTTTGTAAGTGATATATATTTTGTCCCCAAACTAGCAAAGTTGAGGAAGACATGCATAGCAAGTGGTGTTGAATCCCCATTTTGCAGACATTGCTGGTGGTAAGGGGTCCCCAAACTGTTGAGGGTCATCAGACAGCTGTGTTGTTTTGCAAGTCATCAGGCAGTTCACCAAGTTGTGTGAAGAAGGCTGAAGGTCATCTCAAGAGACTGGGGATGAGAATGAGAGGGAGAGGTGAGAGTTATGCCTACATTTTAGAGGTGTATCAGTCAGTCTGCCTCCAGTTGCATCATGGGACCACAGGCATCAGTTGATCATTATTTGCTGATGTGTTGTGGAGAGTATTGACATCAATAAGTTAACCCTACTTGGGGTAGCAAAACTTTTTCCACCCCTTCCATTAATGCATTACAGCTAACAAAAGTTACTGAAATTGATATAAGTATTCACGAAAATCCATATGCTACATTCATCACCCACACATGGTAACAGAGTGGTATTGTCAGCTTTACAATCTGAAGGTTTGAAGTTTGTATCCCAGGCAAAAATGTTTACGTTCAAGTTTCTAAGGAGTTGGATTAATGACTAAAGGTGTTGGAAGTTATTACATTAAATGTTTAAATGATCTCGTGTTGGAATTGTGAAAAAAGCCAAATACAAGTTAGCTTCTATGTGAAAATTGGAGAAGACGATACACCTGTAGTTCAGCCAATATTTTGTGTGAAATGTGTTACAGTAGATTAATTTGATATACCTTTAGGCTAAAGCCGTACAGGAATACCATTGTGTTACAGGGCCAGATTGTGGGCGGATCTTGCTAAGACTGCCAGGAAGCAGGAGGTGTGGGACGTCTGTAGAGTGGCCAGTCGGTTCTGTATTCTGTACGACGACAGTAGATGGAGGACTGCGCAACCTGTGAAGACTGAAAGGTAAGAGCTGATGCATGAATGATACTATCAGTATCTACAAGTGATAGAACATCAAACTGAAGAATTATTTTTCATTGATGTCGGTGAAGTGTGATTTATGAAGACGGTAGAGGTAAGGGTCACAAGCTGTTGGTTGAGTCACATGCACCTGAAGCAGTGATATGCACCCTAATAAGAGATCATAGATAAAAGGCAGTGCACCTTAAACAAGGTAAATTTGTTATCAGAAATCAACATAGATTGTTCGGTTGTTGGTTAACGCTGCACTCAGCAATATTCAAGCTATATGGCGGCGGTCTAAATAATCGTGTCTGGACCAGACAATCCAGTGATCAACAGCATGGGCATTGATCTACACAGTTGGGATACGATGACATGTGTCAACCAAGGCAGCAAGTCTGACCACCCGATCCTGTTAGTCGCCTCTGACGACAAGCATGGGTTGCTGAAAACAGATTCTAACCCGAATCTTCATGGGTAAATAATACAGTTCAAAAGTTGATGAAACTAGTACTTTTTCAATTCCTACATGTCGAGTCTCAAGTTGAAACAATAACCAGAAATCAGCATGCAGTGGACTTCTTATATTCAACATGTAGTCCCAAGCAAGAGAGGAGTCGTACAGCAGAGAGGGAGTCCAGAGATGAGGTCCCCACGGAGAAGACAGGGAGTCGGTTGGGGAGTCGTCCTACAACTCCAATCAAAGTCAGTCTGTATGATAAAGATCTCATCAGGATTCTGGCCGAGGTCAGCTTTATTCAGGGAGAGGTGAGCCTGACACAAATCTTTTATATCAGCAAACATTGATAAAATATATGTGAACAGGATCAATGAGGAGCTGTGTTAAAGCTATTGCTCATCACATCCAAAACTTGGAACAGTCACCCATATGTTTACAATATGTAGTGAGTGAATGAGTGAAGATTTACAGTCACATCGGCAATATTTCAGACATATCGTGACTAAAACAAGTTTAGAATTCACCATAAATACATGTAAATTATAAAAACCTGTCATCGAATGACAGTAAAATCAACTAGAATATAACAGTATCAAGAAATAAAACTAGCATCTCTAGAAATGGTGGGTCCCGGTCGTCCGTCCGATTGTCCGTCCCGTCCGTCTGTCCGTCCGTCCGTAATCATTTTGTTTCCGGAGCACCACTAATGGTGGCAGATATGTGAGGCAGATCTTGAAGTGGTGCCTTTTGCTATTTGCAGATATTTGTGATTTATTATTTTCTCGGTTTCCATGGAAATGATTCGGACTTAGTCTCAAAAGGAAGGGGTGGGTTTCGTTTCCGGAGCACAACTGGAAAACTTCTTAATATCTTTCAGCAAAACTTGGCAGATGCCAAAGTGGTGCCTTTTGTTATTTGGCAGAATTTTGGCATATTTATTTTTCCCGATTTTCATGGAAACGATTCGGACTTAATCCCAAAAGGGGGGGTGGGCTTCGTTTCCGGAGTATAACTCAAGAACCGTTCAATATATTTCAACAAAACTTGGTAGATATATCAAACAGAACCTTAAGTGGTGCCTTTTGCTATTTGAAGATTTTTGCCATTTTTATTTTTCCCGGTTTCCATGGAAACGATTCAGACTTAGTCCCAAAAGTGAGGGGTGGGTTTCGTTTCCGGAGCACAACTCGAAAACTTCTCAATATCTTTCAGCAAAACTTGGCAGATATGTGAGGCAGATCTCAAAGTGGTGCCTTTTGCTATTTGCAGATTTTTGTGATTTATTATTTTCATGATTTCCATGGAAACGATTTGCATTTAGTCTAAAATCAAGCTGGACTTTAAGTAACTGTCAGATTATTTGTTCTTTCAAAGATGTGGGGGCCGGGGGGATATGTCATCTTCTGATGACTCTTGTTTAAAATATGTCAAGTTTAGGTGGTGCTCCCTGCTGTCATATGGCTCTATTGTTTCAAAAATACAGCAAACGTTTGTACTTACCCGAGCTGTGTTAGACATATGAAGAAGTACCCAGTCATATTTTCAGTTACAGAATCGTAATGGATCTTCATTAAGGCTCCCATTTTGACTCTATCCTGTCTCAGTACACGTAAGTTTGATACATGACTTAGTAATGGTTCAGATGTAGTTTGACCTTATGTCTTCAGGCAATGGTCCACCTCCTCCGCAATGAGGGAGTCCAGATGAATGACCAGCCAATACCCCCAGAGGACAAGAGTAAGCATCCCAAGGGATATGTGGCCAAGAAGCCAGAGGAGGACCCAGAATGGATTGAGTATTGGTGAGCTACAGAAGTACAGACATAACCTTTTGTTCCCTCATGTTTCTCTTGGCATCATCTAGGACAAAGACACTGGACTGTATTGAACATAATTATGATTATTGATTTATCTGCACGGAGGTTTTACCAAAGTGGTTAACCTCCATCTGGGCCACAGACATTTCCTCCTTTGATAACCTTTTTCAATTTTTTCCTGTACATTATCCATTTGTAAAACCAATTCATTCCTTCACTTTATCCATTTTTTAACCTAACCCAGTCCTTCAATTCGTCCATATATGTGTAGCAGGGTAGGTGTGGTTCTCTTGATTGAAAACCAACGCCTGCTGAGGGTGTGAGCTGTGACTTGCTCCACAATTTTATTGCTCAAGATGTGTATTACATTTTTATTTCACCCTGTAACATAATACAAAACAATAATCATTAAAACGGTCATATCACATCTAAACTAGAGTAGTGTAGTTACAGTTACTTCTAATAATTATATATCTGGTCACAATATACTCAATGAGATATTACTTACTCTGCCTCAATTCCAATAAGACATAAGTAATAAATAGATGCAGTTCACAAAAAGCATTATATAGATTATACAGCAGCAAAATATCACAATGATAACCATGATAGAAATACATAACTCTTCACACATATTTGTGGCAATAATATACAGGAAATATGAACACATTATATATGCCTTACCAGCACAACCTTATATATGCTGTGATTTCCTTGCAAATATATACAATAAACAGTTATTAAAATAATTGTGGCACAAACATTACATGTACCAACATGTCCGACAAAAATGGCTGCTGAACAGGCACAAATGCTGTGTCACCTGACCTTATAAATATTACTATATTACTAATAAACTTAACATAATAATCTTTATGCCTTAAAAATGAAAATCATACCTATAAACATTATTTGACTTATAATGTTTATAATATAACTATACTTAAATATTAGAACCTACTTATTGTTTATAATTTGATTAACTAACCTTGAACAGAGAGTAGTTGTAGAGCAGAAAAGGAGAACTAAGATGTCTGCCGAAATGTCAAAACTCTTGTTTTAAGGTGCCTCTTGTGCAGCTGTAGGTGGTAGACTTATTTCAAATGTGCTGATCGTAGTGAAGAAAAGTAGACAACATTAAACTGACCAATAAAAGATCAAGGATTAGCTTGCCCCCTGAATGAAGAACAAAAGAACACCCTGCTCTCCCACAATAGAGCCCAGGTCCAGCTTGGGGCAATCAAGCTGGAGACAAATACCATACATACTCTAATAAAAACCTAATCCAATAAAACTACCACAACCAAACTGTCTAAAGATGACACCATATTTACACAAATAAATATAATGTAAAAATATGACACTGCCAATTAAGTCCTTCACTTTTATCCATTTGTAAACCCAGTTCAGTCCTTCACTTTATATGTAAACCCAGTTTAGTCCTTTACTTATATGTAAACCCAGTTCAGTCCTTCACTTTATCAATATGTAAATCGAGTTCAGTCCTTCACTTTATATGTAAACCCAGTTCAGTCCTTCACTTTATCTATGTCTAAACCCAGTTCAGTCTTCACTTTATCTATGTGTAAACCCAGTTGAGTCCTTCACTTTATATGTAAACCTAGTTCATTCCTTCACTTTATCTATATGTAAACCCAGTTCAGTCCTTCACTTTATCTATATGTAAACCCAGTTCAGTCCTTTACTTTATCCATATGTAAACCCAGTTCAGTCCTTTACTTTATCCATATGTAAACCCAGTTCAGTCCTTCACTTTATCTATAAGTAAACCCAGTTCAGTCCTTCACTTTATCCATATGTAAACTCAGTTCAGTCCTTCACTTTATATGTAAACCCAGTTCAGTCCTTCACTTTATCCATATGTAAACCCAGTTCAGCCCTTCACTTTATATGTAAACCCAGTTCAGCCCTTCACTTTATATGTAAACCCAGTTCAGCCCTTCACTTTATCCATATGTAAAACCAGTTCAGTCCTTCACTTTATCCATATGTAAACTCGGTTCAGTCCTTCACTTTATATGTAAACCCAGTTCAGTCCTTCACTTTATCCATATGTAAACCCAGTTCAGCCCTTCACTTTATCTCTCAAGCACGACGTTAAACCCAATTTCACCTCACCTCACCTTCACTTTATCACCCAGTTCAGTCCTTCACTTTAACTATTTTCTCATGATTCAGATATGCACTGAATAATCAAAGTGCCATCTTTTTCTTTAGCTTCTACATGATCAATATCCATGAATTATACTTTCAAAGAAGACAAAGAAGATTAACTACATTGAAATATGTAGCTAATCCAGATAAGCACCATGATCCTATTGCTCTCCCCATGTACCAGTGACTGGATCAAGTCCCTGTCAGAGTGTGCCACCAACTCCTTCCTCCGTGGCCTCACCCTGGGTGTGGAGCTGGAGGAGCCATGGCTGGTGTGTAGCGGAGCCGCCTACGTGTGGAACTACAACAACCACGTGTTCACCCAGGACAGACACAGGGATGTCATCGACACTCTCTCCACCATCCTGGACGGCCTCAAGGCAGTGGGACATGCTGGGTGAGTGCAACTGGATTGTCATGTGTGAAGGATCTAGATCCCCATCAACCTATGCTTGTCATAGGAAGTGTTGTGATGGATCAGGTGGTCAGGCACACTCCGGCACAGTCATGACTTAGCATAACATCACTGCCTCAGGCTAACTGGCCTATCACGTGACCAGACTTTTCTCTTGTTTGTAAACAAACGCGCATATTCATAATAAGAAGAGACTGGCCTTACGCAAGCTTTTCGGCGTGCTCTTCACAATGTTTTATATTGTTACATATAAATTCTTCCACAACTGCGACAGTAACATTTATGACAGTTCATATTTTGTTATCAAATTGGCTACATCGTTTGCTCTCTGTCGGCTTCGATGACAGCACGTGGAGCCGTACAACCTATGTAAACAAAGGATCGCTACTCAAATCGAAATAGTGTCACATGTTTTAGGATATTTTTTCAGTGAAACTAAACCATTCTATCAAAGATGTTTAATTAGATGTGTAGACTCGTCAAAAATAAAAGAGTTACGAAATATGTACATTATATTGAATGGACAATGCAAGATGTGACGAATCATCACATCTTTCTGGCCTGTGGCAGAGGTACTATGCTCCCTGGCCGCATGGAACTCTGGATAGGAGATTTGTGGTCAGGCTCACTGACTGGGTTTGTTTCATGTCTTTGCATATTAGTCATGTGTGCTGTTGTTCCTTATGTCAATCACTTGATTGTTTGTACCAGACTTAGATATTATTGAAGACACATGGCTGAAATATTGCTGAGCCTGGTGTTAAGCAACAAGAACCAAACCAGCAAACAGAAATATAACTACAGTAACAAAATGGATTTGTGTAGGCAATAAAGAAATTATAAGAAATGTTCTATTTGGGATTATGCTTTCTCAGTAAAGTACAGATTCCAGTACCTTTTGCTGGGTTGACTCCCATTCGAACCCACACTCTCAGAGTCAGGCACCTGATCTTAATAAAGAAATTAGTAGAGTTTCACCTCCCCTGCCTCTACCAAAGTCTTTCTAAATATCAGTTTGTACTCAAGTACCTACTAAGTTAAATAATATGTGTGTTCAGTTTTACTTTGCTTGTTGAAATGCACCACAGATATTGTCCTCTCAAATATTCATGTTCTGTCTGGATCACATGTATGGTCGCTTATTGAAAAATATGTACTTTTAATTTGTTTGCAAGAAAATATAATTCAAAAACTGAAAATTTGGATGGAAATCTAATGATTAAGCAGCTATAACAGCTACATATGACCAGTGTTGTGTGTCTATTACAGAGAAACCATGATGCTTGTGAACATCTGTAATGCCCTGTCTGTCGGCCTCATCAAGCCTTGGATCCCTGAGCCTCCCCCTAAAGAGGTTTACGAAGGGTCCTTCTCCCCAACCCCGGGAGACAAGTCTCCCAGCAAGAATAAAGGGAAGAGTGCAGTCGCCAGCAACAAGAGCAAGACTCCCTACACTGCTACTGTCAGCCCTGATGCTATGCCAGATCTGAAGAAGGCAATTGAGGTAAAAATTGTTCACCAAGGAAGGTGGTTTTGTTTTTCGAATAACATGGGGGCACAGGTGACCCAGCTGTGTAAGGTGATGCAGCTGTGTAAGGTGATGCATTTTGCTGTGCAGACTTGCTTCCCTTTGGCATTCAGAAGCCTATGATCATAGGTTTGAGTCCAGGCTTGGCCTGACTGTTTCTGGCTTATCAACTCTATACACATGCTTGTGGATTTCACCAGGTGGTCTATATTTTACCTCTATCATTTTTAACTTTCCTCTAACATTAGGAATCTCACATTGGAAACTGGGATACTGGTAAAACCAGTTATATACTTAGTAAGATTACATGATGTAATGATCCTCAGTGTAGGTTTTAGTCAGGCATGGACCTAAATATTTAGGTCTATTCATCAGGTGTACCCAGCGCGAACTTTGACCACTGAGTCTAGATGACAAATGTGTGGTGTCATGAGCCAGTCAGATGTCAGCTTTCTAAACTGATTTGTGTTCATTTCCTTACAACTTCAATTGATTTCAGCTAGATTTTTTAACTAACTCAGTGAGGGAAATCCCTTTGAATGCTGATACCATGGCACTCAGAAACAACAAGGTTGATAGGCTGTGTATGAAATAAGCCAAAAACCCAGCCAGACTTCAGAACTGGTAACTTCAAAATGTTACCAGCTCCAAATGGATTTTAACGGACCAGACAATCCAAAGAAAATAACTCAGATTTTAGTTACAATGAATAATTCAATGAATCTGAAAAATGTATTTACTACATTTTTGCTGAACTCCACGCATCGATAGGTGTCGCTGTTTTAGGGACAACATATGTCAATGCAGTGCTTCGAGCTTGTGATACGCTAGTTCAATGTTCAAACAGTAGTTTTCAAGTCTAAATGTAATGCTCAATTTGAAAAATTATATTTTAAGATTTGGTGAATTTACTCAGATATATGGAACATGTTATCTAAAAAGTTTACCAGATATCAGACTTGCTAGCTGTAACTTTAGACCGTCCGTCAGAAATCTAGCCAGTCTCAGTCGGTCGGACGGGCCTTATTTCATACACTGTTTATAGCATTTACGTCAGTGTCATGTAACAGCCTATGTTAGTTGCATGGGGTACAGGCTTATATGAGCATGTGAACTAATATTCAATGGGAAATTTGAGTAATATCTTTGTCAATTCGGCTTCACCATATTGTCCAGTATGAAGTATTTGTCTTGGTTTACCTTGACGTGAGAACTAATAAGCTAATATATTGTACAGGTGTGTGAATATGTGATGCAAGTGACCAGGGGAGACAACCCACAGGATGTAGTGCCGATCTCTGTTCGCCTACCACTTCTTCAGACCTGGGTGTTCTCGAAACAGATGGCACAGCTACAGATCAGCAAGAACCTCGGGGCAGATGATGATGTAATTATTGTCATAGTTTCTCATGCAGCATCAACATATTTGTAAAATGGTGTTTATAGGGACTTGTCAGGGTGCCATGATGACTAGACAGACTCACATGTCACTGTGTGTCACTTCAGGAATGGATTATGGGTAATGATAATTATTCTTGTGCAGCGGACAGAAAGATGTGGGGTTTTATGACTTCCAGAAATATATTTTCAACTTATATTGTGTAACAGTTCATACATCAAATAATATATAACAGTATAATGAAATATATCGGTATTTGTAATGTGCTATTGTCCATATGTGTCTGTCTCAACTCCATGGGGAGTATGCCACAAAAGATGTCTTTAAAGCACAATATGGTCACATTGCCATTCTTATCCCACTAAATACTCATTACTGCACAGTGAACAGAGGCTAGTTTCAAACATGGTCACTTTACTGTGTAGACAGGGGGCGGTGGGGTAGCCTTGCGGTTAAAACCTTTGCTTGTGTTACCAAAGACCTTGGTTCGATTCCCCACATGGATACAGTGTGTGAAGCCCACTCGTGATGTCTATTGAAGTAAATTCACTATGTGTTCCCGTTTCTAGCACAACCACGAGGGTCAGAGGCCTATGACCAGAGCTATTGTTGCCCACGGAAATGCTGTGTCTGTCTAAGAATGGGGATAATGGAGTTCAAGGAGACACCTTTCATTGGAGATGTAAGTAAAATACTATATTCTGTTAATCTGTCTCCTTGAGAGCAGAATCAGATCAGAATCGCTTCCCAGTATCCAATGAAGTGTTGTTTGTCATGGTAGCCATTCATCATTGCTAACATTATCATGAACTGGAATCAGACTATGGTTTGTCTGTTTATATGTCTCAGTCATATGAGCTGTGTTGGTCCCAATTGCAAGTATCCCATGCAAGTGAATGTGTTAGCATCATTGGACCTGGAACCTATTGATAATTGTTTGTGTTATTATCCACTTTTTCATAGTCTACAAACATAAAGGATTTACATAAAGTATAATTAACAGCGCCTTGAGCATGCACTCGTGTGTTGATATGTGCACTATATAAATATCCTATAGTATAATATAATAATATAAAAATAACTGCAATATTATTATCTATCCCATATGTAGCAATATACCATTGAAAAGTAACTTTGGCAAAACTTAATGCCTTGATCTTTGTGACTGAACTTTCTTTTGAACCATGATCACTGTTTGGGGGACCTGGTGTATTGTACTGATCACCTGTCACTGGATGAAACTGTCAATTTGAATATTGCCATGGATTGTCATGTAATATGTAGTTATTATCACACCTCATGTAAGAATGCCCATCTCTGATTGGTTCACGTGACCTTGAACAAATTACCATGCATGCCTGCTGCATGGCTGTAAACCGCCTAAGCGGGGTATAAATTTTGAAAGGGAAAATAATCATTTATACCCCACCCCATGGAAAAATCATGCATCCATGGCAGTCAGTGAACCATGAACCAGTGGTTCGGATCAACTAGTCAGTACCATGTTAGTAAAATATATGATTGAATTTCAGTTTGTTTTAGCGTTATATTTACATAATGAGAGTTTAAACATTCGGTAAGATAAATTCGTTGTAGCATTATGATTCAGGGTATGCCCTTGTATACCCCTCATCACAATGCTGCAACTTATATTATCATCCTAATAATCTGATTTGCTCATGCTGTTTTCCCCCTTTACACAGATAGTACAAATGGTTGAGGACTGTAAGTGGAGTGACAAGTTTATAGAGCTACAGATCTGGTCTCGACTGACGTACCAGGCCTACCTTATCAAACATCATAACCTTGTCATGAGATGCAGCAAACAGGCTCTGAAATTTGCTGAAGGAGGAACATCACCAAAGGGAAAGAAAATTGAGGCGTATGTATTCCTTGAGCTGCTTATGAGTTAATTCAGACCAACATGGCTCTGACATGGATCAGAGGAGAATGGGTTTCTGTTGTTCCATGTTGTTTGATTTTTATCAACTGAAGAGCATGGTGAGGTACATCATCAAAATAGGATCATTGTTTGCATATATGAGCGGCAAAGTGATTTTTTATATTTTCTAGTGTATGATGTACACATTTTTCTAGTTTTGCTGAAACAGACATAACCTCTTGTAACAATAATTTACATCATATATACAGTCAAATCCCGATGAAGTACCAACAATTTACATCATATATATATATGGTGTTTTATGGTATAAATGCTTGCCATCATGAAAACTTGTTGCAGCATTTAGAAAGTCCCATAATGTGAAGTTTAATAAAGAGATTAAATAGAGAGCAATGTTGAAGTAATGATAATATATTTGTAGGTGACATTGAGATATTCTTGGTGTTTTCAGCCACAGGTACATGGTTGAGCAGGAGATGTTGAGTTACGCCAGTGGCCTTCAGGGTCAGAGTCTCATAGAGAACATGGGAGGCAAGAACCAACTCCGCCGAGAAGCCATGGAAGCCTTCCTCAACAGCTCAAGGTAGAACACACTGCTGTCATGTTACATATCATAATGCAAACACTGAACAGAACAAAGTGTCTTTAGATAATGCGGGGCGGTGGGGTAGCCTAGTGGTTAAAGCGTTCGCTCGTCATGCCGAAGACCCGGGTTTGATTCCCCACATGGGCACTATGTGTGAAGCCCATTTCTGGTGTCCCCCGCCGTGATATTGCTGGAATATTGCTAAAAGCGGCGTAAAACCCAATTCACTCACTCACTTTAGATAATGCAGTAATAGAGGACAAGTGACAGTGCTTTCATTGGATGTGCTGATATTGTTCCTTCCTACAAATTCCTATTATATTATTAATATTAAAATTTAAAAAGAGTTAAAAAAAGTTTCTTGCTCATATCTTTATGAAGAGATAAGTCAAATAGGGTGTGTCACCTTTGGGCAGGCTACAGGTAAATAGATTTGCCGAGATAAGTCAAATTTATCCTACTTGTTTTAATTGTAAGACTGTTTCTCCCCTAGATTTGCCCGAAATGCCAACAACTATGAGCTTGTAATGACCGCTGCAAGACATTACTGGAACGCTTGTCTCCCCTTGGTTGGTCAGCCAATAGAACGAGAGCTTCTGAAAGAACCAATCAGAGTCATCCTTCAGTGTATCACAGCAACAGCCGAGAAACCACAAAAGAAAGAGGTCATACATCATTTGTAACAGTTAAATATATCTTGTTAGTGTGAAACGGTTTCTAGCAAGTCTAAGATTGTTTTCAACATATCTGATGGTTAGGTATTGTATGTCTTCAGTGTGCAAGTCCAAACCCAAATGTTTTGAGTGTCCATTAGCAACACGTTTTAAGTCAGCCTGGAAGGGGCGTGGGGTAGCCTGGTTGTTAAAGCCGTTCACTCGTCATGCCAAAGACCCGGTTTGATTCCCCACATGGGTACAAAGTGTGAAGCCTATTTCTGGTGTCTCCCACCATGACATTGCAGAAATATTGCTAAAAGCGCGTAAAACCATATTCACTCACTCACTTAAGTCAGCCTATTGCCCATTTGAAGCATTGAAGCTACGAATCACAAGCAATAACTCATATAAGGAAATATGGCATAGTGCACCATAGATATTATGACTCTGGTACCATTTTGCATCAGGTTGTGTATTGCTAACCACAAAAGTGCATGAGAGTAGTGGTACTGTGTTCTTTCATCTATGACATCACTGAATAGAACACATTGGTGCATAAAAGTAATTAAGGAAAATATGAAAATGTGCACATTTTTATCCATTTGTTAAATAATGTGCTCAATATTGGAGGATTTATGATGCTTTCTTAAGGCTTGACTTTTTTAGGTAGAATTTTACTTCATGCAAAGCTGTTGAGACAGTGAATTGTTACGCTAAATGCCTCTATAGCAAGGTGTGAATTTTATGCAGTACAAACAACTGCTTGGACAAAAAATGTACACTAACAATCTTCTTGCTCTGTTTGCACACTTAGAAGTTCCTTTCTTACAGAAAGCGGAAATACTCTTATTACAGGCCAGTGAAACCTTTGATAAAAGTCTCAATTGTTTTGCTCTTTAATTAGTTTTTCTTGCTTTGAAAACTGCCTTTGGTTCATGATTTTTAGAAATATTGAATGTTAACTTTTTGATATTAGGATAAGAGTGATGATAAGGATGAAGTTCAAGAACAGAAAGAAGTTGAAGTGAAGGACCAAGAGGTCAAGAACAACAAGGAGGTCAAGGACGCCAAGGACAAGAAAGCTGCAATGATTGGCAACCCAGAGGAAGACCTGACTTTACGAGCAGCACTGTATGGAGTTCTGTTCCAGTCATACGCAGATAAGGTAATCAGGTCACGAATCAATTGAAGTTAAGCAACGTCGAGCTCGAATCCTCGGACAATCCTTGGATTGGTGACTCCTGAGAGTTTCTAGGACTTCAGTCCTGCCCCACAACGAACATGTGATGCATGTGGTCTCACCTTAGGCAAGTGAGTTTGTTGTTGCCTCTGTTCACCCAGCAGAAAAATGGGTACCCGGTGGGATAAAGTCTTGTGACTATAACCTTCTAGCGTCTAACAGGCAGCTTGGGTTATCCGGGGTAATAAGAATCAGATTCTGATTAAGAGCTGCGAGCAATCACTTGGTGTTTGGAGACATAGAAGATGACTTATTAAGAATATTATTATTATTATTAAGGTGAAACTGTCTTCATTACCTATTTTGAACAGCTCTGTGGATATGACTGAGCTGATTTTTCCTCTCTTGGGAGATTGTTGCACATCTCTTGGCCATTTTCTTCAGGGCTTGATTCTGAGATTACATGAGGTGATTATGAAAAAATGAAGTAGCAAAATAGGGGTGTAGTCAGAATTTATAACAGTTATGTGTTAGGAGATTCGAACATTATTGAGGAGCTGGTGATTTATTATAGTTGACTCAGTCAATGGAATTGTGTCAATGAAGCGATATGACATTGTATTGTATTTTGCTCAGGGAGAATGGGAGATGGCGCTGCAATCTATGGACCAGGCTGTCAATGATATGCCAAGGACAAAACACAGACTGTGAGTTTTCATACTTTTTTTTCAAATCAAGTAATGAGAGCACAAATTTTAAATAGAAAGTATTGTGTATCAAAGTCTGTCGATTTATTGCCAGATAAATATTAAGTGCAGATTGCCAGTCTTTTTATGAAAAATAAAATTATTTCATGAAAGTTACATGTAGGAAGAAAGATGTAATACTATCATCTAGTTTACGTAGAATGATACCATTATGTTTTCAGACTGATCTTCAAGCACCGAGTAATGGTGAAAGCTAAACTGGGCCGGCCTGTTCACATGGATATTCAAAAGTTCAAGGTAGGCAGTTGTTTTCCCCTTAGTGCCTTCATGGTCAGACTATTGCTAGTATGCTGTGTAACTGTAAAAGTATTCAGCATTCTGCTGATTTCATGTATCTTTTAAAACATGGTCCATATTAAGTTTTAAATGGCAGATCCTAATTAAATAACATGTTGCATAACCATAACCACTTGGGACTACCAGAAACCTGTGCAAGAGTGGAATGGGAACAATTTGTTGTTGAGCAGCAATGTGATTGGTTCAAAAAGATTTTACCTGGAATTCACAGCATTATGCAATAAAGATTTACTCTGCTCATGAATTTTTATTTTAAAAGAAATATATAGTTTGAATTACATCCAAATTTGAAAAATACATGGCTCTTAGCATGAATATTGTATTTATTATTACTTTTTGGTAATGATCAGAAATAATATTTCTGTTTATTTCAATGGTCTTTTCTGCATTTTGTGAACCAGTTGGTTCAATTTACATGCAAGCAAATAATGTTCTCAATAGCCTGAAGTCCCAAAAGCCTTTTGTATTTTGTGGATGGCTTACAGAGAATGATGTTTAGATTTATCTAGACATGCTCAGATGCTGATATTCTTTCATAGTTTTGTTGTATGCCTTGTGGCAGTATGAGGTTGGAATATTTTCTTTTCTTTTCTGTCTGTATGTCAGATTTTGTGTTTAAAATATATGAATGACATGTAGCTCTTTTAACCACCCCTGCTACAAAGGAGGAAGCTGAAATATGGAAAGTATTGATGGTGAGACATGCCACATAGCGGGTTATCACATGGTTGTCACATGGTTGTCACATGGATGTCACTGCTTAAAGGTGTTGGTGTTACTGGAAAACAAATAGGGTGTCTGGAAAGAGCATGATGTTAAATATAGGGAAGACAGCAGGGGTGGAAATAACCCATTGCCCGACGCCCGAGTCCAGTGGTTTTTTCTGTCGGGCAAGCAAATTTGTATATCACACTGTACCGGTGTCCAGTTGATATTTCAAAGTTAATTATGTTGTTTATTTAAAAAATCAACATGAAAACGGATGGTATATTGGAAAAAATTATCAGGGCAAGTGATTTTACATGTGCCACTGTACGAGGATTACACTATCAATTTTAAAGTTATTTCCCTCCTGGACAGAAAAATGAGTAAATTTACTTTTCATACAATGTTATGTGAATAAAATATTTTTTTTAATATTATGGCTGTTATTATGATTATGTCTGAATAATTTTACCCAGTTACATGTATGTACATCTTTTACAATGATCTAATTTTGATACTTGTGTAAAGAGAAGAAAGAGATACTCGTGAACAATATTTTCAGACACATTGCTACAAATAGATTGGTAGATGTACACTTGGTGTTGGTTATCATTCAGAAAAAGGATGCAACAGTGTTCATTTCAGAAGGCATCATAGGGGCATTTACATACAAATTCCTTTTTAATAACATTCTGAAAGAATAGGCCATTTCAATGTGACATGTTTTTACTGGGCTAATTACCAGACCCATTTGGCTTTTAGCTTATACTTTTTGGTGTTGTATCGCTGTCACATGAAGCCATTGGCTTGTTTTTACAAGACAAGCATACACAGTAATGAAAGAATACAAAGGGACCAAGTTTAATGAATTGTGTTGAATATTTGTGTGTTCACTGGTTTCATTAAGTTACCCTAATTTGTAGAAAAGTACATCTAATTGGCCCCACTTTTCCTGTTTCTGAAATGAATACTGATGTAATATGTCTGGGAACTGGAATGGTATTTGGCATTGTTTGGTATGCAGTGTGGGAATTGTAGCATACATAGCTACTAGAGAGAACTGTGAGCTACCATGAGTGACCCACGTTTGGTTAAAAAATTCTGTTTGTTTTGTGTCAAAGATTTGAATGAATATATTTATCCTTATTACAAAATTATACCTCTCCTACTAGAAAAATGTCAAACTGACTTCCAAATTCATCCATAATTTTTTTAATACATTGACATATAATTGCATGATGATGGTGATGATGATGATAATGATGATGATGTTGATGACAAAGTTCCATTTGAACACACATATTCATAAGCTGCACTTTTGCAACAGTCTTATGGAAATTTAAGATAGTTTTATTGAGTAGATTAAAGTGTGATGTGTATTACTTTGTATCATGTTAATATTACACAGTCTTATCACTTTCTTGAAGCCTTTTGTCATTCAGTAGGACTGTGTTTCATTGAATTGTTTCAAAGATAGTAAAATTATACAATATGCAATTTGACTGCATGCATGTTATAGTTTCTTTACAACTTGAGTTTAACCGTTTGCTGCAGCTGGACGATTGGTTCTGTTACTGTTACTTTTTTCACATTTTAAGAGCCATAGCAGGAGCTAGCACTTGCTTTAAGCACTGTGTGAACTGAAGATTCAGTAATTTGTATTCAGTAATTTGTACATAATGGGATCCAAACACTGTGACTACTGCAGTACATTTAGCATGTAATTATGATAGTGTTAATAGTTGCTCATAACGTCAATCACTGGTTTCTGTCTGACCAGACTTGGTTAAGTACACACTGCCATTCTATAGCTGGAATACTGCTGTGTGTGTTTGAAGAAACAACCTACCAATCTGACCTCAGTAAATTAGCTTAAAGTCTGTTGGTTTGACTATAGCTTGGAAATATCTGGTCACTTACCAGTACGGTGACTTGGTACAAACATTCACAATAACGGTCACATCTAATGCACTAAACTGTAAGTGATTTATGTAGCTAAAGGGAAATGTAATTGTGTTCATTCTTCAATCTACGATAAACATGCCTAAACACCTATCAATGCCAAGAGGATTTTAGAGAATTTTATTTTCAAAATTAAAATCAATGAAATTCTAATTCCCTGTAGGAAATTGTTTTCCCTCTTTGTTTCCATGAACGAATCTACCAAGGTTGTCTTGAAAAGTGTTTTCTTGTGTTAACTGATGAATCTGTAAGTCTACACTGTCCTTATCTTCACAAGCAGCCTCCTGTAACTATGAGAACTATATTTCAGGATGAGAGTGAGGACTATGTGGCCCACATGTGGAGACGAGTTGCCCTCAGTTCCAAGGAAACAATAGAGCAGATGTCTTCCTACCAGTATGCAGTGGAAGCTCTCAATGTAAGCAGTGTTCACAAATAGCGTCTGACCCTCTGACAAATCCGGCAGATTTGCCAACGGTCCGATAGAAGTCTACAACCCGCCGGCCCCAATATCTGACTGCATATTTCACAATGACTTTGACTGAAGTTGTTATATGGGACATGTGACACCTGTTTGCTGTTTTTAAATCTTATGTTTGTTTATACTTTCATTGCCAATTATAAGAAATGTTAAATCTGAAATGTGTGTTTAATTTTATTCTATGGGTCCTGTGAATTTTCAATGGGTCAGACAGACATCTGAAACTTACAGGACCAAATGTCCTGTTACTTTAAAACACCATTCGTGAACACTGAATGTAAGTGACCTGTTTTAATGCTTTGGATGCTCTCTATGTAAGTAACCTATCTACATAAAGTGGAGGCCGTCAATGCATGTGACCTACCTGTATACTTCTGACCATACATCTTCAGTCAGTATGCTGCCATGAGTATGTTTGTATTCCAGAGCCCCAGCAATGAGTGGCTGAAGGTGGACTACCTGATCGAGTTCGGCCAGTGGCTGTATGTCAACGACTTCCCCCTGCAGGACACTATTGACCAGATAGAGTGGGCCATAGACATCCTCCTCAACATCCAGGCTGGTGGTGACAAGCAGGAGGGTGAGTCCACCTCACTAGCTCCATGGGTAGTCTGGGTTAGAACCTCACATGATGCTTGTCAGGTGACCAAAGAGATTGGTGGTTACATTCAGGAAGGGGGTTGACTGCATATCATACCCATATGATGTGCATCTTTGCTCATGATATCAATCACTAAATTGTCTTGACCAGATTCTATCATTCATATTGCCTTCATATAATTCGAGCACATCATTTTATGACAAGCAAAACAAGCACGTAACTGGTGGCTCAGTCATCTAAACCACTACAATTTCCCCTACAGTATTTCATTGCTATGCAATGCATGGATCTGCAGATAAGGGTTTGAGGCCTAAGATGGTCTGTTATAATCCATGGTGAATACTACTTCAATATCTGTGGGATAGGTCATTTGTAGTCATCACATACTGAAACCATGAGATTCAATGTATTGCCAACTCCAGGTGCAGTTGAGAAGGTCCCAACACAGAAAGGTGACTCAAAGAAAGGACAAATGAAAGGTGAGCTGGTGTTATATTAATATGAACGTTAGTCTAATTTAATCTATTGGTCAACTGTATGAGGAAAAATGTCTCTCATTTATGTTGTTAAGTTGATTCTTCCATTCCTGATTGATCGAAGTACATTCTTTCACATAAATAGTGTCAGTTTTTTAAATTAAGCAGGATATTCACATGGTCTTTGTCAATGCACTGTGACATAGTGAGTCGAGTTTGTGCTAGTTACAGAGTAACAATCTATCACACAAGACACTGACTACAACATGTCGACTTATTCTGAAAGTTTGAAATCCATCAACTATCATGTCTACCCTACATTTTTGTGAAGTAGTTTAGTTGTATTTTCATTTAAATGAATGTTTGTAGCAAAGAGAGAAAAGAAGAAGCCAGGAAAGTCGTCAGCGAAGGGCAAGACTGGTAGAAAGTCGCCCGATGGAGGGAAGAAGACGTCAGACTCCCTGAGTAAAGTGTCTGATGTACGCAGTGACATCAGTGACAGTGACAGCGAGATCAACCCCGCGGACTACATCCCTGTTGTCAAACAGGCAGAGATAGGTCAGTACTGGGAAATAAGGTTTGCACAGATCATAACGTGCTTCCTATCTTTGAAATACATCTTACTCTTTAGTTCAGTTACAGTGATATCAGAGGATGAACTGTATAAACTTCTGGACTTAGATTTTTGAAGCTGTCTTAGTGCTCAGATAGTCGTAAGTGCCATACATTAACATTAACTTATGACTATCTTAGCACTAAGAGACCTTTGAAAATCTAGGCCCTGACTTGTATCTTAACACTATGAAAGTCAGTGTCCAGTAAGATACAACACCTCCACTGGTGCATCTTTACCTGAGTCTTGTGTGATCGTTACACAGGTGTGCTGCCCGCCAACCCTGCCCTGACCATCAGTGACCTGACAGACATTAGTCAGCTTGATGCCCTGATCAGGGCCCATGTCATCCTGGCAGATGTCCATGGAAGGAACTCCCCAGCCTATGCTGATATCTGCCTCATGGCTCATGGATATTTGATGCAGCTGTGGAAGGTAGGTGAAAGTCAAGTGCCACATGCTCGCTTTCCTCAAATTACTCAAACAGCTCCAATATTACTTGGCATGACTAAGTTTTTTTATGAATCTGATAGGCACATTATGTAAGAGTCTGCCAATCTACAGAATTGAATGTTGATACTGCAGGTGTGCATAGCTGCTGCCGGACCTGTGATGAAGGAACTGGCCAAGAACCCCCCACCAGATGCCAGTGCTGCAGCAGGGAAGAAGTCTGCTAATGCCAAGAAGGACAAGAAGGACAAAGAGGTGAGACCTAGACTTTGTAGCTGTGTAGCAGGGCGTGGAGTCATCCCACAGATGACATCCTTACCTTGTCAGCTTGCTGATGGGGTTAACCTCTTTGGTCATGTGGACATGGCGTCCGACTTCGGATTAGAAGGTCCGTGGTTCGAATCCCAGCACGGGACTCGGAAATTTGATGGCCGCTACAGCTGTATTTCACCTTGAGTTTTTTGTGTGTAAGTGTAGTGGTTGGTTGCCATAGATATCATCAAGTAACTTGTGTAAAGGTATGGGCCACTCTGTCTTAGTGCGATGATGGTCGCAAGTCAGTGTTCAAGTATAGCTGTTACGTCCAACATTGCATTATTATCGCCTTGTACGTGGATGGAGTAAGCACTGTTTGTGTTCATCACAGGATAACGGCAGTAACATAGGAAAGAGTGGTTGTGTCTTTCATAGTTGATAAAGCAAAGGATACATAAGGCAGTATGTAAGATGGTTAGTTTTGTCTTTAATTTAACTCGCAATTTCTATATTAACAGAGACTGTTTAAATGTTTGTTATGGAAAGAAATTATTGAAGTCAAATATTCCAGTTTTCACATGGATGGAATTTGAGTTAAATGTCAGTAAAAAATGGAAGCAGGTTTCCATGATGTCAGAAGTTTCCAAAGACGACATCTACTCTCACGTTTCTGTATGACTCATCTTTTTCCTTTCCACTGACTCCTGTCAGGTTCCTAAAGAGAAGCCCAAGAGGAAGGGCCCCCTGGACACTCTGCCTTCTACGACAGAGGAGTGGGCTGTGTATGATGTTCCTGATGAGGTAAACATTTGATACCTTTCAGCTGTTGATTAACTTTTGGCTTGGGAGAATAGGAACATGTGGTCAAATGATATGCTGAGATTCAAACATCCTAACCTATACTGAATTGCTTATCCACACAATTTCTTTGACTCTCAGCCTATTTTCTTGATGGACTTTTGACAAAAATAATTCTGAGGAACAACAATTACATGAATCACAACCAAAACCCTAAACATGTTCTTATTCCTGAAGAGCGTAGTCATAATATTGCGCTATTCATGGAATTCACTCTTTAGGCTCTGATATTCAGTGCAAGGGTTTTGTCATCTTTATAACCATGGGAGTGTGAAGTGATACCTGACACCAAACTTTCAGATGCTGGAAGCCTTCAAGCAGGAGACATTGAGTAAGACTGGCATCACCACTGAAACACTGCAGAAACCAGTAAGTTGGATTGAGACAGGACTGGTTACAATTGTTACATAACACATTTGTGGAGAGAAAACAAACACAAAAATAATTTACATGTCGGTGTTATAACTTACAGGGAGACAGTGTTTCAGCTACTGGGTGGCTCCCATCTACCAAATGGCAATAGAGAGAAGAAGTATTGTGGGTGTTAATAACACTTCAGCCATTAAATCTAATCCTTCAAAGAATATTTAAAACATTGCCCTAGCAGTTCATATGTTACAGAGTTGACATTGTGTCTTTTGCATTCTTGATGTCCTAAGCAATGTTGTTGGTCATTGTTTTGCTAGATATATTTTGCTTAAGTTTTACAAATTACATGCTGGAGTCTTGTCAGATGAAATTTCTGAAACCTACTTCTAAAAGTAGCTGTTAATCAGTACGATTATTCTGATTCAGTCAACTCAAAACTAATATGCTCTAGAGTTGGTTAAATTCACCTGGTTCACATTGTCCTCATAGATTGACCAGACTAATTGTTGCAAGGTATCAGGTTTATTCACCCATAACTTGTTTGTTGTTTCAGATGCTGACCCTGGAGTACTTGGATGCTCTGATGAAGATGCTGCAACAGCTAGGCTATACCCACCTGTCTCTCCCCATCCTTGCCTTCCAGGATATGTTATCCCGGAGCATCATCTCCAACAACGCTTTGCACATACTGGTGCACGTCAGGTAACCATTGTCTTGGATGAAATAGGTGGACTAGATGATTAAGTGTTTGCTTGTCACATCCACTATTCAACTTTGATAGTCCATATTCAATTTTGGTACCTGTATGGAACTCATTCTTAGGAAACAGACCCCTGATGATCTGGGTTACACTTGTTCTTCAGCAACCCATGCATGTTGTAAGAGACGATTGGGTGGTCAGGCTTGCTGACTTGGTTGATGCATGTCATCGTATCCCAGGAGAGTAGATCGAAGCTCATGATGTCAATCACTGGATTGTCTGGTCCAGACTCGACTATTTACAGACTGCTGCCATATAGCTGGAATATTGCTGAGTGTGGTTTTAAACAGCCAACAAAAACAAATCTTAGGAAACACCATTGGGACTCAGTATGAATATATCAACAGTAAACTATGTTTGTCATGTAAGGTTGAAATGGAGCAGTTTGTCAGGTTCTCAGACTTACTTCATTGTACCATGTCCCAACAGTGTGGAACATTGCATGTAATATAAATCAATGATTGTCTGATTACACGCGATTCCTAACAGGCAGCATTTGAATTAAGAAAAGAGGTTGTATGCACTTCATAAGGCCCATTTGGATGAATCATTGAATGGATTGGAGACTGAAGTATTTCAGCTGGGATGCGTGGGATGAGGAGACTGATGTGTTTGTGTGTTGTCCAGGAGTATAGAGGTGTGTCAGCAGCTGGACCTCAAGGCTGGTGTCAGCTTCCATGACAAGATCATCTCACCCATACAGATCAGCGAGGATGACCAAGCTCAGTGAGTATTTCATTGTAATTTGATGGTTGTCAATTCATATGTTTCTTAAATAGACTCATGGAAAGAAGTAAGGGAACATGTGAAAGTACAAGTGTTCCTACATTCTTTTCCAGGTTTCTTTGCATGCTTTGACTTGCACTGTGGTTGAAAATCTGGAAAAGCATAAAGGAACACTTGTACTTTCATGTGTTCCTTTATTTGTTTCCATGAGTATATTTGGGCGGTGGAGTAGCCTGGTGGTTAGAGCATTTGCTCGTCACGTTGAAGACCCAGGTTGGATTCCACACATACTATGTGTACTATGCGTGAAGCCCATTTCTTGTGTCTGCCGCTGTGATATTGCTGGAATATTGCTAAAAGTGGCACAAAACTAATCCTGTCACTCTTAAAAATTTGGTCAGTGACAAGATTTATTGGTTTTCATTCATAACCGTTCAGTTCAGTTCACTGAATTCACTGTCTCTTTAGCTTGCATAATTCCTTCAAATATCTTAAAACTATTTCATCATAGCAATGTCTTTGTTGCTGTTCCTGTGCTATAAAAATACTTAGATTTCTCATCAGACATCCTTTTCACAGGCATTCATTGGACTCATCCAAGTTTCAAATAGTTTAATATGATTTAATCCTGCCAAGAATGTATAAGGTTTTACAAACGTTCACTTCTTTGTTCATGTGATATGATAACTAACTGCATCTGATACTACACTTTATTGGACGAGGGGAATTTCTGTAAAACTGACTGATTAGCTGATTTTCATATACATTAGCTGAACTGGCTGCAAACATTTCAGAACTACAAAACCTGTGGGTATGTCATTGCAATATGGGTTGTTTCACATCTCATTTGGCATATTTGTTGTGCCAATCCTGACACTATCTCTTGCTTTTCTTAATCCAGGTCCCGTGAGGAGATCGCCTTCATGAAAGAAAAGCAGACACAGGTTGCTAGGGAGGAGATGAGGGTCAAGGCCACACTAGCTCAGCTGGCTAATGAGTCTCATGCTCAGAAACGTGGCCACACACCTCGAACACCAGGCTTCACTCTGGAGAAGGTATGGCCGCCTGTTGGAGCCTTTCTTGAGACATAGATGAAACATCAGATAGCTGATGTAGATAGATGCTTATGCTGTTGACTCGATAATTAACTAAAACTAAACTTGCTCACTTAGATAGCCGATTATTATTGTTTTTGTTGTTCTTGTTGTTCTTGTTGTTGTTGTCGTTGTTAGTATATCATTATATTTCAGCTGGATGAGGTCCATGAGACAGAATCCCATCTGGGTAAAGTTCTGGGAGCTGTCACTTTCCGTGATATCTGGGCTGACACAGCAGAGGTTCTGATCAGACAGGTAATAGGACAGAGCTAATTAATTGAGAGATTCTACTGTAAAATACTTGGCTAACTGACTGTGGCCACTTTATAAGACAGGCAATCGTTTTTTGAGTCCACATTATTGTCTTGAATCGTATATTGTAAATACTTCAATAAAATGTCTCTTATGTAATCGATCTTTCATATGATATTCATATATTTTTCAGGGATTGTACTCCAGGGCCAGAGAATTCTTAAATGAGGCTATCATAGCAGCCAAGGTACGTTCTGTCCTGAAGAGTGTCTTTTTTTGTATCCAATGTTTTAGAATGTTGTGGCATTTGATAAAAATATATACATAACCATTTGTCTATTCGAACCATGTCTCCTTTGTCAAATCAGATTAAATATCTCTCCACAACATTTTAACTTGCAGTATCTTTTTGTGTAGAGAGTTAACATTATATTGAGATATTATTACAGTCTTATTAACTGACTAAAATGTAACCGGGTTGATGTTGTGTTCATGTAATTCAACAATGTGATTGTTGCTCATACTGTCAATCCCTAGTTTATAAAACCCAGGGGCCAGATTCACTAAACTTCTAAGAATTTTCTTAGTTTTTATGCTTAAGTTTCCTTAAGAATTCTTAGCTGAGAATTTATCTTAAGTAGAATCCAGCATGCCACTAAGTATAAATCTTAGCTGAGATATTTTAAAATTCTTAGAATTTTCTTAGTGAGAAACGCATGGGATTATGGGATACAAATTTATGCTAAGAATTTTCTTAGATGACGTATTGGAAATCCCCGTATCTATTAATAGCATAGTTGAACTCTCCTCGCATGGAGATAGAAAAAAAGTTACGCAAACGACAACAACAGATCAGAATGGAGAAGAAAAGTGCGAGAAAACCCAACTGGACGGCCGAACAGACGTTGTTCTTAACTCGCCTTGTTGAGGAAAACAAGGCTGTATTACTCGGCAAGTTTGGACCGGGCGTTACATCTGCTCGAAAGAAGGAAATTTGGACGAATATAACCAAGCAGATCAATCAAGTTTAGTGAATCCGGCCCCAGAACTCTATGATATGGCTGGTCTATCGCTGACTGTAACATAACACAACACACATTCACTCACTCAGGTTTTGTCTGGGGTGTCTTTATGTCAGGGGATATCTATTCTCTCCACACAAGCATGATAAACAAGTTGCGGCACGATAGTTTAAGGGCGACTTGTTAAAGTTCCAGTATTCTAAGTTGCATCCCTTAGACATGCAAGTATCTGCTGATCATGTGTTTGAATCCATGTTTGCCATGAGTATGGTACATTGCTGGTCATAAATATACATCTGCTGTTGTATTTATTAGGTAGTAAATAATTATCTACACGCCTAACCTTGAACTTCCAACTATAAGCTGAAATGCTGAAATAGGTGATAAACAGGTTACAAGTTAGGTGACAGGGATGGAAATATCCAACCACAGAGTACCAAAGTGTTGTGCATAATATTTTTTATATCATTTTTGAAATTTGTGACTAAAATAACGTAAAATTCGAATATATCATTCCTTAAAAAACAGTAGTTAAGATGTACTATTTTTATCGTTGCATTGAGTTTGTTTGAAGTTATTTGATTGGATTTGCTTTACCTGAATCACTGGTGGATGAGGAAATGTATCCACAGCTGATCGCTGTTTCTAGCTCAATTAACTAGAGTGAGTGAGTGAGTTTGGTTTTACGCCGCTTTTAGCAATATTCCAGCAATATCACGGCGGGGGACACTAGAAATGGGCTTCACACATTGTACCCATGTGGGGAATCGAACCCGGGTCTTCGACGTGACAAGCGAACGCTTTAACCACTAGGCTACCCCACACCCAATTAACTAGATAATACACATGGTAATCGCAATGTGCATGTGAAACAATACCTAGCGGAACAGGAGATATAATTTAAATGGTATTTCATTATGTCTAGTGATGTTTGTTCTCAAATTTTCATTCACCAAGTTTGGCTGAAGGGACACAATCTAGGTTTTTGTCTGCACATAAAACTTCAAATATTTGTTCCCTCGATACTGAATCCAAGAGAGAGGAGGTACACATTATACTTGAGTGTATACTATACTCAAGAAAACATGGTATGTTGATGCTGTAGGAGTTCAAGGACAAGCCTCTGGAAGCCAGGATTCTGTACCTGCTGGCTAGACTGGCATATGAAGAGGCTCAGTATGGCCAGGCAGTCAACCTGTGTAGGATGGCACAGGTAAGTCCTAGCTCAGGTTCCAAAGGAGAAAAGTAGAAGGTTCTGTTTGATCCTGAAATAAGGGATTTAGTACTTATCCTTATTGTTACTGAGACTAACTATACTTCCTAAAAAAAAGATCAAAGATTTTACCTACTTTTTTTGTGTTTATCTTATATTTTAATGATGAAATATGATCAATGCACGTGTATTTCTGAAAACGTGTCTTAGTGGCTTAATCCCAAATGAAGACGATGTGGATATGGATATTGCTGGATGTCGTGACACTATGGCTGCTGATTACTGCTTCAGGACACACAGAGCGGAGACGAGATGTTCTGGTACAACACTACTGTGCTGATTGTGGAAGCTACACTACAGGACTATGAGAACAGACAGTCCAGGAGAGCTGTCAGTATTTACTGAATTACTCACACAAACGTTATCAGATGTCACTTGTTTTTCTTATCTGAAAGATGTCATGTATCCACCTGATTCTATATCCACACACATATCAACTCCCTTACACTAACAATGCTATTGATGAATCCGGCCTGTTGTGATTCTCAGTAAGACTAACTCCACCAGGTCGGCCATGAGTGGCATTGATGAATCCGGCCTGTTGTGATTCTCAGTAAGACTAACTCCACCAGGTCGGCCACCAGTGGCATTGAACGAATCCGGCCTGTTGTGATTCTCAGTAAGACTAACTCCACCAGGTCGGCCACCAGTGGCATTGATGGAATCCGCCTGTTGTGATTCTCAGTAAGACTAACTCCACCAGGTCGGCCACCAGTGGCATTGATGGATCCGGCCTGTTGTGATTCTCAGTAAGACTAACTCCACCAGGTCGGCCACCAGTGGCATTGAACGAATCCGGCCTGTTGTGATTCTCAGTAAGACTAATTCCACCAGGTCGGCCACCAGTGGCATTGAACAAATCCGGCCTGTTGTGATTCTTAGTAAGACTAACTCCACCAGGTCGCCACCAGTGGCATTGAACAAATCCGCCTGTTGTGATTCTTAGTACCAGTGGCATTGAACAAATCCGGCCTGTTGTGATTCTTAGTAAGAGTAACTCCTCCATGTTAGGGTTAGACTAACCCTAACATGATGGCCACCAAAAGCCTGTAAGAGGCAAATAAAGGGATAGGATGGTCTGGCTCTGGGACATGGTTCATTGCATATCTTCGTATCCCAACTACATACACTGATGCTGATGATGTCAGACTCGGGTATTGTATTACTGCCAAATGTAGCTGGAATACTGCTGAGTACAGCTAACTATCAAACACTGGTGGACACTGGATATATTTGCAAATTTTATTTTGTGAAATGTCGCTTCCAGGCCAGGAAAATCGTTTTACACAGTCTGAATGAGTTCACCAAGGTGTATGAAGAGAGACCCAACAGGATGAGTGTCCTCGGCTACATCCTGGCTGACCTGGAGGGAAGGTCAGTGCTGCTGTTGCTGTTGTTGCTGTTGTAGTGGATAGTGCTACTAATTTTAAGTACAATATAGAACAAACTTTATGGACAACTTCTTTTTATTCGTGAGGTGAGTGTGACGTTTCGATACAGATTCTTGTACCGTTGTCAAGCATGATAATAAGATGCTTGACAACGGTACAAGAATCTGTATCAAAACGTCACACTCACGAATAAAAAGAAGTTGTTATCCATAAAGTTTGTTCTATATTGTACTTCCCAACTTCTAAAATGCCACTCAAAGAAGTTAGTTTTTAGTAGTTACTACCAGGCTACAGGTTTGGACCGTATGTACCTGTCTGCCCATTTACTATTTGAACAGCTGTTCTAGATTCTTTAAAGCATTTTTTATTTCAGTTATCAACAAGCAACTTATTTGAAGAATATCAAGAAATTTTCATCCCTTTACTCTGACGAGCATAACATTTGATGTTTGAAGTGAACACATATTTAAGAGAAAACAGATTATTGACATGGTCATGTGATTTGTACTATATGTACTACTTATTGTTGTAATATTTCAAAGGGAGATATTCGCCTTTGTTTTCAACAGTCATCTATTCGAGATACCTTTCCTGGAATCCATAACAATCTACAGTCAGACGTAGCCCTGATTTGCTCACAGATCAAATGCAACAATGTACTGACATTCAGTGTGTGAAATAGCCACTGGCCTGCAAGCCTGTGGCAATAAAAAAAGTCCAGTCAGAATAGTAAATTTCCAGTCACTGGCCCGACTGTCTAGTGAATTTTCATGGGGTCATTTTATAGATATTTCACTCTCTCCGACTTGTTAAGTTATAATACACTTTTATATCATGCAAGATTGTGGCCTGATAAAATGTTCATCATATTAATGATTAATGAGCAGCTTAATGATGAAACCCTTGTCTACATTCAAATGTCGGACTAGTGAATTATTCTGTGGACTAGTAATTTTCAGGCATAGCTAGCCCGACTGGCTTGCAAAATTTGGAAACTATTTCGCACACTGCTGACATTACCAGTACTTTGTTATGACAGTCATAATGTCCATATTTAGGGCACAATACCTGAATGTTTCTATGTGAGATATGTAACATATTTTTCAAAAAAATCGAAATATAAAGCTATAGAAGAACAATGATAATAAGATTTGAGTTTAATTGATGTTAAATTGAATATGGATACTGGCGCTCTGCATGTGAAATAGTGATAGATATGCTGATAATTCCACGACAAACATATACGAGTACATGTGGCTGTTGGTAGGTTGGCAAGTGTCCAGGCTGACATCCTACTCAAAGAACACAAGAATGTCAACAACCCGGAGATCATGAAGGGTGTACTCTCTGCCTGTGAGGTGAGACAACTTCTCTGGAAATTGAATTAGTTGTGAATGTAAAAAATAAAATAATCTCAGCAGTTAAAAAATGTCTGTCTTTGCTCTCAGTGATGCAAGACAATATTAAGGTTTTTATTGACGTAATGCATTATTAATTTGAGTACACTTTTCATTAGATTACAAAATCTGTCATCCCCAAAGTCACTTCCTACCGGGATCCCGATCCCCAGTAGTTTAGGCTGTTCATATGACTAGTTTGTTAGGATGGTTTTGGATCTTTGTTGATAGCTTATAAGCTACTGTCATAACTATAGTCCGTTTGGCTCAAAAGCGGACCGATGAATTGTAAAACTTATAAACATAAAATACTCAATGAAACACTGATCATAATGAAAACATCAGACCAACTCTGAGAGGTGTTTGCAGAATTTAGGTCCTAAAAATAAAAAAGTTGTTTAACAAACTATCATTAAAATATCGACACAGTTCATTATTTGTTACGAGGGAGGAGTGCAGAGAAAGGGACAGCCGGGTGTGCGAGAAAGGATGGAGACGGCACAGCACAGGTTAATGAATCAATAACTTAGTCGGCACTTGTGCACATGCTTCTCTAACACCTGGCTGTCCCTTTCTCTGCACTCCTCCCTCGTAACAAATAGTGAACTGTGTCAATATTTTAATGATAGTTTGTTAAACAACTTTTTTAATTTTTGGACATAAATTCTGCAAACAAATCACAAAGTTGGTCTGATATTTTGATTATGATCAGCGTTTCATTGAGTATTATATGTTTATCAGTTTCTGAGTTAGATTGCAATTCATCGGTCTGCTTTTGAGCCAAACGCACTTTACACTGGACATTGACGGTAAGACCAGTCATAGGTTTGTCTTGTACTGACAGCCTTCATTTAACTGGAACATAGCTGAGTTTGGAACAAACAAACAATGAAACACTTTGTTGACAGAAGCATCTGTGTATATGACATTTTCAGAAATTTGAGAATGCAACAGAGAAGCTGATTCAACTTCAGTACAGGGAGGAGGCCCTCCCACTGATGAAGAAACACGCCTCTGTACTACGACATCTTGCACGAGAAGCGCTGGAGAAAGATGTGGCGCATACATACTACCTTCAGGTATTGACTCTTCTGTCATTTACCTACATGGTTTACAGATGTAGTTTACAGTGTATTGTTGAAGACCGTAGGAAGAAGTAACATTTTAAAAACATATTTTTGTAAATGAACAAAAGAATGTTGTTATATTAGAGGATAAGATGAGCAGAACAGTGGGTTCCCTTTACAGTTCACTACATGTTTTATCATAACATACAGATTGATAAATAAGATGTTACCAACAACTATTGAATGATCTAGTCGGGTCAAGTTTTGATATTTGCACACATTCATGTTAGTGATATGGCTTTCTTGTCTTTGTTAATGTAAATAGGTATCTCTTCATCAAATTTATTTCATAAATCTGCATAAACAAGGCAGTTATTAAGAACCAGTGTTCGAAATAGCCACTGGCCAGTGCTAGCACTATAAAACCAGCCGTCTGGCTAATAAGAGTCAGTTGGGAAATATTCCAGTAAATCTCCACAGTCACTCATAAATCTGACTGGCTAGTGACTTTTCATCGCTAGGGTCATTTTGTAAATATATCACTCTCTCCGACTTGTTAAGTTAATACACTTTTAAATCATGCAAGATTATATTAGCAACTTAATGATGAATCCTGTGTCTACATTCAAATTTCGGGCTTGTGAATTATTTTGTGGGCTAGTAACATTCAGCATAGCTAGCCCGAATGCCTAGCAAAATTTGGAAACTATTTCGCACACTGTTAAGAACATGAAGTATCTCTTACAATTTATGAATGTCAAGTCAAGATATAACTAGAGAATTGTTGACAGGTTGACATTGAAAAATCTCGCCCGTTTACTCCTTCATTGTTGCATTAAGACCCTTGAAGAGATGATCAGTTTTCAAATTTGTGTAGAGTATAAGAACATTATTTACTCATTGCGTCAACAAGATTTACATCTGGAATATTTCTTATGGACTTATTATTATTATTATTACTTTACATATGTTAAGTTTGTTAGTTTGTAAATACAACTGACTTTAGTCCTGACTGGTCTCTTGGATCGGTGTTTGACGATGTTTGTATGTTTCAGTCTGTCATGGTATTGAGGGAAGCAGCAACATTGGCTGAGGAGGTCTATTTGGATGTGCAGACTTTGTTTGGACTTCAGGAGGTCAGTATATTTAGTATGAAAATATTTATAGTGTAATTTCGGTTGATAAGTACAGGTGGGTAAATAAAGTTAAATAACATGTAAGGATTTCTGCTGAATATGTGGCAAAGTATTTATTGTTTGTATTATCATTCTAGTTCTCATTTGAGGGGGGGGGGAGAAATTAGTCTAATGTTTAAAGTGTCCGCTTGTCACGCTGAACACCCGGGTTCAATTCCCCACATGGGTACAATATGTGAAGCCCATTTCTGGCATCCCGTGCATTGATATTGCTGAAATAGTGCTGAAAGCGGTGTAAAACCACTCACTCACTCACTAGTTCTCATTGGTATTGCACTCATCTGATTGGGCATCCAGCAACATTCAAACAATGCCATCAATATTTGTGGGTTTTTAAGGGGGAAGATCACTCTCTATATTACATAAGCATGTGAAACTTGATTTGATAGGTTGATATGAAACTGAATTGCAAACTTTCTCAATGCAGAATTCCGGTTGTTACAGTGGCTGTTGTGTTTACTTCTTGTCCAGATATACAGAGTACAGCCTGCTATTATATCCTGACCTAAGCTATGCCAAGTAGGAGTCCTGCATGGCTTTTAGGTTTTTGCCAAATTAGTGATGAATATTTTGTAACCTGTTCATTATGATGTTATAGACACGTAACCTGAGCCTGCCAGTCCAGCGGGAGTTTGTGGACATCCAGATTGAGCTGGGTGACATCCTGACGGAGATCCTGCATGTTCAGGCTAAGGAGGCTCGTTTACAGCAACTGGAAGATCAACGCAAGGGATCAGTGCTCAAGGTAGGCTAGTTTCACATAACATTGGGTTGTCTTGGGCTCTAGCTTCACATAACAACACAGTATCACTTCAGTTGACATCATGTTGTCTCTGATCCCAGCTTCACATAACATAGTGTTGTCTCAGGCCCTAGCTTCACATAACATATTGTTGTATCATACCCTAGTATCACTTCACTTGACATCATGTTGTCTCTGATCCTAGCTTCACATAACATAGTCTTGTCTCAGGCCCTAGCTTCACATAACATATTGTTGTATCATACCCTAGTATCACTTCTCTTGACATCATGTTGTCTCTGATCCCAGCTTCACATAATATATTGTTGTATCATACCCTAGTATCACTTCTCTTGACATCATGTTGTCTCTGATCCTAGCTTCACATAATATATTGTTGTATCATACCCTAGTATCACTTCTCTTGACATCATGTTGTCTCTGATCCCGGCTTCACATAATATATTGTTGTATCATACCCTAGTATCACTTCACTTGACATCATGTTGTCTCTGATCCTAGCTTCACATAATATATTGTTGTATCATACCCTAGTATCACTCCTCTTGACATCATGTTGTCTCTGATCCTAGCTTCACATAATATATTGTTGTATCATACCCTAGTATCACTTCTCTTGACATCATGTTGTCTCTGATCCTAGCTTCACATAACATATTGTTGTATCATACCCTAGTATCACTTCACTTGACATCATGTTGTCTCTGATCCCAGCTTCACATAACATAGTGTTGTCTCAGGCCCTAGCTTCACATAACATATTGTTGTATCATACCCTAGTATCACTTCTCTTGACATCATGTTGTCTCTGATCCCAGCTTCACATAATATATTGTTGTATCATACCCTAGTATCACTTCTCTTGACATCATGTTGTCTCTGATCCTAGCTTCACATAATCTATTATTGTATCATACCCTAGTATCTCTTCTCTTGACATCATGTTGTCTCTGATCCCAGCTTCACATAATATATTGTTGTATCATACCCTAGTATCTCTTCTCTTGACATCATGTTGTCTCTGATCCCAGCTTCACATAATATATTGTTGTATCATACCCTAGTATCACTTCTCTTGACATAATGTTGTCTCTGATCCTAGCTTCACATAATATATTGTTGTATCATACCCTAGTATCACTTCTCTTGACATCATGTTGTCTCTGATCCCAGCTTCACATAATATATTGTGGTATCATACCCTAGTATCACTTCTCTTGACATCATGTTGTCTCTGATCCCAGCTTCACATAATATATTGTTGTATCATACCCTAGTATCACTTCTCTTGACATCATGTTGTCTCTGATCCCAGCTTCACATAATATATTGTTGTATCATACCCTAGTATCTCTTCTCTTGACATCATGTTGTCTCTGATCCTAGCTTCACATAATATATTGTTGTATCATACCCTAGTATCACTTCTCTTGACATCATGTTGTCTCTGATCCCAGCTTCACATAATATATTGTTGTATCATACCCTAGTATCACTTCTCTTGACATCATGTTGTCTCTGATCCTAGCTTCACATAATATATTGTTGTATCATACCCTAGTATCACTTCTCTTGACATCATGTTGTCTCTGATCCCGGCTTCACATAATATATTGTTGTATCATACCCTAGTATTACTTCACTTGACATCATGTTGTCTCTGATCCTAGCTTCACATAATATATTGTTGTATCATACCCTAGTATCACTCCTCTTGACATCATGTTGTCTCTGATCCTAGCTTCACATAATATATTGTTGTATCATACCCTAGTATCACTTCTCTTGACATCATGTTGTCTCTGATCCCAGCTTCACATAACATCGTGTTGTATCATACCCTAGTATCACTTCACTTGACATCATGTTGTCTCTGATCCCAGCTTCACATAACATTGTGTTGTATCATACCCTAGTATCACTTCTCTTGACATCATGTTGTCTCTGATCCCAGCTTCACATAACATCGTGTTGTATCATACCCTAGTATCACTTCACTTGACATCATGTTGTCTCTGATCCCAGCTTCACATAACATCGTGTTGTATCATACCCTAGTATCACTTCACTTGACATCATGTTGTCTCTGATCCAAGCTTCACATTGCAACATTGTGTTATCTCAGGTCCATGGTTAACTTGTGTTGTCTCAGGTCTATGGTTAACTTGTGTTGTCTCAGGTCCAAGGTTAACTTGTGTTGGTTCAGGTCCAAGGTTCACTTATATAGCATGCAATAAACAAGCAAGCCATATGTTAATTGTGAACTCTAACAAATGGATTTGGAAAAAAACAATGAAATCACTATTGTATGACACTCTTCCTTTGAACCAACATGTATTTAGAACTCTAGGTATAATCCTCATGACATGTTTGAATCAAAAGCTATTTGAATCTCAAAAAGTATGATGTAAATGACAAAATTAAAACATCTCCACGTGAAAGCCCACTTCTGTTTTTCCAGATGGTAGAAGACCTGATTCGCCAAACTCCAACCTACACTCACATGGAGAAGGAGTGGGAGGATATCAAACAGTACGTACACCATTGATTCCTGAACACCCGTGAAGATCTGGGTTAGAATTGGTCTTCAGAGTAACCCTTGCTTGTCGTTAGAGGCGACCAATGGAATCAGGTGGTCAGACTCCATGACTTGGTTGATGCATGTCATCGTATCCCAACTGTGTAGATCAATGCTCATACTGTTTATCACTGGATTTTCTAGTCTTGACTCGATTATTCACAGACCACCACCACAAAGCTGGAATATTGCTGAGCGTGGGGTTAAATAACAAATGAAACAAACAATCAAACATCAAAACAAACTAAGGATATAACAGCACCAGTGATGATACACGTTGTGTTGTGATACTTTGTTAAACTTGTGAGAGATACCATGTAACTATTTCCATGAAACATGGACGTATAATCACTCCTGAGGAGATTCCAGATCAGAAAACTATCATCTTGACAAACATATTTCAACATTCATGCTGTCAACCAATGATTTGACTGGTGAGTGAGTGAGTTTAGTTTTGCGTTGCTTTTAACAATATTCCAGCAATATCAAAGCGGGGGACATCAGAAATAGGCTTTACACATTGTACCCATGTGGGGATTCGAACCCAGGTCTTTAACCACTAGGCTACCCCAATGCCCCAGTTATTTATTTGACCGCCTCCATGGTGTTGTGGTTATAGCGCCGCCCGGAGAGCGGAAGGTCGCGGGTTCGAACCCCGACCGCGTCATACCAAAAGATGTTAAAATATGGTACTTGTTGGTTCCTGCCTGGCTCTCGGCATTAATGGGTACAACAAGGACTGGTCGGCTCGGAGTCAGTATAATGTGTCTGAGTGGGGTATTCATGCTTCACTGCGGCATGGTATCTCAGTGGGCTAGCACTATAAAACCAGCTTAAGTCTGGGCTAGTACAAGCAGCCACACATACACATACACACGCATGCACATCGTCATATGAGCGAAATATTCTCAAGCATGACGTAAAACCCAATTTCACCTCACCTCAGTTATTCATTTATTTATATTTATTTACATGCTGCCATGCTGTAGATGTAATATTGCTGATTCAATGTAAAGACATATTAGTCATTGCACATAGCTTTGAAGATATTCATTCATGCAAATAGGTTTTTATGGGCAATATTAATGATTTTACCTTTTGCAGGAACTGTGCTGATGATGCGGTGTCCTGCTTGTTGAGTGCACACAGTCTCTGTGGGAACATCCCCCGTCTTCGGGCAAGGGTATGTTCACTTAGACATCATTTGTAATCAACATTGCATCTTGACGCTATAGTTGAATGTGTGTAGTCAGAAAAAGGTTCTGATGAATTGACAGGAGATTGCATGTGAATGTTTCCTAGGCTGTGAAACTGAAATGACCCCAGCTGAGTCTCAACTGTGTGATGTAGATGTGTTGGAAACAGGAGTCTAAACCGGCACTCATCGGGACTGAAGAAATAATACGGTTTAGACAGTATGCTGGATCATAGAATTAAGACGGTTACCTACAACTACGTTCTCTCCATTACTGCACACATTGACAATAAAACATGTCAACTCAGTAGTTACATGTACAAGTATGAATCCAGGACAAAATCCATCCGGACAAAATTCACTTCAAAAGTGCAACCCAGGACAAAATCCACCCCGGACAAAAATCCACCCCTAATAAATTCCACCCTAAGAAAAAAACAACTAATGACATGTTTAGTCACAGAAATGAATTTTTTTCATATCAGTCATTCATAATCGATAACAAAAACAACCAAAATACATATGTAAGCACATTTTTGCATATATATAAATATGACAATTGCACATTTTCACATTTCACATTTATGAATCATTCATGCATCAATACATATATAAATATGACAACAGCATATATTTTCACACATTCAGACATATCTATGACTAAACATCTTGCCACATTTCAACAACGCAAACAACGGCCGACGCCGTGGAGAAAGTCCTCGAGTGTCCGTGTGGATTTTGTCCGTGTGGATTTTGTCCGGTCACCTACAAGTATACCCATACTGAACCAACAACCATGTAGTTTCAACGCAGGATTAATTGGTGACAATACACATCCGGCCGACTCTTTGCCACATGCCGGATTAGACAGCGCTGATTACTGTATAAACACTTATCTGGGCGGCTCATTTCATGCCAAGTCCGGAATTGACAGTTGCCAGATTGCAGAGTTTTTAAATGATGATAAATGGACTTGCCACGGATGGGACTGAGATTTTATGTTGACAACTTGATGAATTGGACAGCTCCTAGTTTTAACAGCTTCCACTGTATATAGAAGGGGTCTCATTTTACTTGCAACGAATCAATTTAAGTGGAGTTATTTTGTGTGATGTGCTTAAATTACTGTGGTATGCATCATGTTTCATCAGATACTGAATACTCTGGGAAAGTGTCTGTGTGTCTAGTGTGGAATTTTTTAAGAAACAGTTGATTTATGAATTTCAGTTTCATAATTATTTCAATTTGTTGCTGAAAGTGAAAGTTGCAATCCATAAACCCCCTTGCACTGATACTAGTTTCTAAAAACCACTTGGATGTACAGATTGCTATTTATGATGTTATGTTGGTGTAACGAGGTATGTGTCTGTGTTTCAGGCACTGTGTATTCTAGGCAAGTGTCTGCGTATCCAGTCACAACATGCCGGGCCAGACCCCCCTCCACACTGGCTGGTTCAGGAGATGGTGAGTACTGGGCCTGCATTTGATAATATGACTTGTGCAAAGTAACAGGGAAGCCAAAATGTTTTTAAATTCCCTTGTTACACACGAAGGACCTGGGATTTATTCACAACACACGTAGAATACAAGAAGTCTACTCCTTGTGTCCCCCAATGTCATATTTCTGTACTAGATTATGACAGGGTGGTCAATCCATCGTAGATGCATAGCGTATGCCTATTATATTATGTTTACTGTCTGCTTCAGGACCTGCTGAAGCTGCCCACCGAGGGTGGTGATGATGGGCATGAGGAGGAGGATGGGAAAGATGGGCCTGAGCTGCAAGACCGACATCATCACAAGTGTGCCATACTGATCAAGAAGATGAAGGTAACATTGTCTTTTCTAGGACCCCATTGCCTACTTGGCTTGTCATTAATTCATTTGGTTAAAGTTACACAGAATTTTGGAAGTAGTGGAAAGTTGTTGATACTTAACATATGGAAGATCTTGCTTTGTTTGGGGCTTCCTTATCAAGTGTTTGTGTGTATTTCAGAGCCAGCATGCTGTGTCCAAGTACTATCTGACCCAGGCCACCGAATGTCTCACACAGTGTCTCAATCTGTGTCTCACCAACAAATACACGGTATGTAATAGACGCTCCATAGACATGTAACTAATGCTCTAAAAATGAATGAATTTGGTTGGTGCATCAAGTTGTGTGTTAGGGCAGTTTTCCCTGGGTAAGAGATTTCCATCTGGATTATGTTCAATTCAACAGCAGAGATTGCATTATATGACATGTAGGATAAGTTAGTAAATATCCAATATATTAGATGTTAATAATATCTTCTTTCCCATGAATATCACATGAAAGCAGAACAGTGTGTCAGCTTTAAATGTCATGTAGCATATGATACTTTGAATAGAAAGTTTCCTGGACCAGTTTGAAAAACTGTGTAGTTATCTTTGCATCAAAATTGAAAGGTGTAATTCCTTTGAATACCTTATAATTACCTCTGTTACATCTTTGCCCATATCTCTGATTGGATAGCGTCTTCTATTATTCCCACCTTTTTTAACGTGCAACTATATTATCCAATCAGAGACTCGCTCTACTATTCGGTGCGGGTCTGCAGCCTGCGATTTGTTTACTTCCGGGCATATGTCCTGACTTCGTGCGAGAATGGACGGCAAAATTATTGAAAGCTTTAAATGAGAATAAAATCACCAGGTTAGTGATACGCAAGGTACTTTACAGAGGTCAACTGAGCATAAATTGTGCAGTTTATTCAACGGTCAAAGCGATGGAAGCGTTTGTCAGACCGAAACCCAGCCGAGCCGAGCCGGGCCGCCATTTTGTTTTTCGATTTACTGACACACCTTTCTTATATCTTATATATATATGTCATTGCTATAAATTCGAGTTTGGGCTGTCATCACACTTAAAACTTATCAACTGATGTTCTTCACTGTTAAAATGTGATTTGTGTATGTTTATTATAGCCAATGTCACAAATCCGTTTCTTAAAGGTGACAGTACTATGGTACGAGTAGCACTGCCCTGGATAGTCAGTCACCCCTGTTTGTTACATACACTGTACACATACATATCATGTTCTAGGACCTAGCAGGTGTGGTCTCCCTGGAACTAGTGGACTGCTGTGGTCAGTTTGATGCAGCTGCAGCCAGCAACTTCCTGGCTCTTCATCAGGTGAGTGGATGTTTGGAAGTTTCAGTGGACTGACTGATAGAATCAGTCATGACTAAGAGTTATGGGTTTAGTTTTACACCAGTTTAAGCAATATTCCAGCAATATCCTGACAGCATTGGACATTGTTCATAACATCGACCACTGTTTTGACTGCTTGCTACCCAAACAGCATTGCACATTGCTCTTAATATAGACCACTGTCTTGACTGCTTCATAGACTGACAGCGTTAAACATTGTTCATAACATCGACCACTGTTTTGACTGCTTCATACCCTAACAACATTAAACATTGTTCATAACATCGACCACTGTTTTGACTGCTTCATACCCTGACAGCATTAAACATTGTTCATAACATCAACCACTGTTTTGACTGCTTCATACCCTAACAGCATTAAACATTGCTCTTTGTATCAACCACTGTTTCGACTGTTTCATACCCTGACAGCATTAAACATTGCTCGTAATATCAACCACTGTTTTGACTGCTTCATACCCTGACAGCATTGGACATTGTTCATTATATTGACCACTGCATTAACTACTTCATGCCCTGACAGCATTAAACATTGCTCATAATATCGACCACTGTTTTGACTGCTTCATACCCTTACAGCATTGGACATTGCTCATAGTATCGACCACTGTTTTGTTTACTTGCAGGGAAAACTGCCATTGGTGGTTGTTTACATTTAGTCATATGTCAGTCGTCATATTCAAAACCATTCGGCTTGTTTTGCAGAGCTGTTCTGCCTCCCAGAACATGCAGAGCATTCTGGATCACTCCCAGCTTGACCCTGTGACGTCCCGTCTGGCAGCTCTTCTCCACCAGAGAGAGAACCTGCTGTCTTCAGACATCAAGACAAACCTGGCTAACAGCCCGCTCATGGAATCACTGGAGGCGTCACTGGAACAAGATTGGCAGGTTAGCGCAATGTACAGGCCAGGCAAACTATAGAAATAACATGACCATTTTGTGCCCCTTCATGAAAGAAATGAGTAGTCTTTATCTGTAGGTTTTACAACTACACTGAATACAAGGCAATCAAATGTACAATAATAGGATGTCCTGCCTAGATCTTAGTTTAGCTGCTGCTGCTGCTGATGATGATGATGATGATGATGATGATGATGATGATGATGATTTGGAGATTTTACATGCACTTTCCAAAACAGTCTCCCTTATATTGTTATACCTATTTGTCAAGAAACTGCCACATCTAAAAACATCTTGAACAATGAAGATGTCATGTCATTTCAACAAGGGCAGATAAGTCTAATTTCCACTAACAGCCACCAACTGCAGTAGACATTTTACTGGCTCTTCTTTCATTTGGTGACATTGATAATCACTACAAATACTTTTACAGCAATAAAACATACTTTTATTGCCACATAACAATATTTTCATCAGAGTTACATGTAATGATGTTTATCCACTTATGGTTTCTTTGTTTTGAACAGGCCTGGAAGAGGATTGAGGTTCTTCCCAACCACTTAGAGCTGCTTAAGGAATTCCCTCCCAACTTCAGTTTTGTTGTTTTACAGCATTCTCCTGATAAGTAAGTCATTGTGTAATGCCACAAAATGGTGAAATGCCATCACCACAGAAGCATTGCATATTGTTACCTTTGTCTACAGATAAAATTTATATGCAGTTTCAAAAGTCTGGATATTGCAATTGAACCCAGATATTCTGTATGATACTGTATCCATGAGACCATCCAGATTTCCAAATTCACCAATCATGGAATAATGTACTCTCCTTTCATGGTACTATGTTATCATTACCAAGATCAGAACTTATGTGGCATTACACTATTTTACTAACTTAATGAAGGTTGTTGAAATAGTGGAAACCACTTTCTACATGTTTTGGGATCTTCCAAAATGAGTTATACTTTCTATTGTTTTCAGAACCTTCCTGTATGGTGCACTGCTTGACAAACTAAACAAGCCTGTAGCAGCAGGAGGCAAACCCAACCCTAAACAGATGGCAGGTAGGTGTACCCCTAGAGATGGCCAACCTTTGGGGTGGAGATTCTTGTGTTCTTCACAAGTACCAGTGAAATTGAAACCATGTTAACCTTACCCCCATAGATTATTTCAGATAAAGATTCACATGGAAAAAGGTTAAACACCACATGATATTCTCGAGCTAATAAAATATGATCTGGTACAGGATTTCTGTGTCTTCAAAGTTTCATGTTCATATAGACATAGAAAATCCAGAATCTGTTATCAAATGCTATGTTTTCTGACTTTTTGATTGAAAAAGTTATTTGACTATCCTTAAATTTTATGCACTTCTTTTCTTAACATTAATGACCCAGTGCTTGAAACACACTGTAGTAAATGTTCAACTGGTTGCAGCGTTGTCTTTCACATGTATTAAAACATGCCAATTAATGCCATGTATCCGAGGAGGTATAACAATGAGGAGGGTATGGTGCTTGTTATCAAATACATTTATGTAAATGTTTGGTACAATGCACAGCCCATTGTATCAGTCTAATGTCAGTAATCTGCTTGTCAAGAACAATAGATAATGGGATAGATTTTGTATGATCATTTGGATTTCAGGCTAATAAGGTTTCACTGGATCTGTTTAATGATGTGATTACAGTGTATAATGGCTGAAAAGATCTAGTGGAATGTTAAAATGCTTTTATGGCAGAGCCTTTCATATCATTTGCACAGCTAATAGTTTGAAGACATAAGCACTAGGTGTTGGAGTAATCACACTTATAGAGTTGACACTGATGCTGTGATGTAACTGGAATACTGACTGAAACAGTGTTAAATCCACCTCACTCACTCCCCCTATAACAAAATTGTCCCCCTTGTTTTCGGTGAGATAATGTTTTTGGTTGAATACTTGTTGTTTATATTTTTATTCTTTTGAATCTTTTTGTTCAGATCACATCATATCTTTGTTAAAGGATTATTTTTTCTGGATATTGAGACACTTTTCAAGATTGTGGAGTGTTCAAAATACACTTAAATTTTAATTTGTTTCTGTTCATGTACATGTGAATCAGTTTAAGAATGAATTGGTTTTGTTTTAATACAAAGTGTGTACTTCAGCTTCAGCATTCATGGCTGATGACTTGTTGCCTTGGTTACAATAATGTAATAAATGTGCTCAGTTGGTTTAGCATCTGTAATATTGTTGAGATTCTTGAGAGGCATTTAGAAGTTGATGAATATATAAGATGAGTATATTGATGACAACTTCTTCTTTTTGTATAACACAACATTTCTGGGCTACTTCTTGTCCCTTCTTCAGGTGATTCTGTAGCCCAGAAACGTCGTGTTATACCATAAAGAAGAAGTTGTCATCCATATACTCGTCTTATATGTAATATTGTTGCCTTAAGCTGAAATTCAAAAGAAGATATAGAGCAGCGTTTAGATTATCTAGCAGTTTGGTTTAAAGAGATTCTGCAGTTGTTACGTTTGCATAATACTTAACTTGCTAACAAAGAATAAACAAAGACACTCCAGATGTCTGCACATTATGCTGTGATAGGTTACTTCCCTTTTGTGTCCAGGATCCTAAGATCATAGGATAGAATCCCCTTTGCTCCAAGTATTGGTTTGCCAGCACTGTACCCATGTTTGTGGGTCTCACCAAAGTGATAAACACTAATGACCCGCATCACTTAAGACTCCCTCACTGCCCTGCATGTAGTTATGTCATTACAACACCGTTGAACGCAATAATAAACCCTCGTCACTGACTCTCATTGCAATGTTTGATGTGTGATGCACCACTACCTCTCTTCAGCTGCCAGGGCTGCTGCTGCTGCAGGTACATAGATGTAGTAGATATATAACATGCATGACCAGCGACATATTGACCTTGTTTAGAAGGGATGCTATCAAACATCAGACAGTCTCTTTCAATGTTAAATGTTTCATTGTGTCGTAATTGCAGTAACAAGAAGTGATTCTATGGTGACCAGAATTATAAACTACCTAACTAGTAACTACCTCCCTTATCAAAATTAATTTTAACGCTTTAACACTTTTTTAGCTAAGTATTTAATGTTCAGCAATATGTTCTCTATTAGAGAACTTTATGAACAGTTGATCTGGTACTGGTAGTTTGAGAAAATATGTATGGTTTTATGTTGTTTGGATGTTATTTAGTATTGAAAATGACTGTTTGGTGTTGATAACAGTTCTTCAATTTCCCCAGCCTGTGTCCATGTACTGGAACAGATATTTCATCTTATGACAAAATTGCTATGGCTGCGCTACCAGAATTCATCAATACATATATATGGCTACATGTGTTATTGATTTTCTGTTCTATTCTAGGACAGTATGATGACAGTGATGTGATAAATGGTATTTATTGACTATAAGTGCATGCACAAAGGAAATCTGTAAAATGCACAGATGTGTGCATGCATCATGCACATGCGTATAGGGAGATTCATGCAGTTAACTCTATGATTTACAGTACCAGCCATGATTACTGTCACTGGTGTTCACATTGCATGGAGACAGATATAGCACTATTCTAATACACTGTAGTTGTATGTTGATGGTAGTATTTTATTTATCTCCTTGGCTTTAGGCTGAGGAGAGCTCATGGCATGGCTAAATTGTCTCTTATCCATTGTAATTGTCAGCTGTTGTCTATAAACATCTTCTCTTCATCTTCTACTGGATTGATGAATTTTAAACTTGGCATGCATGTTCCTGACAGTCCTCAGGGTGACTGGATATATTCTGTAACTTTCACCACTTGTCAGAAGACTGGACTTTGGAGTTATTTTAATAAACTTTTATGAGATATGCCAGTGAGGTTCGTTTTTGGACTGTATCAATACTTTGCCAGCACCCCTAGCTGTTATACAGTTTATCAGTTTCTCAGGTCTATATTACTTAAAATACAAGTATACTATAAAGGCCAGTAACTGAATGATATTCAAATTTTCACTTCCTAATTTGAAAATATAGAAATTAAAGTGGTAAACATGGTAGACCATGCTTTACCCCCACATCATACTGACATGCCGTGATGTAACTGAAATACTGTTCAAGGTAGTGCTTCACTAGATCCTCTATATGGGCAGTGGGGAACCCAGTAGCACCTGTGCTTAAAGGGTTCACTCATCATGCTGAAGGGGGCGGTGCGGTAGCCTAGTGGTTAAAGCGTTGGCTCGTCACGCAGAAGACCCGGGTTCGATTCCCTACATGGGCACAATGTGTGAAGCTCATTTCTGGTGTACCCCGCCGTGATATTGCTGGAATATTGCTAAAAGCGGCGTAAAACCATACTCACTCACTCACTCATGCTGAAGACATGGGTTCAATTCCTCACATGGGTACAATGTGTTAAGCCCATTTCTGGTGTCTCCTGCTGTGATATTGCTGGAATATTGCTAAAAGCATCATTAAACTAAACTCACTCACTCACTCACTCACTCACCCCTTAAGATATATTGAAGAAAGGTGAGCTTCAGTCCGCTGGTACTGTTGATTTCTTTTGATTACTTTATCTTGTAGTTCTTTTTTGCATGTGGCTGTTTTTGTCATGTAGTTCCTTTCATCATTATTTTGTTGTTATTAGCTCAGATAGTTAGAGCTAAATTAAGAGTAGGAAGAATTAGTCCTGAATCAATATGAAATGGAGATGATATACAACCCCGCTGTTTCGTTTGTGTCACAAGAAAATGCATAAAGTTCATATGCCAGCCACTCCCTTTAGATTTACTAACATTAATATCGATTTAACATTCATCAGTCAGTTCTTTCTCATTATCAGTCAGCTTTTCCAAAGGACAGATTAGAACAAAGATTTATAATGCTTCTATTTCTTGTCAAATGTTTTCCTCGGTCTTCCAGAAATAAGACAATAGTTATAGGTTTGCCATTTTGTAATGATGGCAATGATCATTGATAAACATCAAGTTTTCTGTTTCTCTGCGGTATATGTCAATCTTTGCTCCTATGTATCGCTTCTATTATCGATTTTTCATTCTCCCTTTAGGCATTGAAGTTTTTTAAACTTTAAAGTCATTGTTTATACCCTTAGTGATTGGCTGTTGATGTTCTGGGGTTGGGGGTGTGCCCTAAGACTGTATGTGAAAGTTGGATACAGTTGCAAAACCAGATTTTTCTTTTCTTAATTATGACTCAAAATGATTTTTAGAAAACTCATGAAACACTGTATTTGTTTGTGGTGGATAATTGATAATTAATTTTGTTTATATTAGTCTAAAGCTTAATTCCTGTCTAGCAGTTTTTGGGATGGTTTCTTTTTATAATATGCCACTCCATCCTGATTATCTAATGGTTGGTCCCATAGTGAGAGTATGTAGCAATAATATTTTGCCCTGCCCTCAGCACCAAGTCGTGCCCGTGTGTTTGGTGTGGACACAAGTCCACGTCAGCTGGAAGAACTGATAAACAAGTTCCGTCTACACAAGCAGAACTTCCAGCAGATGTTGCTAAAGCAGGAGTACCAGCGCACTCAGGCAGCGCTCCGCACTCGCATGTTGGAGAACCTGGAGGATGGCATGAAACAGCAGGAGGCTCGGGTAAGGGAGATAACTCTTCATGGTCTATTGTCCAGTGAAGTGGCACTCTGCAAAACAATCCCAGATATGTGAATGATCAGTAGCAGTTATAAAGTCATGGAGGGTAGCTGAGGATACTTTAATCTTGGTACCATATTTCCTCAAATAGGCGCCAGATATCTAATAAGTGCTGGGAGTAAAGCAGCAGTTTAAGAAATAAATGCCGGGTCTGTAATAAGCACTGGGTCTGTAATAAGCACTGGGTATGTTTTTATTAATGTATTCTCCCTTGATCCAAAAATAGATTTGTTAAGGAACGGACCTTTAGTCACAACTTCCTGTCCTCCACATGGTTGATGAATAATATGTAATCGTCGAAGCTGCAATCAGGAGGTTTCATGTATATAAATATGCATGGGACCCAGTAAGCGCAATAAGTGCTGGGTCTCCAATAAGCGCCAGGCCTCTAATAAGCTCTGGGTATGAAAGTATGGGGCGGTTATTAGAGGAAATATGTTATATTGTATTTCATAATGGAGTAGGCTTATATGAGAATAACCCCTTACTTTAAGTAATAACATAATATTAACCATTGTTTAGTGTTAAGCTAATGATTATTGTTTTGTTGGTCAATGGTTTGTTACAAACAATCAATCAAACATCAAAAACAGTTGCTGGTTTTCTGTATTTTCCAGAAATTGTATTTTAAAGAACCTGTTAATACCATGATGAGGAATTGATAGAATCTTATTCCTTAATGGAATAATCAATTGGTGGCAAATGATGATGAATGCCTTTATGTGTGATGATTTAAACACCAACGGAATTCATTGACAATTTGTATTTGAAATTTGGTAGCAAGTTCCCACCTCAATTGATTATGGACACTTACCATTGACTATCTGGTCATGGTAACTGATCAATCATTGAATTTTGTTGATCTTAACATCAATATTCATCAGTGTTTGCAATTTTATTTTAAGTACTGTTTTATTCTATTCCAATTTTGCAACTGGTAAGAAGTTCAGTCTGATTAATGATAATTGTAAAGATGGACAATTTACTTGCTGAAGTTGCACAATGATCATACTTCTATTTAGTACTATGTATGTTATGTATTCAGTATGGATCCTACAGTCAGGACTTGTTACATAATCTTTTGAAAAAGTTCAAATTGTATGAATGATGATGATAATGGTGATGATGATGATGATGATAATGATGATGATGGAGACAATGCTGCCCTCGATGATGATGGTAGTGGTGGTGGTGGTGATGATGATGTAGAACATGTTGCAGCCCCAGACAGAGGGAGAGTCTGAGAGGGAACAGGAGAGACTTCAGGATGAGTTCCGAGGTCTGGTTGCCGCCATGAATGAGTACCTGAAGCCCATCATGGCCCCCATTGACACAGCACTCAGGTCAGATATAGGCTCCCTGCAGCTGTCCAGGTTCTCACTTCAGGAGACAGAGACCTACATGACTCACAATCTGTGCGATTTCATTGTCCACATTTCCAGAAACTACCAGTATACTGGCACAAATATACAGAACCGTTTTATTTCTTGAATTGTGGATTGGATCTTATAGTTTTGCAAAATTGGGGTTTAGTGAAAAGCAGCAACAATCTAGCTGTGTTTCAGTGGTCTGTAAATTATTGCCGGTTAGTATTACTGAATTGGTTTGGTCAAGGACAAATCAGTGAATGATTAGCAAACAGAAAGAAATCCTTTTCTTGTGGCAAGATGGGGACTTATTCTACCTCAGTATCACCACAGGGATATGTGATACTCACTTAGGAACAGATAAATTGTTCTGATGAATGCTATAGTATATGTACCCTCATTGCAGGTCCCCTCAAAGTCCGCAGAGTGGGGTCAATCTGACCAAGGACCCCAAGGTGGAGGTACCACCCAGCCAGGAGTGTGTCATTATACTGGCTGACCCCAACCTCCTGGAGATGCCACTGGAAGCTCTGGACTGTCTGAAGGCTGATGACATCTACTGTCTGTCAAGAGACTTCTCTCTGCAAGTGTTCTATCACAGATTTCATCAGGAACAGCCAGTAGGTAGGTGGAGAGATTTGTCCTGTGGAATTCTTTCCATTTGCCTGCTTCGTTTGAAATAAGGTAAGAATGGTTGTGGCAGCCAATAGGTTGGTGAGGCGGTTCGCTCTTGTGGAACCACCTCCATTTGCTGCCTGGCTTGAGGCTGGTTGACAGAGATCAACAAAAGATTGGTATCTTGCAATGGGAAGTTGGAGGTATTATGTGTTGTGGAACTGTCTACATTGCCTGCCTGGTTTAAGGCTGGTAGACAGAGATTTACATGAGAATCAAAGCAGGTAGTAGGTATGTAGAGAGATTCTCTTTTGTGGAACTGTCTACTTTGCCTCGTTTGAGGGTGGTTGACAGAGATCAACAAAAGATTGGTAGCAACCAATAGGAAGGTGGAGAGGTTCTGTTTTGAAGAACTGTTTCTGTTTGCTGTCTTGTTTAAGGCTGGCTGACAGAGATCAACATGAGAATGGATGTAATGGTCTCTGTGCCCTTTGTTTCAGTTGAAGAATCAGCAGCAGACAAGAAGAAAAAGAAAGTGGATACATCTCCCGTTGTGTCTCGAATCCCCGGAGCCAGGGAGGCGAAACAGAAACAAGCGAAAATTGTAAGTTTCTTCATTTAAAGAATGATCTCCAAACTTCAATTTGAAATGTGAATCCCAAGTACAGCAATTCAAAAATACATACTTTTACATAAAAAATGAACCATCACATACTGTTTTCCTATTATGACATATGTCTGTCACTGGTTTAAGTAAAAGATTACAATTATGATGTGTTGGTTGTGATTGTCGAAAGTGCATTTGTTACTTTAAACTTTCATATTTATATGACCTCAATTTTAAATTTGACATCTGACTTGAAACAGATCCCTCTGGACAGGAAAATGGAACCATGGCAACAGCCAGTGGACACGATGAACTTCAAATGTATCCTTACCATTGTTAAGTCTATACTGTACACATATCAACAAGAAGTGTTTCAGTCAGCTGTTGAAGCAGTTATAAAACAGAGATGGAAATTGGCAGTAGTCCTATCGTCCTTGCCAAACTGCCCAGTGGTAAAGGACTTTTATGAATGGTTCAGTTCATATTATCATTATAGGGACTTTTTGACTTAAAACTCTTTCCGTCACTGATGACATTTATATTTCAAGGAGTTCCTCCTGTTAAACATCACTTCCCTAACAACGCCCACTAATTCATGTTTTTTTTTAGGTTGTGTCTAAATAATCTTTGCAAAAGTCTTAGTCATATCTTGTTGCCTTGTGGATATGAGGCTTTGTTATTCCCCACCATTGCGTTTAACGCGAAGCAGGGGATATAGTATTAGGCTCCAACCATCCGTCCGTCTGTTCATAGTCCATACGTATGTACGAAGTTTAATATCTTAAGAACCGTTGACTAGATTCTTTTTATATGTGGTACCTAGGTTCATCACAGTATGCGAATGGTCCCAGTTAGGTTTGGTGACCTTGACCTTCATTTCAAGGTCACAAGGGGACTTTAACGTTTTACCCTTGTCAGCGAAATATCTCAGGAACCGTTCACTGTATTCTCTTCATATTGTACACCAAGCTTCATCTTGGGAAGATGCAGGACCCAGTCGATTTTGGTGACCTTCACATAATTTTCAAGGTCACAGGGACACTGTGAAGATGTCAGCATGTTAACCTTCATGTTAAGATTGTCAGTGAGATATCTCACAAACGATTTGCTGTATTTTCTTCATATTTCACACAAAGCATCATGTTGGAAAGGTGCAGGTTGACTGCTCATTCTTTTGTTAACATTTAACTTCATCTCAAACTACAACCTTCACTTTCATTAGTTTTGAAGTTTGATTTGATAATTTGCGAGGGGGGATTATGTCACCTTAGTGACAATGCTTTTTATGGGTTGTTTTTGTTTAACTTTGGTCAAACACCATTGTGTTAAAATTGAAGGGAACTAAGTGTATTATTCAAGTTTTCTGAGGTTCAATGACAATCAATGAATTAAGAATAAGTTCACAATGACCAAGCTGCTGCTTCAAAACAACCGTATGTTCGACGCATATTTTGACACAACAAGTTTTGATTCTGTAATCAATGTACAATCAAATACACCAGATGAAGAAAATCGTGAATAGATGAAAATAGGGACCATATCTGTTTCAACTGAACATCAAAATCATCAAGAAACATATATTTTATGACACCATGCACATCTTTAACGTTGCCTTAACCTGCATTCAGACATCGTAGATCCTCAGGTGGACTGTCCAGAGACAGGTAGGTGATGTCAATAGTCACAAGTTTGTTTTGACAGGTACTTTAGTCTGGAACAGGTTTAGTAGACTAAACTCTGACATTTATCTCAATCTTTACTTGACTGCAAAGTGTTAAGTGTTGTAGTACCTTGACACATTTTGACAGAGCTGATGATTAGATAAAACGGGACATTGTTGATTACCCGGTAATATGTTCTTAAGTCTGAGTTTTGACCCAAGTTAGAGTTTTTACTCAAATTTGAGTAAAAGCAGGAAAATGCTTTACCAGAATGAACTGAAATCGATATTAAACTCAAACTTAGTAGACAATTTGAGTTTGGTGTAAAGATTACTCAAGTTGTTTGGGTTCTTTTGTTTTAAAAATGCAGCTGTTTCAAATTGTCAAACTCAGTTTGAAATTTGAGTAAAAACTTAAGTTTGTTTCGACAAATCGGGGACAGATTAGTCAGGTAGTATATTCAGTAAGTCAGTCAGTAACGGAGGCTCCAGTGTTGCCCGGTGGTTACAGATCTTTGAGCTCACTATACAGAGTTATGTCCCTTAGCTACCTGAATCGATGTGTGTTTGGTTCAAATCCTGAACCCAGGGAACCCAGTTAACAGTTTCTACCAAGCACTGTTATGGTTGCCATAACAGGCAACTAATTTTAATAAGGTGGTCAGCTTAGTGACCTATAGTCGATATGTGTCATCCAACCTTGGTCAAGTCTGGCCCTTATGATGACTTTCAGTCTGTCCACAATACCATGGTCTTGTTTACGACAAAGGTCAAGGTCTTTGTCCTCCATTTTGTTGGGGCTTTAGCTATATGGCTAGCATATTGCTGATTGGATATAAATAGTCTCACTTATTTTGGAGGATTTTTCAACAGCCTACATAGTATGACTATATCAAATCCTGTGTAGAGGGAATATGATACTTATCATGAATATTGGGTTACGAATGCAAATATTGTGTAATAAATACAATAACAGTAGACAGTTAATGTATTATTCATATATAGTGTTCGATTTACCGAATAACTGAATGAATCATAACAGCCCTACTACATAGGGTTGTGGGTTGTTTGTCTGTCTGGAAAGGGGAAGCTTGGTTGGTCGATCATGGCTGCATCTTATCAAAAGACTTAATGAGATGGTATTTGTTCTTATATCTCCAGTTACGCTTCAGTGTTAAAGGGACAAAACAAGAACTAGTCAGCTCAGAGTTACGACACTGTCTGAGTGGGTATCGATGTTAGACTGATGCATGTACCCTCAATGGGATTGCTGTAAGCAGAAACACACATATGCATGCATGCATGCACTGTATGGTTGCTTGGTTGTTTAATGCCGCACTCAGCAATATTCCAGCTATAGGGCGGCAGTCTTTAAATAATCGAATCTGGACCAGATAATCCAGTGATTAACAGCATGAGCATCGATCTACTAAATTGGGATACGATGACATGTGTCAACCAAGTCAGCGAGCCTGACTATCCGATCCTGGTCATCACCTCTTAAGACAAGCATGGGTTGCTGAAGACCAATTCTAACCCGGATCTTCAAGGGTCAAACATCGTATGTGTAAAATATCCTTGCAACATTAAACCTCATTCACCTTCTTTTTGAAGGGTTCAAATAACACAAATCTGATGTCTGAGACATGTAAAATACAGGAAGGGCCAGTGACAATTCCTTGTGTACCACTAATCTTACTATTAGGTAGTTGTCAACTTTGTAGCATATCATGTTCTAACACATTTACAATAAATTAATTTCTAATGCTTCCTTGAGCTTACTATGCTGATCTCTTGTATAAAAACAGTTCAAAGTGGTATGATATGACACAATCACTCATTGTAAATATAGATGCTCAGTGATCTTCGTTATATTTTATATCCACCTGTATTAACATCGACCCTTCATTAAGATACATGTAGATCCCAAGTTCACTGCCCAAGATACCATGAACATTGCTGATAGACTTAGTGACTAGCTTTAATTGATTATATTGATTTTTAAATGTTGTTTCCTAAACACACTTATGAAACAGACATTAGTAAATTTATGACTTAGTTGATGGTGATTCAGGATGGCAAGACAAAGATGGTTGCAGATCATAACAGCAGCCAGTTGTCTAATAAAACGGAAGCATCTGCCAGTGATAGACATAGGTTTTTGGGGTTCTTCCTGTGGTGTTTTATGTCAGAGGATTTAACGATCAGTGCTGATGTTCCTTTTATGGTTCATTTTGTTTCTATGACATCATTGGCTTCTTTGTCATTAACTTGGGCTTCTTTTGAAAATCTGGAGCGCAGCCATTATAAGGCCAGTTAAGCCTTTTTACGTCATCATTAACATTTAGGAATTACTTTTATGTTTCATGGTTATTACAGTAAGCACATTCTTTAATAAAGAATGTCATGAAGTTACTTGCTTTCATCACAAATTGTTTTAAGAGTCATATTCAAAATGATTATTTTCATAATTTTCGAGATATTTTGAAGTGTTTGAAGTGTCATTATATCCAAATCACACTCACTCACTCTCTCTTGTTAAATCCCATGGAAGTTGGCTGGCTGGGATCTCATCATGTCACCTGACCACTGACTATTCTCATTTCAAGTTACCGGTACATGTTTCCTGACAACTGACTATTCTCATTTCAAGTTGTTTTCTGACAACTGACTATTCTCATTTGAAGTTACATGTTTCCTGACAACTGACTATTCTCATTTCAAGTTACATGTTTCTTGACAACTGACTATTCTCATTTCAAGTTACATGTTTCTCAACAACGGACTATTCACATTTCAAGTTACATTTTTCCTGACAGCTGACTATTCTCATTTCAAGTTACATGTTTCCTGACAACTGACTATTCTCATTTCAAGTTACAATTGTTTCTCGACAACTGACTATTCTCATTTCAAGTTACATGTTTCTTGACAACTGACTATTCTCATTTCAAGTTACATGTTTCTCAACAACTGACTATTCTCATTTCAAGTTACATGTTTCTCGACAACTGACTATTCTCATTTCAAGTTACATGTTTCTCGACAACTGACTATTCTCATTTCAAGTTACATGTTTCCTGACAACTGACTATAGTTCACATTTCAAGCTACTTGTTTCTCAACAACTGACTATTCTTATTTCAAGTTACATGTTTCCTGACAACTGACTATTCTCATTTCAAGTTACGTGTTTCCTAACAGCTGACTATTTTCATTTCAAGTTACATGTTTCTCGACAACTGACTATTCTCATTTCAAGTTACATGTTTCCTGACAATTGACTATTTCAAATGACCAAACCAAGAATGTAGTTGCAGGCACTATATAGATCACACAAAATTGTTTCCATGTAATGACATCTTTTGTACCTTTTGAATTCATTAAGTCATAATGTCACACAATATAGTGTGGAAAATCAACCTGATTAAAGCAAGGGACTAATTATGGAAGAATATCTCAGGATGTCTTGGTTCTTTATCATATTTCGCATCTCAGACCAAATTTGATTGCACCATCAAAAGATTACTCCAGCAATCTCCTGCACATGATTCCTACTACTAACAAGATAGCTATTACACTCTTGTCACAGAATCACGCAGAGCAAAAGAGATTTTTCTTCTCATTACATAACTCGGGCAAACTAAATCTGTGATCAAACAGATAATCTGCGTATGGAGAAGAATTTTGATCGTGTTATTCAGTTGACTTGGCTAACAATACAACAATAAGACAGTCACGATGTAGAGTTGTGAGTAATGAGAAGGTTAATGGAGGGTAAAGAACATGATGGCTGGGGAGATGCTTGGTAACATTTGACATTAATTCACTCCAGGTATTCAGCATCCTCCTTTATCACTGGATCATGTTCTGATTAAAGAGGGTTGTTTAACCACATGAAACAAGACATGAGTGCAGTATGTACAGATTATATACATGCACATCATATATGTGGTAGTTAACAAATTTACAATGGTGTGCATACTTAGACTACCCAGGGATGAAGCATATTCTAAAGGAACACTTCATCTGGACAAGTAAGAGGCGACTAATGGGATCAGATGGTCAGGCTCGCTGACTTGGTTGACACATGTCATCATATCCAGTTGTGTAGATGGATGCTCATGCTGTTGATCACTGGATTGTCTAGTCCAGACTTGATTATTTACAGTTTGTCGCCATATAGCTGGAATATTGCTGAGTGTGGTGTTAAACAACAAACCAATCAACCAAACAATCATCTGAACCGATATTAGTACTAAGTTACATGTACACTGTATGTTCTTTGAATGGCATTTGCAAATGATGAACATGAGTCAAAGATTTTTTGGATAGCAATTTCTTATTTGTTCAACACTTTTAAGAGTTAATTCTTTCTCCTTCTTCGAATCTTCAACGACCTGACTTCCATCAATTACCTGGCTTCTCAGTAATCCATTTTCATTCTACTGAAGAAGGAGTAAGAAGTAACTCGAAACATTGTGTTTAACATGTAAAGAAAATTAATATCCCAAACTCTTTGGGAGATATGTACTGTAGTATACCATCGGTTGGGGTAAGGTGATGTATCATCGCAGGGTTAGGTTCTATTGACCAACCGTGTTGTGAATGAAGATTTATTGTGAATGTTATTGTGGGATTTTAAAGTATTTGAAACCTTAAGATGTGTGTCCTTTGAGACTAACCAGCTGACAGGTGACATTTATACAGTATTTTAGATGGTTACCTCTTGGTATTTAGGAGCTGTTAGGAAGAGTTAGTAAATACCCTGGTAATTAAGTGGTGTCAGCAATGTTATATTAGGATACTGACTGATTGACTGAGTTTGCTTTTACGCCGCTTTTAGCAATATTCCAGCAACATCACGGCGGGGGACACCAGAAATGGGCTTGACACATTGTACCCATGTAGGGATTCGAACCCGGGTCTTTGGCTATATTAGGATACTGTTTTAATACTTGGATTATGGGAATAAGGTTTGATTACATTGGTACGTAGACGCCTCAAATTAAGGCAAAGCGTACATGGCTTTTAGGCCAAACATGGCCATGGCTTTTAGATTATATGTTGTTTCAATTGAGATGATCATTGAATGTTTTGGGGTATGTGACAAAGTGTTCAAGGTGTAATATTTAGGTGATTTAGACCATGACTATGACATCTTATGTTATACTTTATATATCAATGTCTATTTAATAAATAACTATCATTAAACATTTTCTGTTGACATGGTTTTAAGCATTTTTACAAAACGTATATTCATATTTAATAACTATATCTTTCTTGATAATGATGGAAATAGCAGGACAGTACGATGAAACCTTGTTAGTGCAGACACTTTTTGTATGGAAATCTGTTCAAAATCTTGATATACATTGATATATATTCACTGTAGCATAATGCTCAAATATAGAAAATAATATATCCATATGGTTTCACTAGAAATTGTGCCATAAAAATTATGAATGTTTAAGTAAAGTTAACTACTGTGGGTTTTCTTCTTCTTGTAATGTAATATGGATATTTAATTTGACAGAGGAACACAAGCCAGTGGAACAGTTCAACAAAGTATTGGAGGAGTACGAACAGCAGTTTACACCGAGATGGCTTGGACTCACAGGAGAGGAACACACTCCCAGGTATGTACACCAGGACTTGGACCATCTGGCTGAAATCTGAGTTTAGATATATATTTCTTTCTGTCCAGTACACTCAGCTTGTAATAAACTCACGGTTAGCTTTAGGACTGACTTTTACCTCGCTTTTAGCAATATTCCAGCAATATCATGGTGGGGGACACCAAAAATGGGCTTCACACATTGTGCCCATGTGGGGAAGCGAACCCGGGTCTTCGGCGTGATGAGCCAACGCTTTAACCACTAGGCTACCCCACCGCCCGTTAGCTTTAGCAGCCATTGTGAGCAAGTTTGAGCTAGATTAGCTGGTTACACTGAAAGGCTTGGGTGCACATTGGGTAGTTATATCACTCTTCACACTTCAAGTGACTCAAAAGCTCTTGTGTTTATTTTGAAGATTAAGATTTCCTTGGATATTAATACTGTGCCATTTATATTTCAAGCGAGGTGCCCCGATTGTATTTAAAAGAAAATGTCTCATATCAAGATGTCCTTCTCCTCAGTAGCTGTTGTTTATTATGGTTTGATATTAAAATTAAGTCTTCAATACTTCAACCTATGCTTAGAGATGAAAAGAAGTGTAGCCAAGAATGCCTTTGAAGAACACCCATCAAAATCATCGCTGCATAGTATATTCTTCAATGAGTACAGTCTACAAAATTTCACGTAACGTCAGATCCCCTTCATAAGACACCCTCTGACAATGGCTCAATATTTATCAAAATGTCAATAAAAGATGCCCTTATCAGCATAAAAAGTATTCAGTAGGAGCTGTTGAGATAGATAAATATTCATTCTCATTTCCACTTAATGATTGAGACTGACAAGCAAGAGAGTTGAGAATTTAAGATTCCTACCTTACTGACTCAACAGTGCCATAAATAGCTGCAAATAATGTGACTGAATCTCCTGGCTATAGTTGTGCACTGTCCCACAAAATACATGTACACATCTCACAATACTCAAGCCATCTGGAATGCAGTTCCGATAACCAGTTTCACCAAGAGCTCAACATGGTGAAGTAAACTAATGATAAATTCATGAGCATCAAGCTTGTTTCGTTCAAACTGAAACATGGAACAAATTATGCTTTTAGCATTTGTCAGGTATATTATCAGATGCAAATATGGCTGTAAATAACTCATAAGATTTTTTAGGATTTGTAGATATTGTTCCGTGTTTTTCTATATTCTGATGAGTGAAGCTGACTCCTCATGTTGATAAGACAGTGTCTCTTGTCAGAATCAGTCAGAACCATTGTCATTGATCGTGTGCCAATCCACGTCCAAGTTTTATCTAACAGTTTGCAATTACCCTCTGATATAGGTTTCTTCAGGCGTTGAATTATTCATATACTGTGTGTTGAATGTAAATGCACAAGCTGGGCTGACTCTGAAATGTTCTGTGAGACAGTTGATCTGTCTTGGTACCTTTGGGTTTCATGTGAAACAGATTTATTGATGATAGGGCTCAAAGATATTGTGTGAAGGCAGGGATATATCTTGGATACCAAACTAAGCGCCATTGGCAGGCAAACTGGAAAATGATCTTGATATTGTTTAAAAAAATTCAATGTTTTTATTTCTGTAAATTCTTGGGAAGTTTTAGATTAAACTGGGAATTTTCACTGTTATTTGCATACAGACTTTGGACTGAATATTGGCCTCTGGGTAGGTCTCGATTACATCCCTGGTGGGCCATGGCCACATTTGTTGTAAAGAGTTGTCCCCCATAGTTGTGTCAGGATCCATTGATTGTAGATAGTCCATTCAAGGGATATATAGGTAGATCTTCCTTTCTATGTCAATTCATGTCATCTTTTTCATGACCTAGGCTCAGTAAATGATATGATTTTGTTTATGATCAGACAATTTTTCTTCATGGTTTATAGTCAATGTTCTAAAATCATACCTGACAAGCTTCAGTATAAGGATCTAGAAAAGAGCAGGAACTCACTTATTTGAAAACAAACAAACATGGCAGTGCTAAGAAAAGAGAAAGAATACTTTGTTATACCGGTATACATTACTCAGGCCAAATAACAAAAATGTTGTGGTTCCGATTACACCTCTTTGAAATTTAGGGTAGGTAGGTAGGATTTATTTATTTATTTATTTTTTACATTTTTTTAGAAGTAAAGTACAAACTTATAACACATTTATCAATGTGTAATTGTTTATCAATCAAGCTTGCGGCCATCATGTCGACTTTCTCTATCATAGTGACCGATGTCCGTCGGTGACGGGAAAAAACAATGATATCTGAAAGCTTATTTTATTCATACCACCTAAAAAAGATAGGGTCGGCACCAGAATTCAAGGGTCGGTCGGGTAATCGGAACCACATCATTATTGTTTTTAGGCCTCACCATCCACACATATTTGCTAAAGATCACATACCCTATCTTTACTCCCCACTTGATGACAGTGAGAATCCAACTGACACGTTATACTCCTTCCATTAAGATTGAGGATCCACCTCTACATGACGCCTACATTAGTTCCAAGCTGAACTCGGTTACTAAAGTACCATTAGTTTTCTACCTGGCTGTAGTGTCATGTGTCAGACGAGATTGGTGTCTTCAGGTCAAATTGCCATCAACACAGGAAGCTAACTGACAGCCTCAAATTTCAAATTAGAGACATCTTCATCTTATTCTTCAGAATTCTCTTTAGTATGACAGAGGTTTGGGAAGAGACAATTTGTTAAATATGACAAGAGTGAGTGAGTGAGTTTAGTTTTACGCCACTTTTAGCAATATTCCAGCAATATCACGGCGAGGAACACCAGAAATGGGCTTCACACATTGTACCCACATGAGTAATCGAACCCGAGTCTTCGGCGTGACGAGGGAACGCTTTAACCACTAGGCTACCCCACCGCCCCTAAACATGTCTAGAGACTGATGTCTGCTGCTTTGTGATATTCTCAATGGGAAGGATGAGCCGATAGTGATCCTAGAGCAGACGTCAAACTTGTGTGTTAAAACTATAGTGCTTTTGTTACTTTTAAGAAGCATTATGGATGTGAGAAGTATGTCAGTGTCAACTTAACAATATAGCAACAAAGCGCTCTAAGAAAATTCGACCGCCTCCGTGGTGTAGTGGTAAGAGCATCCTTCCAGAGAGCTGAAGGTCGCGGGTTCGATCCCTGACCGCGTCATACCAAAAGACGTTAAAATATGGTACTTGTTGGTCCCTGCCTGGCGCTCGACATTAATGGGTACAACGAGGACTGGTCAGCTTGGAGTCAGTATAATGTGTCTGAGTGGGGTATTCATGCTTCACTGCGGCATGGTATCTCAGTGGGCTAGCACTATAAAACCAGCTTAAGTCTGGGCTAGTACAAGCAGCCGCACATACACATACACATACACATACACATACACATACACATACACACGCATGCACGTCATCATATGAGCGAAATATTCTCAAGCACGACTTTAAGCCCAATTTCACTTCACCTCAAAGAAAATTCAGATGTGGTGTCGCCCCTTCAAGAATAGAGACTGGGAGATACGAGCTCATCCCAGTAGGGTATTGACTGTTTTAACTGCCCGGACTGTGTTGAAGATGAAGCACATGTTTTACTTTTTGCCCCTTATATTCTAATCTACGAAAGGATCTTTTAGAACATTGTCTTTCAAAATGGCCTGACTTTGATTTTTTGCCCATATAAGAACAACTTGCCTGTATTTTTACATGTGATGATTTTACCTTTTGTTTAGTCAAAACCTGTAGTAGCATTTTAGAGCACTGGTGTTATCCCTGTATAAATAATCTTTATTTCATTTTAAAACTCTTTTGTATGTACTTTTAACAGTATAGTAACACTTTTAAATGGTTTTATGGTTTTTAAATCATCTCTCATAAACTGCTTGGCTATTGGTCGTTTGTATTCATTGTATCATATTTTATGTACTATACGATTTTTATACGAGTGAGATGTAAGTAAAATAGTCTGTCTGTCTGTCTGTCTGTGATGAGTTTGTCTGTTGATTGAATGGTGTAACTGGGGACCGGTACAGATAATCACCTCACTGGATCTACCTGGCTTAGATACTTCAGATCAATCAATATCTGTTGAGACTGTCTACAGCTCTGTCAGTTGTGCATCACAGTGGATCTATCTGAGAAAATAGATGGGAAATTACAGCAGTTTTTATTGCCTGGAGCAGTGAAGTGGCATAAAAGTTCTTACTTCTCACTTAAGCTCTGATTCTTTATTAAACACATGATCTGTCAAGTTGATAGCTGAAGCTTGGAAAGATTTGCCAAAGGGGTATATTGAACTCTGCATTCTGATATGAATCAGTGTATATCTTACCTGCTTTATGCATGCTATAGCATTGGTGGTAATAGCACAGCCTGTTGTGAAGATGGACTTTTTCTGCATTTTTCATCTGCTAATCATGTTTGAAGGATATTTCATTGTGTTAATTCTGAACAAAATCGATTGGGAAGACATCATAACAAAATGAAACAAAGGATAACATGGTATTCCTGCTTTTCTGTAAAAGGAAGGTATCACACGGTAATCTGGTAAAACAATTAAACAAAGGATATAACCATTTATTTCAGTATATCAATAAAACAAAGGATATAACATTCCAGCATACCAGTTAAAAAAAGGGTATGTAATTCATAAACATTATGCCAGTAAGACAGAGTTGATTAAACAAAATATTCCAACATATCAAAAAGGCACAATAGAGGCACAAGATAACCTTGTCAGTAAGGCACAATAAATAAAACAAGATAGTTCAGACTACTTGTAAGGCACAATAAATAAAACAAGATAGTTCAGACTACTTGTAAGGCACAATAAATAAAACAAGATAGTTCAGACTACTTATAAGGCACAATAAATAAAACAAGATAGTTCAGACTACTTGTAAGGCACAATAAATAAAACAAGATAGTTCAGACTACTTGTAAGGCACAATAAATAAAACAAGATAGTTCAGACTACTTATAAGGCACAATAAATAAAACAAGATAGTTCAGACTACTTGTAAGGCACAATAAATAAAACAAGATAGTTCAGACTACTTGTAAGGCACAATAGATAAAGCAAGATAGTTCAGACTACTTGTAAGGCACAATAGATAAAACAAGATAGTTCAGACTACTTGTAAGGCACAATAAATAAAACAAGATAGTTCAGACTACTTGTAAGGCACAATAAATAAAACAAGATAGTTCAGACTACTTGTAAGGCACAATAAATAAAACAAGATAGTTCAGACTACTTGTAAGGCACAATAGATAAAACAAGATAGTTCAGACTACTTATAAGGCACAATAAATAAAACAAGATAGTTCAGACTACTTGTAGGCACAATAGATAAAACAAGATAGTTCAGACTACTTATAAGGCACGATAAATAAAACAAGATAGTTCAGACTACTTGTAAGGCACTTAATAAATAAAACAAGATAGTTCAGACTACTTGTAAGGCACAATAGATAAAACAAGATAGTTCAGACTACTTATAAGGCACAATAAATAAAACAAGATAGTTCAGACTACTTGTAAGGCACAATAGATAAAACAAGATAGTTCAGACTACTTATAAGGCACGATAAATAAAACAAGATAGTTCAGACTACTTGTAAGGCACAATAGATAAAACAAGATAGTTCAGACTACTTATAAGGAACGATAAATAAAACAAGATAGTTCAGACTACTTATAAGGCACAATAAATAAAACAAGATAGTTCAGACTACTTATAAGGCACAATAAATAAAACAAGATAGTTCAGACTACTTATAAGGCACAATAAATAAAACAAGATAGTTCAGACTACTTATAAGGCACAATAGATAAAACAAGATAGTTCAGACTACTTATAAGGCACAATAAATAAAACAAGATAGTTCAGACTACTTATAAGGCACAATAAATAAAACAAGATAGTTCAGACTACTTATAAGGCACAATAAATAAAACAAGATAGTTCAGACTACTTATAAGGCACAATAGATAAAACAAGATAGTTCAGACTACTTATAAGGCACAATAAATAAAACAAGATAGTTCAGACTACTTATAAGGCACGATAGATAAAACAAGATAGTTCAGACTACTTATAAGGCACAATAGATAAAACAAGATAGTTCAGACTACTTATAAGGCACAATAGATAAAACAAGATAGTTCAGACTACTTATAAGGCACAATAAATAAAACAAAATAATCCAACAAATCAGTTAGGCACAATGGATTAACTCTTTCAACACCAGTCAACCAGAGGCATTTACTGCCATGACACCGAGTTCCCAGAGACTCTGAGGTCATAGATGAAGCCTATGTTTATGAAGGAAATTATAAGCTTGTAAAAAGTTATTGCTACTACATCCCATACACCATTTAAAAGATCTAATCCTACTGTTGATAAATATGAAGTTTATTTTTATAATATTATTCAAATAATACAACTACAACTTAAATAAAATTATTTTTGAATGAAAATGCAAGCTTACATTTATAACGTCCAGATAAACCAATGAAAAGAAGCAAAACTATGGCAATTTTTTTCCATTTGTGACATGTCATGACATGCCCGTGCCTTTTCTTTTATATTTTCATTTTACGCCATCAGAAAATTATTATAAAAAGATTTCTTAAATAATATGTATGGTCAGCTTCATTTCCCGATATCTGTGGCTTTCCTACGGTAACATGACATAACAACGGAAAATACCTCCGTTTTGGAAGCTTCAGATGAATAACATGGGAGGCTTAATCGCTTGATGTCGGGTATCGCTCAAAAGCTCTGAACATCAACAACATCACTGAACCCTTGCCGAGTATTTTCACAGTTGTAAGAAGCAATTTTATTGATAAAAATTGGTTTCTAATGACGCTTTTCGCTACAGTCTGCTATAAAGGGTCGTGATTGGTCAAAATCAGACACATGACCTAAGGCAGCCAATCATATTACGGCAATGGATACCGATCCCTCGAAAGCGAAAACTTTTAGATTTAGATCGAAATTTTGGGTAAAATAATGCTATTTTGAACATATTAAGCAAGAAATCGCTACCATAACCGTGAATTATGGAACTTATTGGACATATCGTGCTAGGTTATGACCTGTGACAAAAATGCTTCATGTATATATTTTCGCATTCAACATCGTGTCCGAGCGTGAAGATTGAGGCGGCGAGAGCCGACGATGTCACTTGTCAGTGACTTGACTTACATTTCATGATCGCACAAAAAGATGGAAATAGTAATTTTATATGTACTTTTGACAACTTTTATGAATGTTGTTGTTGATTTTATTCATTAGTTTATCCACACACAACCCCAGTGAACCTGTGATGGTCCGAGTTAGAATGAACCTTCAGTAACCCATCCATGCTTGTCGTAAAAGGCGACTAACGGGATCAGGTGGTCAGGCTTGTTGACTTGGTTGACACATGTCATCGGTTCCAAATTGTGCAGACTGATGCTCATGCTGTTGATCACTGGATTATCTGGTCCAGACTCAATTATTTTACAGACCGCCATCATATAGCTGGAATATTGCTGAGCGTGGCGTAAAACTAAACTCACACACTCACACAATATAGGATATAGCAACATACCCCAGTATGTCACTCAGTGTATGAAGTCACAGTCTGAATATATGCCTTGTTATTACTGGACATTGGTGATTTCAGTGTTGGAGAATGGGAGATCTACATGACAGAGAGCAGTGCCTTTGTGTTCTATGGCATGGAGAGACTGATGTCCTACCTGCCTCCAGCAAAACTCTCAGCCCTCAACATACCAGGTGAGATAGAGCTTTATGTAACAGACTCTTGAACTGTAAGAAAACTGTATCACTCGGGCATCTTGTCCGCTGGCTAGCAGGTAACATGCAGTTCACACAAAACTGTGCAAAATATGTGTGTATCCCATCTATAGTTTATTTGTTTGTTGTTTAACGCTGCACTCAGCAATATTCCAGCTATATGGCAGTGGTCTGTAAATAATCAAGTCTGGACCAGACAATCCAGTGATCAACAGCACGAGCATCGATCTATGCAATTGGGATACGATGACATGTGTCAACCAAGTCAGCGAGCCTGACCATCCGATCCTGTCAGTCTCCTCTTACGACAAGCATGGGTTGCTGAAGACCAATCCTAACCTGGATCTTCACGGGTCTCCTCTACAGTAATACCAGTGAGGTAGATATCTGCTGTTAAACCATGGTGTTCAATGTCTTGTTTCCAGACTGTCAGCTGGTGTATCTCCTGGACATGGCCCAGACCAGCAAGAGCTTCCTCCGCCAGTCCAAAGTTGATGTGCTCAAGAGGTAATACATTTCCCCCTTAACTTGTGACATTCATATTATATTATTATTATTATTGACTTTCTTTGGGCATCTGGAACAAGTCATGTGAATGTTGTTCACACAGTTTGTATTTGCAGAGGATGTATACTAGTACAGTTGAGCACCGTTGTGTCGAACTCTGATAACTCGATATCTTGGTTGTCTTGATATAACATCTCGGTCCCGACAAAATCCTTCACAATTTATCATTATTCAAGCTCTTTTAACTCGAGATGGATGTCTCGATATTTCGGATATCTCGAGATAATTTCATGGTCCCAACAAGCAAAATTACCCTTTTAACTCGATATTTGCAAAGAAACTTGATATTCACCTACCTTTCATGGGCAAGTGTCCCTCTGAACTGAGGTTGTTTCCTTACGTTTACATGAATCAAAGGGATGCAGATGTAGTGTAAACTAATTAGGGCTAATTGAGTTGAAGGTGTCACTTGTTTGTTATTTAATTAGGATTAATTAAGAAGGAATTAATTAGGAAATACTCACTGTTATGACTAAACACGACTGATAACGGATTATAGTTTCAAATCAAAACATCATGAGAAGCTTTTTGTTTTCTTTCATAGTGATTTGTGACGATATGCCCTTGTCGGATGTCTTGAAGTTCGGATAACTCAATATTTTTTCTTGGTCCCATGAATATCGAGACAACGGTGCTCGACTGTATATGGTATATGTCAGCTATTTATTTATGTGAAAGATATACAGTTCCAGCAATTGTGGATGATTTTCTGGCTGTCATTTTAATACACTATTAAAAATTGAACTATTATTAAAACAAAGTGAAGTTTGAAAGGTCCATTCTGGAGATGCTGTATGTTGTCTTCCTGTTTTCATTTTTTATGAAACTTTCATTGATTTTTCCTTGAATGAAAATTCTCAGATATGTTTGCTGGTTAGATCATTTCAACCAAATCTGTGAATGTAAGTTTCCATGCAGAAAACATATTAATCCTTTTACTAACTCCTTTTTCTTTAGATACTGTTCTTCTCTTTTAATATGTTATAATGAGTGATGAAATTAGATACAGTTTGGGACAATGACATTGATGGTTTTGAAGATGACATAGCTATTATATATATTTTTACCAACAGTAAGTATTTGTCACTTCACACATTGCACCCATTTGGGCCTTTTGGCGTGAGTGAGTTGGGTTTTATGACCGCTTTTAGCATTATTCCAGCAATATCAAGGCAGGGGACACCAGAAAGGGGCTTCACACATTGCACCCATTTGGGCCTTTGGCGTGACGAGCCAACACTCTAATCACTTGGCTACCCCACTGCTCGTCGTCACTTTAGAACCATCATGATAAGTATATCATTTCATATGATAAAACTTGAAGTTCTAGCATCATAAGATAACTACAAAAATCAGCCTCGACAAACAATTGTGCCTAGATCTAGCTTTTCTAAAATGTTTATGGTCACATTTCCTAAGAGATTTGACGTGAACATGCCGATCAAACAAATAAACATTGGTGTCCCTATAGATATCACTTGATTTATGAGACCGCCTCCGTGGTGTAGTGGTTAGAGCGTCCGCCCGGAGAGCGGAAGGTCGCGGGTTCGATCCCCGACTGCGTCATACCAAAAGACGTTAAAATATGGTACTTGTTGGTTCCTGCCTGGCGCTCGGCATTAATGGGTACAACAAGGACTGGTCGGCTCGGAGTCAGTATACTGTGTCTGAGTGGGGTATTCATGCTTCACTGCGGAATGGTATCTCAGTGGGCTAGCACTATAAAACCAGCCTAAGTCTGGGCTAGTACAAGCAGCCGCACATACACATACACACGCATGCACGTCGTCATATGAATGAAATATTCTCAAGCATGACGTTAAACCCAATTTCACCTCACCTCACCTCACTTGATTTATGTATTGCGATACATGTACTGCATCGTTATGTAATATCATCAGTTGTTTCACTGATTCTGGAGGATGTGGAGCTTGTTTTCTAATTAGATCTTATGTAAGGGCTCTGATCCAATGGACGTTCATCATTTGGTTCATTTGTGGTGTAAATATATCCTGTAATGAACTCCAGCCTTACATTCAGCTTGAGCTGCTCCAGGGAGAATTTCACATTGTCTGTAACATTTCTCCTGCTTCTGAAACTTTATGACTCAATGAAACACTGTCTCTTGTCGTCTGTTTCATAAAAAGAAAGCAACTGAGATGTACTTACTCTTGTGTGGTTTGTTCCCATGGTACAGTCACTTGTCAGGTGTTGGTTTGTTGGTTTGTTGTTTAACCCCACATTCAGCAATATTGCAGCTGCATGGCGGCGCAGTCTGTAAATAATTGAGTTTGGACCAGACAATCCAGTGATCAACAGCATGAGCATCGATCTACGCAATCGGGATACGATGACATGTGTCAACCAAGTCAGCGAGCCTGACCATCCGATCCTGTCAGTCTCCTCTTGCTGAAGACTTCTAGCCCGGATCGTCACGGGTCTCTTGCCATGTGTACTGCTGTGTGGTGTCAGGTCAAAAACACGCACCTCTTCTGTAACATGTGTGATTACCTGGTGCTACCAGAAGGGCAGGACATGATTACCCTTTTCATGAACACCTGGTGTCATTGATTTTCAGTAATCTGTGCATAACATTTTTACTGTAACATGGCCTTTTATACCCAGTGGAATCGAGACAGAATATTCCCTGGTGTTGACATCTTATATTAATTATTTTGCTGAATAATGTGCTGACCAAAATTTTACAGCTGAAAAAATAGTTATATTCTCTAAACCCAACTCAACTCAACTCTTCTGTCAATAGAAATTTGTCAAAGTATATCATTAATGGATGTGTTGACGTATCTCTACAAAACTATAACATTGTTTCTTCCAATCACTAGACTGATTGTTCTTTTAAAAAATCAGTGACTGTAACCTTTAAGAAATTTTTATATTCATATTTTGACCCCTGTCCATAAAAGCCAAAAAATAAAACAAATTGTAAAAGTAGCAATTTCTGCACAGTTAACATATATCCATGATTTGGTTTGTAATATTCCACTGGAAATCCTTCCTGAGGTAATATTGATTTCAAGCAATAAACTATGTAATCATTTCTAAGCCCAGAGCATTGACTTTCATTATTCTTGATTTCTAGCCAATGCCTTGTCAGTATAAATTTAATCATCACCTCCTGAAAATGTTTTATGTTCATAGATCTCAAACTTAAAGGTCAAATTCAATAAAGTTCACAATCAAGAACGAAATGTTTCATTCTAGTTTCTTGGATGATGAAGACAGATGACATGGTAATTGAATTAATAAGTATTTAAATGTGCAATGAATTATTTTAATCACAGAATACGAAGAAAGTGATGTCCAGATATTTCATGGTCTCTGTTATTTCATGCTGTTGAAAAAATAACATGTACAAGTTCAGATTGAATGAGACTAGTCCAGTATGGAGAGAATGAAATGTCCAAGGCCTCCTTGAATTACATACACAGGGAAAAGCTTGGTATGTCTGACCAATAGGTGGAGTGCATAGAACAGCTCTGACCTCCTTGACACTTACATAACTCAGGGCAGAGTTTTTAGTGATTGTTCTGGAAGGAGGGGTATAAGATGTCCTGGACCTCCTTGAATTACAAACACAGATCAAAGCTTGGTGTGTTTGACCAGTAGGTGCAGAGCATAGAACAGCTCTGACCTCCTTGACACTTACATGTACAACTCAGGGCAGAGTTCTTAGTGATTGTTCTGGAAGGAGGGGTATAAGATGTCCTGGACCTCCTTGAATTAGAAACACAGGGCAAAGCTTGGCATGTTTGACCAGGAGGTGAAGTGCATACAACAGCTCTGACCTCCTTGACACTTACATGTACAACTCAGGGCAGAGTTCTTAGTGATTGTTCTGGAAGGAGGGGTATAAGATGTCCCGGACCTCCTTGAATAACAAAAACAGGGCAAAGCTTGGCGTGTTTGACCAGTAGGTGTAGAGCATAGAACAGCTCTGACCTCCTTGACACTTACATGTACAACTCAGGGCAGAGTTCTTAGTGATTGTTCTGGAAGGAGGGGTATAAGATGTCCTGGACCTCCTTGAATTACAAACACAGGGAGAATGTACAAAATAGCCCAGACCTCCTTGAAACCTAAACCTTACAACTGATGGCAGTTTTTGAAGTGTTTGCTAAATAGGGAGCTTGTAAAATGCCAGACCTGCATGAGACTATCAACTCAGGGCAATGCTTGGTGTGTTTATTAAGCAGGAATTGTTCATAAAAAGGATCCAAATGACTGGAAATTAAATATCTAATATTTGGCAAATGATTAGATCTGTTTATATAAAATCTCTGTCTATTCAAAGAATGAATATGCATAATCATCTGTCAGGAAATCGTGAGATCAGCTATTAATTATCAAACTTTTTATGATATCACACTTTTCCAAAAGCAACAAATCACCAGGTTGAAAGAAAAACAATCCTGGTCATCACATGTTGAAGATAGATTGCAGCTAAGATTTACATTATGGCCCAACATGCCCACGGATGTAGACACACTGAGTTTGAGTGTGAAATCGATGGAAATGCATCACATCTTCATCCTTGACCGCTCCTGTGGCAACATCTCCATCAATGACTTCCATCGCCAGTCCGAGAACCACGCTGCGATTATGGGGATATCTTCAATTGAGCTAATTATTGACCCAAACTTCCTACAAGCTTTTACAGTCCCAAACTACAGTAATTATTTCAAATGGACTTGGCAGCGGTACTGATTGGTTTCAGTCCTGGCCTGTACTTAGGTAGCCTGCAACTACGTCCGTCATCAGCTGCTGCAGGATAGGGCTTTTATCTCTTGGTAACACCACCGTTTCCTAATGTTGTTGAAGCAGGATAGGTGTGATTTACAGCACTTTGTATCAGGGTTCCGTCTTAAAAAAATGATGATTATGTTGTGGTGAGAGTGTGATTGGTGTTTTTGAGGAAGAAGGTTGTGTCAATCAAACTTGAAAGTGACACTTCCGTGTGAGTAAATTTTGCATGAATTTAAAGTTGTATTTTTTCTTACCCTAAGCATATGTCAGGGTTTTTTTCACAATGGTCTATTTTAATGAAACTGAATTGAAACATTTTGATTGATGGGAACTTAATCTTTGGTGGCTTGGATGTATGAAGGAGCCATGAAGTTTTTCTGCCTCATGTTTTACTTGGCTCTGTTAACTCACCCTGGTCAGAGGTTTAGTGGGGTTCTGCATTACCCATGTTTAATAATAATTGCTAATTGGACAAGTAAGTTCTCCAGATTAGGTCATCAGTGCATTCATTAAAAGAATATGTTAAAAAAGTCTTTTTTTCTTATGAGTCTTTCCCTGTCTTTAGCTGTCTATGTACACTGTATGTATACCTAAAAGTGAATGTTAAATTACTTGTTTTATTATTAATATTGCAAGCATTGCATGCATTTTCTAGCAATCATATGAAAACTGTAGATATAATTTGCATCTCAAATCACTGTGAAGAGTTACTTCCCTTAAGCATGCCAGAATCCAAGGTCAACCACACAAATAGAAACACCTGCATCACTTCAAACTTTCGGTGTTCATGAAGCTGACGAGCCAAACAAGCCACTTAATTTTCAGTCACTTATCTCTAATGGTAATGTAGGTTATGGCACAACATATACTTCAAATGTTCAACAAATCTTGATTTATGTCTGCTGACATCAGAACAATGTGACATGAGGAGGTCTCGAACTATATGAACATATTCTCTCTATACCAGCAAGTCAGTCCAGTGTTAGCTTTACCCAAATTATAGTTGTCCTCCAGAATTTTGTTTGAAATCAATTACACCCAATGGAGATCCCAGGTTAGAATAGATGCCCAACTGTCTTTCTTACCTTGGATCAGAGGGTCAGCGCTATGACTTGGTTGCATGTCAATCACTGGGTTGTCTGGTCCACACTTCAAATATTTTTATTTTATTTACCTGGAGTATTGCTGAGTGTAATAATAACAATAAATATTGACTGCTAGGCATTACTCTGACCCATCAGTGTGGCAGGATTTTATTAAGCAATGTAGGTATTTGAATGAAAGATGAACCTAAACATACATCTGTGTTGTATTTCAGTCACAACAATCTAGCCCTAGAGAAGCCGGTGGAGACTGCTATGCTGGTGACTATGTCTGGTGTCAAGTGTCTCATGGCCAACCAGTGGCACTGCACACTGGCAGAAAACTCCAACAAACTTCAGGTCTCTATGAAAGGTAGGAACATGACAATGATATTTCTTTCCTGAGACTTTAGATCTTTTGAAATTCTATTTTATCTACGTGGATGTCTTATTTTTGTTTTGAAGAATTTGGTTCATAAACAATGATTACTTTGCATTTCAAGTTACCTGTAATAATCAAAGACTAAATAAGGGAATGATTTGGGGAACATGGATATCTAGTTGTCAAAGGTCCTGAGACTACCCTGAGTTGTGTTCCTTGGGCACTTCAGAAACCAATGGATGAAGGTTCAAATCCCAGTTGTCTGGGAACATGTTTCTGTGTTTGCCAGAAACATCAGAGACCTACATCAATTCATGGTTTCCTCACACACTCAGCCAACAGCTGGAATGCTGTTCAAATTGGTGTTAAAACCAACTGATTGACTCACTCAGGAATTTGGTATCTGAATATTTTTCCGCCACTCCATTCTTCTTAAACAAACCAAACCCATGGATTTGTGTCCTTGTTGGTAATATGTACATGTTAAACCATGTTTTAGATCTCCTGGAGAAGGGCAGGAGCACTGGGGAGACAGTGCGGCTGTTGTTCTCCCCACAGAAGAGACAGCAGCAGGAAGAGGCTGCAGCAGCAGAGTTGGAGGCAGAGAGTGTTGCAGCAGAGAGTCAGAAGGTGGAGGGAGGAGGCCGGAGAGAATCAGTTGCCCCAAAGACTGGTAAAGACACTGACAGCATCAAGGGAGGGAAGAAAGCTTCTCCTCGAACAGAGAGTCGCCCCGAGTCAAAAGAAGAAACCGCTGAAGGAGATGAAGATCCAGACAAGGACAAAGAGGAACCGAAAGAGGAGGAAGAACTTGTCATACAGAGGGACTGGTTCAATATGGTCTGTTACGGTCTTCCTAACCTTGTTGTATCTCAGGTTTAAGCCAGTAAAGTGGATGATCTGATATTGATTGTACTTCCTGTTGTGGCAGTATAACATGCTTGTTATGAAGAGGTTCCGCAAGACAGTTAGGAAAGATGACTTGAGAACTGAGATTTGTGTCATATATGGATATCGCAATTCGAAAGCACTGTGTTGCTGAATTTTGATTATGAATTTTTTCCAATGTGAACAGTCTACAACATAGCCATTAGTTCAAAGCTTGAATCTAATAAAATGCTTTTCCAGTTTAATAGGCTCATCCAATGAGAGACTGTAATTTACTGTAATTGATGCTAAGATCTATGTTTGGGCTAGTAGCCTCAAAAGCTTTTTACACAGCCTGGAAGAACCTCTTGCATTTCTACAAACTGGAAATGAAAATGATACTGTTTGGATTTCACCTGCATGATGTACTTTGCTTTGTTCAGTTTGATCATTTTGTCAAAACACTTAATGTGATGTTGGAGTTGATATGATTATATGTTATAAAGTTGAAATATTGGAGCCATTATTTTGAGGATGGGAACATGTGAAATATTTAGTGATTATCTATTCTTTATATTCAAGTTCATATTGCTTTTGTGTTATGTATTGGCAAGTTCTCACAATGAAATAATACATTCCATCCCTGTATCCAAGACATACTTTGAGTTTCAAGTTTCATGTTATTGTTATATGCTTGTGATCAAATGACTGTGATAACTATTTATATCATTTAATAAACTTATTTTGATAAATAGAAATGCTTTAGTTATGCATTTTAACTCATCTGACTGAAAGTCAATTTGAATATCTCTTTGGATTCTGGAACTGTGAAACTTTTCCTGCTTATTCAAACCTAAGATATGCCTGAATGTTTCAATCTGATTTTCAATATGACTGCCATGGAATCTATGTTCAGTTGTTGTGGATAGTGATACAAGAATATGTTATCCTTGTTCTCTTTACTGGTTGCACCAAATACGCTCCATCTTGATGTTTATCTGGTTCAGTCTATGGTTGGTACACTTCATAAGAAGGTCAAAGTCAAGGATATGCTGTAAAATATATCCAACTGCATTTTGTTTCATTTTCTTATTGAGGGTCCCTGTATATATTATTGTGTGTCATATCACACATGATACACGTAAGACAGTCAAAAGACAGAATCCTTACATTGAGCCCATGAAGATCCAGGTTATAATTGATCTACAGTAACCCATGCTTGTCTTAAGAGGCGACTAACAGGATCAGGTGGTCAGGCTAGCTAACATGATTGACACATGTCATCGTATTCCAATTGGGTAGATCCATACTCATGCTGTTGATCACTAGATTGTCTGGTCCAGACTCAATTATTTACAGACTGGCACCATATAGCTGGAATATTGCTGAGTGTGGCATAAAACTGACTCACTCATCTGACATTGAAGTGTATGTAACATTCTTGATGGCATGAAACATTCTGGTTTAAAGTTTCACAGTACTAACCATATTGCGAGATGTTCTTTGCAATAGGACTTTCAACGCATGGTAATTACTGGTCATCAGATGTTTGGGCTACTTACTTGATGTTTGTAATAATGGGCTGTTTAATAGCCAGTAACTGAGAGCTACTTTTCTTCCTGAGTGCACATGATTCCAGCATCTTACAGGGTAATAGAGTGATTAATGGGACTGCAACTGGCACTTCCAAATTTGATGGTGATGGATGCGACAAACACAAAGAAGGATCGCTAAGAAAAACTAAATTTATTTGAGGTTTCCTTATTTTTCATTTTCATCACTATGGACAAAGTCTTTCTATCAAGCATCCATAGAATTTGGGGAATTTTAGAGCAATGAGTTGATTAGTAATCATGCATCTTAAATTTCAAACACTAATTTCACCAACTTTGGTTTTCTTAAATTTAGCCTATTAGCTATGTTTGTCACACACTAGTATTTGACTGCTACTGATTTTACACATTCTTTACTTTTGTCCATTCACCTAATAGGGAATTGGTAGGTGATATGTGTGGTTGATGTGCAGACCTCAAGTCATCTTGAATTCGGTGCTCCCCAGGAGAATTACAATTGGAAAGCATACAAACAGACTGGTCAGGTGATGATGATGGTGGTGGTGGTGGTTGTAATGATAATGCCTAATCCAGAATATTCAATATTACTTTAACAACACCTCAAGGACTTATATGCAATATGGATGATGATGATGATGATGATGGTGGTGGTGGTGGTAATAATAATGCCTAATCCAGAATATTCAATATTACTTTAACAACACCTCAAGGACTTATATGCAATATGGATGATGATGATGATGATGATGATGATGATGATGATGATGATGATGATGATGGTGGTGGTTGTAATAATAATGCCTAATCCAGAATATTCAATATTACTTTAACAACACCTCAATGATTTTTATGCAATATGGATGATGATGATGATGATGATGATGATGATGGCAGTAGTAGTAATTATAATACCCAGTTCAGAATATTCATTTTTACCTTAATCAGTAGATGAATGCAATATTGATACAATCTTCAAAATTCTGTATTTTGGGAAAATGAAGAATTGCCATAGCCAGTCCTTTCTGAACATGAGATTAGAGATGAAAAGCAATCCCACACATGTACTTATTAATGCCAAACATATACTCAAGGTCAACTCATATACTGATTCCTCCACTAGTGTAAATGACCAATCAACAAGCCTTCCCTGGTTTCATCTAAAGTTTCATATTAATCAACTAGTTGTTGAAGCCTTTGAATGAGGTGAGACTCGGTGATGAAGTCAAGACGGACAGAAGGATCGATAATGAAGTTTCCTCTCTCAATGGTAATGTTAACATGGGGAATAATTGCTGAAGATACTGTGCCACGGGACTACCCAGGGCAGGAGAGCAAATAGAAACAGTGTATCGTCAGTGTGTTGTCCGTTTGTGTAAATAGCTGTTTATATCTCACTGATATGTAATTGCACTCATCTTCGTTGTCGTCGCAGTCGTAGTTGTTGTTATCATCATCAGCTTTACGTCAACACCGCACTGTTGTAGTGGATTTCGCGAAAGTGAGTGAGTGGGGTTTTAGAGACATTCCAGCAATACCACGGCAGAACACCTTAAATGGGCGTGCACCCATGTGGGGAATCGAACTCGAGTCTTCGGAATGAGGAGCGAACGCTCTAACCACAAGGCTACCTCACCGCCCCTTTTCACTGAAGTTGTAAACGTCTAAACTTTGAGCTTCCTCCCATATTAAGCTTTCACACCGTGGTATAACTGAAATACTATTTAAAGCAATATAAAACCCAACTCCCTTTGTTGTTCAACGCCGCACTCTGCAATATTCCAGCTATATGGCGACATGATTTCGTAATCCGATATAGATCGCAGAGACTATATATGATGTTTGTTGTGCTGCCGCCAAGTAACACCCCCTGAGACATGCATTATATTTCTCCCAAATTAATCTGTGTTATAACGAAGACGGTTTGCAAATTCATGCAAAACCACATAAGCACGACTGGAACCACTGGGCTATTTGCAGATTTAAAACATTGTCTCAATTAAAATTTTCATTGAAATCATTGGAAAAGGGAGTGTGAAATATAATAGTCATGGTATGATAAACCAATATCATAAAGTGCTATCATTGTTGACAGGAAACACAATGGGTTTGCAGATAATCAATATGTCATATTATTTGACTGATAGTTACGAGGTTACAATTATGTGAGCTGGTTTAATCACACGTTTCGTCTGATTTACAACATGTTTACAGCCTAATCTGGCGCAGAAACCGTATAAAAACTGGTAGATTACATGATTTAGCGGTGATGAAATGACATAGCATGACGATACAATTTCTAAACACAGAATCACCATGACAGCTTTCTGGTATGAAAGATTCAAGCTTAAAATATTAATAGGACATCGAAAATATTAAAAGGCTAAAAATATCAATGCGATCTTTCACATATTAGTGTAAATATTACGCTATTGCTGTGATCTGGAGGATAGGGCGTCTGTCCGGAAAGTAGAAAGTAGTTCGATTCTGACCGTGCCATACCAAAGACGTTCAAGGATGGTACTTATTGTTACCCTGACTGCAGCTCGGCATTATGGGAATAAAACATAAACTGGTTGGCTTGGAGTCAGTGTGCTGTGTCTGAGTTGGTTACCCACTTTAAATTTCGGCATGGTATCATGGTATTTCAGCGGGCTTACACTGGAAAACCGACATTTGGGCTGGTACATGTACAAGCTGAATCACCTCTCGCTGTCTCTGCACTATATATGAGTGGAATAAACATTGCGTCGTTCAACATTAAAAACAGTTGAAGAAGCATTTAAAAGATAGTCAAACAATTATGGTCGTTGGATTGTCTGAAAATATGCCTCGAGATTATCTATTTATGTTTCGATATTGTGATATATAGATGTATGTAAAGAAAAATAATCGTAGGATTTTGGGTGTGTCGTCAGCCCAAAATTAAGCTGGTGTTATAGTGCTAGGAGATACCATTTTGACGAGATGCCTATTTTAACGGAAATAACTTAATGCCGAGCGCCAGGCAGTAGTAATCTGAGCATATTTTAAATGCTTTATGAACCCGCGCGACCTTCCGCTCACCGCCCGGACGCTCAACCACTACTCCACGGAGGCGGTCTCGTCAGATGCCCTTTTGTTAGTGTAAAAGTAATGTACACAACCATTTAGCTGTTAGTGAAAGTAATGTACACAAATATTCTTTATTCGCCATTTTGAAACACCATTGAAAGTAATTATGATACGCGCCTGTACTGCGCCAGCGACAATGTAATGTCATTCGACACATCGGTGTGGATTCAAACTGCATTTCGGCTCCCTAAGGCATAAAAGCCCGACATCCCGTGCCAAAACATCGGAGAAGTATGGTGTCATATGTGCGTAGGAATACCAACTACCATGACCAAACCACACCAGTGACCTTGACCTCTGTGCGTTGTCGTGCTTCAGTGTTCATACTGTCGATAACAACGAGGGAAGCACTGCCTAGTCATTCCCAAAGGCAGAGTTTAACCATTCTAGTCAATTTCTAGCACCGATGAAACGATCTCCTGCACATACAAGTGTTGCAGAAGGCTCCTGGTTTTCACTCTGCTCATGATCATCAGCTCGTGGGTTTTTGTCTTAGACAGAGATCCGGGTTAGAATTGGTCCTCAGCAACCCATGCTTGTCGTAAGAGGCGACAAACAGGATCAGGCCCGGTGACTAGATGACGCATGTCATCGTATTCCAATTGCGTAGATTGATGCTCATGATGTCAATCACTGGGTTGTGTTGTCCAGACGATTATTGACAGATCGCCGCCAGCTGAAACGGCGTAAACACATACACTGGCGATATATGCCCAAAGCTCGCCAACATACACACCACTGTGATGTACGTGCGACGTAGCTGTCTACAGGGAATGCATCTTTCACTTGCTTATTCAACCCATCTATCGGATCAACACCTCTTTAAGTAAACGATCAGGCAGGAGACTAACGCTCTGGCATACCGTACCTCAAGTATAATTGGATTAAGGGGACACCAGGACAATTTCACCTCTTTTAAGTGGTGACCTTTATGGGTGTCTGTCTATGATAAATCAGATTTATGCTCACATTCCAGTGGAATTGGACTACAATAACCTGTCACGCTGACCAACCTTGTCACATAAAAAGCCAATCGTAAACTAGTTTGACTTGGGGACTGGGG